AATAAATACTAGTTAGGTAAATAATATATATTTTATATACTAGGATATCTTGCCTTGTGCATGTAAAAAATTAAAAAGTTTATTTATTATTTTTTTAGCTTTAGGCCCAAGAGAATATATTTTTAGTTTTAATAAATAATATTTTTTAGCTATTTTTTATAATAACTTACATTTATTAGGATTTAAGAATATTAATAACTTTAAAAAACTTTTTTATAAATAGGTAAATTTATATACTAATACTTTAAAAGCTATTACCTATTAATTATTAAAAGGTTTATAAATGCTAATGCTATTAGGTAGCTTTTTAATAAAATTATTAATAGGACTAATATTAATTTTAAGGTTTTAATTATTATTTTAAAAAACTAGTAGCTTTGTTAATATAAAAGTTTTATAAAAGTTTTTATATAAAATATTATTTTTTTATACTATAAAAGTATATTACTCCTAAAGGTACTATATATTTACTTAATTAATTATTAAGTAATTAATATTTAAGATAAGGCCTAATTAGTGTTTCTTAGGTATAATAACTAGTTAATTTATGGCATTTACTACTTTAATATATAAAAAGTGTTAACTAATTAAATAAGTATATAATAAATTTTTATAAGCTTACCACGGTTTAAATATAAAATTTTTATTAAAAAAATTAGCTTTAATTTTTATAGGAATTATTATAAATAAATATAAAGGTATTATAATATATTATATTATATATACTAAAATAAATATAACTTAATAATATTTAGCATGTACTTATAAAAAAAACTTTAAGTATTTATAAAATTATAGGGTTTTTATATAGTTACCTAGGTTTAAAATAATTTTTTTTATTAATATATTTATATTTATTAAAACTTTAATTTTTAAATTTTTAATAAAATACATGCGTGTAATAACTTTGCTATAAACTTTTTAGTTATTAACTAGTTTAAAAAAGTATAATAAAACATTTATAAAATACATGGTAATATACTTTAATTTAATACCTAAAATAGTTATTAGCTTTACTTTTTATAAAGGGGCATTTAGTAAAATACTTTTAATAAAAAATTTATTTATTATTATAATAAAACTACTAGTATTTAAATAAAAATCCTTTACTTAAAAAGTTTTACTTATATAAACTTTTACTATAATATATTTTTATAAATATAGGCTAATATTTTTTAAAGTAAGTATTTTTTTTTAAAATATAACTTTAGTAGTATTATTAAACTTTATATTATTTTTAATATATTATATTTATGAATAGTCCTTTGCATGGTATTTAAGTTTATTTAATAAAATAAATTACTTAGGGTAAATTAGGTAGGTTAAGGTAAGAATTTTAAGTTTAATTATAATATTAAAAAAATAAGCTTTATTATTATTATTATACTTATAATTAAGGTTATAATATAAATTATATAAATTATTTAAAGGCTTAAAAGCTTTATAATATACTTTTTTATTATTTTATTATTAATATTACATGTTTAAGTCCAGGGCGCCTTTATTTATAATATAATTAATAACTTTACTAAAAGTTTTTATATTATTAATTCTATTTATAATTATATAAAACATGTATTAAGCATGTTACTAGTTTTATAATTATTAATTAAAGTTATTATTACCTATTTTAAAAATCCTATAACTTGTTATTATAGTTATACTTATAGGGTAAAAAAATTATAAGGTTTATTTATTATTTAAAGCTAACTAGGTTAAAAAGCGCTAGGCTTTTTATTTTATTATTAATAAGGTAATTAAATTTGCCCTTAAGCTAAAAATAATTAATAAAATTTTTTTTATTATTAAACTAGCCAAGGGTTTTATTATAGCTAGGGGTTTTATTATTATAACTAGTTTTATTACCTAGGGTAAATAAAAACTAAAATATAAATAAATTACCTAGTATTATTAAAAAAGTTTTTATAAAAAATACTATCTTTAGGTTTATTATTTTTTCAGGGGTGTTAAGCTTTACTTAAGTTTATAAAATAATAATTTCTTGTGTATTAGGCCGCTAAATCCTATTAAGTAATAATTTTAAATTTAATTTTTTTTTAATACATTAGCCTAAGGTTATATTTTTATTTAGTTTAAATTTTTTTTTTTAAATAAAGGTTTAAAGGCACACTATATAGTTATTATTTAAAAATATATATTATTTATTTTTATAGCTTTGCATGCGCGTATAGCTTTTTAAATAAACTTTTTAGGGGTTATTTTATTATATAAATTACTAAAGCTATATTAAAGGGAATTAATTTTAAATTTTATTTTAAAAATATAGGGGCGGAATTTTTATATAATTTAAGTAAACTAGCTATTTTTTAAATTTAGTTTTTTTAAAGTATTTTTTTTAAAAAACTATTAATTTAAAAGTAAACTAATTTAAGGCTAACTTTTAAAGCATGGCCTAAATATTTATTTTTATTATTAATTCCCCTTTATAATTAATAATATTTTTAAGGTAATTTATAAAAATATTAATATTCTTATAATAAACCTTTTTATTAAAGTATTTAATAAAAATATTTTTTAAAATATTAAAATTAAAGTACTTAATTTTATTAATTTACTAAGGGCCACTACTATTACTATTAGTAAAATAATTTTATTTATTTTTTTATTAAATATTTTTGTAGCGGCAACGTTGGTTTTAAGGTCTAGATTTATTAAAATTATTATTATTACTATTATTATTATTATTATTATTATTATTTAGATTATTGCCTGGATTCCCTTTAGCTACACTATTTTATTTTTTTTATTATTTAGAATATTTATAAGGCCGCCCTTTAAAATATTTTTTATTATTTTACTATATATTATTAAAATAACCTATATTTATATTTTTATTTGCTCCGGCATTAATACTAGTATTAATAATTATTATATATATTTTTTTAATTTATAAGCTTTTAAAAGTTCCCTGCAATATTTTTTACTACTTTTATATAATTATTTATTTATTATTAGTTAAGTAAAATTTAAGCTATTATATTAGCTATTAATAGTAGCTAGTTATTAAGTAAGTCTAGCCTTTTTAAATTATTACAGCCTTGCCCTGGGCCTTTATTATAGTAAAAAAAATTTATTAATACCTATTATTTTAAATATATTATTCTTGTTATTTTTCTAAAAAAAAATAAGGTGGCTTATATTTATATATTATATAAAATATAATATAGTAAGTTATTTTTTTTATTAAGGTTACTAAGTTCTTTTTAGTATAAGATTTTTTTATTTTATTATTTTTAGGCAGCTTTGCTAAAAAGTTAAAAATAAATAATATTTTTAAGCTTATAAAAAATAATCCTAGTATTTTTAAATTTAATAAAAAATAATTTAGCACAGGAACTTTTAATTATATTATAGTATTAAAAGCTTTAACCATGTAAGGTATTATTTTTATAACTTATTTTATAAATTATTATAATACTTTAAATATAGCATTAGCTAGGGATAATAATATATTAAAAAAATAATTAATTAAAAAGGGTCCTTTTATTTTATAAGGTATTTATTATATAATATTAAGGCTAGGTAAAAGTATAAAAGTATGTTTTAATATTTAGTTTAAATTAAAAAAAGCTAATAACTTTAAATTTTTTTATAAAAAAAAACTAGGAGTACCACGTTAGCAGGCTCCTAGGTTATTAATTTTATAGCCTATAATATAAAAAATATAAAAAATATTAACTAAAATCTTAATTTTAAGCGTGATTTTAAACAGCCTAATAGTTTATTTAGTATGTTAATTAATAATATTATAATTAAAAGGTATTTAAAATCTTCTATAATCCTATATTAATTATATAAGTATAAAAAATTTTTATAGCCTAATTTAGCATGCTTTAATTTATATTTTAGTCTAGCGGGAACTAGTATAAACATGTTAATAATAAAAAATTTTTTTTAGCTTTTAGGAAAATAGCCAGGCACACGGTTTTTATATTAAGCTTATATATAAAATTAAAATTTAAAAGTTAGGAAAAGCAGGCTATTTAATATTTTAACTTTAAAGTTTTAAAAAAATAGGCTAATATTAGTTTAAAAAAACTCCTTAATAAATATTAAAAGTTATTAAAACATGTTTTATAAAGCAGGGTATTAAAAAAGTTATATAGGTAAAAAAATACTAATTATTAATATTTACCATGGTTGCTTGTTTTAACTCCTAAAATTCTTTAGTTATTAAATAAATATTTTTAAAAGGCTTTTAAATTGTATTAGAACATGCTACCACTTGTTAAACATAACAGGGCAATATAATAAGATAGTAGTAAGTTAATTTTCCTAATTTAACTATTTTAAAAGTAATAAATACATGCTAATAACTAAGTACTAAGTAAGCAGGAAGAAAGAACCATAACTACATGCTAAGAGGAACAACATGACACTAATTAAACTTAAGGTAAAAGTAAAATAAGTGTAAAGTAAAAGTATCGCGGGTAGCATTTCTAAGCCTTGCTTAGAGCTTGCTAAGCCTCTCCAAACAGGGACCCCACGTGCACCATAAGTTTCCGCGTGTGGCTGTTCCAGGTCACGTGACCTGTAGCCAATGACGAGCTACGCTCAAAAACACTGGATGACCTGATTGGCTACAAGTCACGTGACTTCTGTGTCACCTATGCGGAAACTTTTGGTGCACGTCTCCGTACCACTGTGTGGTGGGGTGGTGTTATTGTGACTCTTATCTTATCATTGTCCCTTATCTTATCAGGCCTTGGCATCCATGGGTCATGTTTTAAGGGCATCATACGGGTTTAGACAGCAGCTAATCAAGCACAGTATGTTAAACTAATGCTGATTTAGTGGTAACACTGCTGGTTTAATACTACTGCCTGTTCTTACAGGAATCGCCTCTACTCTTTTGCTTGGATTTTCAGATGTTGCGGCTCTAGATAGTTCTTTCCTCAAATAGACACTATCTTGCCCACTAACCAAGGGGTTGCAAAACACACCAGTACTCACACCAGTACTGCTTGTCTGGCGCCTGCTTACACCCTCGAGAAAAAGTATAGATAGGCAAATTTCTTCATCTCTTGTACGTCATCCACCTCCACAACCTTTTCATCATTAAACATCACCCACGAAACTCCCGACTTTCCTGGCAGTTGTTTTCGCACAAATGCCACATAGTGCCTAGGATTAGCTGTTAATATAAACGAGAAGAGGCATCAAGGCTTTTTCTTACCCAGCATGTACAGAGGCGCCTTTATGGCAAATGATCGATCGGAGTTGGTAAGTTGCTGGGACAGTATCAAAACCCGGAACCACAGACGCATCGGTACCGCCACTTGCTTGCTGGTCGATAGGGCTCTCATCTGTATTGTCGGGATGACTAAAAACCCAGTCAATAGCTCGATCAATATCACCACCGGTGGCAGTCAATGCCTTCTTGGCACGAGAATCGTCAATGCCCATATCTTTTAGTTGAGCCACCTTGGCTAGATCCGGTTCACCCGCCCTGTACTCTGCAGCCCGCTTCCTGGTCAGGGGCTCATCTATATCCTGGTCATCGATGTGAGATATTAGCCAGTTCATTGCGGTCTCAACATCTGAATTTCCTGTGAAGTAGAGAGCCTTCTCGCATCTGGCCCGTGGGAAACCCATCACAATCAGCTGATCTAGAAGGTCAGTGTTGGCGATGAATTCGCTGCCGGACGGTTCGTCCTCTGGGAGCAAGGCTTCCCCCTCAACTGGGCCCGCGGAAAGATAACGACTCAGATCCATGGGTGCATCTTCAACCTGGACAGGAATATCTAGCTTAGTCGGGACCCAGTTAATCAATTCGAAGCGTCGAGCATTGATGACCAGATGCGCTGGCATTGTTCGAAAAGCGGATCGCTTGGAGAACTTCTCGTGGCTGTCACAAGAGCTACAACGAAGATCAACAATCTCCTGGGAAGTAAACGCGTCTAGGCATTCGGAAAGCGACACAGTCTCGAATGGACCATCAGAGGCAGTATCGTCCGAATGAGCAACTCGGCGGACGGGAACAGGGATGGAGATATTGTCTTGTTCATCGAGTTTGTAGCGAACGCCTTTGCAACTCAAACATTGAAGCCGCTGTTCCAAGCCAAATCTGAAAGACTCAATGGGGTTATTCATTCCGGCAGGATGCCTAGACAGCGTGACGTGCTTAAAGACATGTAATAAAAACTCAAAGGCGTCTTGCTGCCTCATAGTCGAAAATTCGGCATGATCCCGGCCGATCAAGTGCTTGAACATCGATGGTGCCAAGCCCTTTTGATGGTGGACCTCTAGTGGTTCTGGGGAAGCCAGAGTCTTATCGTCTGGCAGAGAGTAACGTCCGGAAAGGGTCCCATCCGCCAATTTCCGAAGCTGCGTTTCAAAATCAGCAGCTGGAGTTTCAGCGAAGGGAGGACTCTCATCTGGACGATAGTATCTGTGTTGGAATTCTGGCAAGTCAAAAAGACACTGGACAACACTGGACAGGTAGCAGCTGTTTCCAAGATTCGACAGCCCCGTGAGACCCGCGCCGAAGACCGGACTTAGATCATGCCCATCCCCTGTTGTCATCAGGAAATCCCACTTAAGATTTTGTTCAACCTGCATTTCCATGAGGCTTTTCTCCGTCTTTTCGCGGCCCGCGAGATTGATCCCCCAATGAGAGAGGTGCGTAGCAAGCTCAGGATCGACTCTTTCTTCGTTGCACCGATAACAGTATATATCTGCCGAGCCATCCGCGGTTATTGAGCCCAGTTTAACGGCAACAGCATGGGAGGTCGCATCAAAATGGGCTAGACCATGTGAATTACCGCCAGTACCTCCAAATTGACTGCGACCGCAGCCTAGGTTACCACATTCTAAACACAGCCAGAGGTTCTGTCTCAAGTCACACATCGAACACTGGCTAAGATCTGTTTCAACCGATTAGACTGGCTCAGAAAAGCTTCTGGAACATCATTACCCTGTGAATTGATGCGTTTGGGCTCCTGCTGAATTAGGCCAGTGGTATGTTCGCAAGGAACAAACTCTTGCTCCCATGCCTTTATCTCCTCCCTTTTCGAAAAAGTCGTGGCGTTCATTACGCCCTCAATGACCGACCGAAGTTTACTAGCTGACCCGTCAATATCATCTTGACCGCAAGAATAGCAGACAACACGAGTGGTCATGTCATAACGATCCTCATCCGTTTCTGCGTTGATCGCGAGCTTTGATATTTTTTGTGGAGGCTCCTCACGCTGTTTTCTGTTAGCACGCAGGACCGGACATAGTAATGGATCGCTTACCTGAATCTTCTTGCGGGTTCTTCTTATATTAAGCGCCAAAGGATGGCCGAAGCGCTCGAAGTGTAGACGTGCATGATCTTTTGATCCAGCACAGCCGCCGTTGAAGCATGAAAGGCAAACGTTAAGGCCAGACTTGTCGTCCTAACTATGCATTAACACTAAGGACACCGGGCAAAAGAGAGAGGTAGCCACAAACGATAGAATCAAAGCATTGCGTGCAGTCTTCTCGATACACCGCTTGGGAGGCAGATGGTGGTTGTAAGTCTGGGGTGAAAATGGGTTCAGCTAGCTTGCCTATGGTACCCATAACCATGTGCTGGACTTACCTGGCGAACCACGATGAAGACATGCCGCCATTTTGAAGCGAAGACGAGAGATCTTTACGAGGTTATTGTAGAAGTCACAGTTTCAAATAGACTAGAGAATCCTAGGACGCTGGCGGCTTGTAGCTCTTTCCCCATCAAACGCCACGGAAGTAGTGCCTTATGGCCGGAGAAGTGAAATCATCAGGTGGGGTACCTAGGCCGTCGGAGGCTGTGCCCGGTCCTCGGAGCGAGGGGCAGCGCAGCCTACCCTAGGTAGCCACCAGCACCTACCTAATTTAGGTAAGCTGCCACTTAACGCGTCTTCGCGTCTGCGCCGCATTTCACGTTTCCCACAACAAGCTTGGGCTTTCAGTTTGGACTTGACTTGATCACTCAAACACAGCTCTCTTTATATTGCTTCAATCGACATTCGCATTTGTTTTGCAAGGCTTGGCAACATACCAGTTCACACAATAATATTCACAGCCCTACGAACATCGCCGAGACGCGTGGTTGATACCATGACCTCACAAGCTTCACATGTCTCCGTTGGAGCACTCAGGTAATCCACCAGCAGTCGATTACATACGTTGCACATCTAATATAGCGCTGCTTTTGATATGACACTGCTGATAAGATCCCGGCAGTGCAATCTTCGATGGCACAAAGCCGCAGATCCCGGAACCCATCGTCCAATGTGTCCAAGTCAAGCCGCTGCCACCTCAAGCAAACAACCAGGAACGATACAGGGTTGTTTTTAGCGACATCTCAAATTATGTGCAGACAATGCTTGCTATCCGTATGTAATAAACTGTCTTGATAGAAAACGTGTCTAACCAATTTCTTAAATACAGAGGCAAACCATTTTGTAACAGATGGCCTACTTCGTAAAGGATGCTTTGTGCGGCTCAAACAGTTTCAAGCAAACTCTGTCAAAGGAAAAAAGTAATGCTCTGTACTTTCAACCCTGATTTATCTGCTAAACCATCACAGGATCCTTATTATTCTTGACCTCGAGGTTCTCAAAGAGTTAGGCGAAGCGGAGAAAATCGGCGATCCAAAGCCATTGGAGAACAAACTGGAAGAGGACGAGAAGCCGCAACCTACGACAATTTCTAGCAATGGGTTCTATGGGGCCAAGGCTCAAAATGCACCGTCGCGAGCCAGCTCCCGACCCCAGCATGTGCGCCCTATACAGGGGTCTGCACCTGCCACTATATATCCCATAGAGGCAATCTCTCCGTATGCTCACAAATGGACGATCAAAGCCCGCTGCACCAGCAAATCTCCCATTAAGACCTTCCATGGAAGAAACGGGGAAGGCTCGCTGTTCAGTGTCAATTTGCTGGACGATAGCGGCGAAATCCGCGCTACCGGATTTAATGAGCAGTGCTCTGCGCTGTATGAGCTCTTCCAAGAAGGGGATGTCTATTACATATCCAGTCCATGTCGCGTCCAAATCGCCAAAAAACAGTTCACAAACCTCAACAACGACTATGAGCTTACCTTTGAGAGGGATACAGTAGTTGAAAAGGTTGGTGTATTACCATGCCATTTGTCCCCCTTGTCTCACATTTCTCCAGGCAGAAGAGCAGAATGACGTACCGCAGATGCGTTTCAATTTCACGACTATCGGAGACCTTCAGACTGTTGAAAAAGACACGACGATCGATGTTATAGGAGTATTGAAAGACGTCGGAGAGACCACTCAGATCGTGTCAAAAACGACAAAGAAACCTTACGATAAGCGTGAATTGACTTTGGTCGATAATACTGGGTTCTCGGTGCGATTGACTATTTGGGGCAATACAGCTATGAATTTCGGCGCCACTCCTGAGTCTGTTGTAGCTTTCAAGGGAGTCAAAGTTTCTGACTTTGGCGGCAAGAGTTTGAGTCTACTCAGCTCTGGTTCTGTGACCGTGGACCCCGATATCGAAGAAGCTCATAGACTCAAGGGCTGGTACGACGCACAGGGCCGGGATGAGAACTTTGTCTCTCATGCCTCATCAGCCGGAACGATGTCCGCCACGAGACGTGATCAGTTCAAAACCATTGCCCAGGTTCGAGAGGAGCAGCTGGGCATGTCGGAAGAGCCTGCCTATTTCACACTGAGAGCAACAGTCGTATACATAAAGCAGGACAATATGTGCTACCCCGCGTGCCTCTCGGAAGGCTGTAACAAGAAGGTCACAGAACTGGATCCCGGCCAGTGGCGCTGCGAGCGTTGCGATAAAACTCACCCCAGAGCAGAGTATCGGTACATTATGCTTATTAACGTTAGCGACCATACTGGACAGCTCTATCTCAACTGTTTCGATGACGTTGGCCGGTTGTTGATGGGCACAAATGCGGATCAGCTCATGGAATTGCAACAGAACGAAGACAAAGCAATCAGTGACATCATCCAGAATGCCAATTGCCGCACCTGGAACTTTGGATGCAGAGCAAAAATAGATCACTTTGGAGATCAGCAACGGTAAGTTTGGCTGAAAATCGTGGATTCCAGTACTGACTACGCGTCACGCAGTATTCGATACCAAGTGTCCTATGCGAAACCTGTCAGTTACTCTGAAGAGGCATCACGCCTGGCAGACATAATTGACAGCTACAACATCTAGCTGTGACCGCTCTGTTGGTTGTAGGTAGATAACCCTCGTTTCCCTCACACTACTACAATGCTAGTAGCATTTATTTGGGATAGCTCAGAGTCTCGCTCTGTTTCCACAAACATGAGCAATGCATCTATTATGGGGACCAGTGGGATTAACCAGTATGGTATGATGATTCTTGAAACTAGTTGAAGGAAGATATGTGCTATTAATGTGCAATTAAGTGTTAACATTCGGTAAGCTAAGTACGTGGGTTTCACTTTCTGTAGCATTTATCAGCTCGAAGCTCCCATAGCTTGCTGCCATACCATGGATGCAATGTTCTTCAGACCTAGGATTTGAGTAGTAGCACGTGCCATACTGGCAAAGCGCTGGGCCGATTAAGGCTTTGAGTAACATAGCTCCCGGGCCTCGGCTATTGCTTTAGACACATAGATGCATCTCTGGCGCCTGTTGCTTGTGTAGTAATGACACAATTTCCTACGTCGTGGTACCATGTAGAGACCATACGTAGCAAGTGCCAGGGAAACGGTTATGGAGATAGTTTCTACGACAGTGTAAGGCGCGTAAGGTGGTAGATCTATATCCAATTGCATATACAGGCTATATGTTTGCTTGCTCTATTGACTTGTGGGTGAGAAAGGGGACCCTGACCTTACTATAACCTAGCCGTAAGGATCCTAACCTATTAACCTCGTAGCCTGGCTTTGAGGAAACAACTAGCCGTTCAATTGAAGTAGCTACTAGCAACTACTTTCCTTTTTATAGGCCGCAAGCCCTGTCGACCACGCGTTTCCCTTGGCTATGAGGCTATCTTGAAATATGGTTTACTACTCGGTACGAGTAGTGCCTGCCAAGCCAAGCTAGTACTCAGTACGGTATGGAGTAGGTACCAGCGAATGGTAGAGTGGGGATTTCGTACTGTAACCCCAAATGGATTTTTTTCTTAGATTTTTATGGACAAGAAAAGACCGCGCCTTTTTAATCTGATTCTACCTACCTACCAACTTCTTTTGGGTGCTTTCAAGTGCTTCCAACTCTCGGCTGGGATTATTTCAGATAGAGCTGGACAATGGCGAAACGTGAGCACCAAGATCAGGTCGGCGATGCCAGGCCGAGCAAGAAGTCCAAAAGCGCGAAACAGAAAAAAAGAGATTCCGAAGCTCAGGCGCCTTACACCCAGTCCCCTGCTCTTGATAATGTTTCTCAAGCAGAAATTGATGAATTTCTCTCTGACAATTCCATCAAGATAACGGATTCCATACCAGATAATATACCTCTACGCCCAATAACATCATTCTCATTCCTGCCCTCATGCAATAAAGACCTTTACACACCACTGAACGGTTTCGCCTCGCCCACAGCTATCCAATCCGCAACATGGCCACTCTTGTTTGCAGGACGCGATGTGATTGGGATTGCGGAGACGGGAAGTGGGAAAACCCTCGGGTTCGGTCTACCGTGTTTGAAGAAAGTCCTCGACCTGAAGCAGGCAAAGAGCAAGCAAAAGCCGTGCCAACCATTGGCGGTCATAATCTCCCCAACAAGAGAGCTTGCAATGCAGATTTATGACCAACTTGTGAGATTTGCCGGCAAAGTGGAAGTTCAAGTTGCCTGCATATTCGGCGGAGTTAGGAAAGACGAACAACGCGAGGCTCTGAAGTCTGCCGCTGTGGTCGTTGCCACCCCTGGAAGGTTGAAGGATCTTCAAAACGACGGTTCGTTGGATCTTAGCAAGGTCATGTATCTTGTGTTGGATGAAGCGGATCGTATGCTAGACAAGGGATTCGAGCAGGACATCAAGGACATTATCTCTCCCATGCCGGTGTCAAAACGCCAAACCGTGATGTTCACAGCAACCTGGCCGCCGGCCGTCAGAGATCTTGCGTCAACATTCATGACATCGCCAGTCACCGTTACGATTGGCGGTGACCCTTCCGCAGACCCACGTGCGAACACTCGGATCAAACAGGTTGTTGAAGTGGTCAAGCCACACGAGAAAGAGCAAAGGCTCGTGCAAATTCTAAACAAGCATCAGCGGGGTACTCCGGACAAGGTACTGGCGTTTTGCCTGTACAAGAAGGAGGCGATGCGGGTAGAGAGGCTCCTTCGAGCTAAGGGCTTCAAAGTCGCCGGTATACACGGTGATTTAGGCCAGCAAGAAAGATTCAAGAGCCTTGAGGCTTTCAAATCAGGCGCGGCCACTGTTCTTGTTGCAACCGACGTGGCTGCTCGCGGTCTAGATATACCTCACGTGAAACTGGTTGTCAATGTTACATTCCCGCTCACTGTTGAGGACTATGTGCATCGAATTGGCCGGTAAGGTCAGAGAGCCCGTTACGGATGCTTACGGCTAACATCATTTTTCATATTCAGCACCGGTCGCGCTGGGGCTGATGGGCACGCTATAACTTTGTTCACTGACACGGACAAGGCTCAATCTGGCGGGTAAGTAGTGATCCTGAGCTCGATTGTACTTCTCTGCTTTTCTTCAAGTGCTGATGGAAACTCATAGGCTCATCAATGTCCTAAAAGCGGCGAACCAAGAAGTGCCCGAAGCACTACTCAAATTCGGCTCAACCGTCAAAAAGAAGCAACATGACGCATATGGCGCCTTCTTCAAGGACGTCGAGCCGGGCAAGGCGGCTACCAAGATTGTATTCGACGACTGACTTTAATCCACCTTGATCTGCTGTATTTTAGACCCCATGTACTTCGATTTCAGAACTTGATAGACCCTGTTGTAGTAGGCTGTGACATGCCGCCTCTCGCAGCATAGCCTACGAATGTCAATAGATCAGTGCCCGCCTTTTGTAAATCGATGGTCCACGTACACTGCAAGAACATAGCAACACCCAACCATGAAGGGAAGTAGATCTCCGTAAAATTCAATTTGGTACCGGGACAGAATAACGGCCGCAGTGGCACCTGCGGCATAAGTTGCGGGTCGCAGAGCGAATTCTTCTATGGCTAGGTCCAATTCGTACTGACGAAGATACTGTCGGACGAAGGCATAACTCCAAATAATCCGGACAGACATATTCACAATATTGGCATAGACCAGGCCACGCGCGCCTAGCCCGCCCATTGACAAGAATAAATAGGCTGCCAGAGCAAAACATGCTGAGAATAACCCCATCCACACAGCTTGCTTTCGAAGTTCTGCTGGATTCGCAGTCGAAGAGACAAATGCTTCGCAGATACCGTTGAAAGCTAAAAAGGGGATATAATAGCAGTAAAGCGCGAGGAGGCCATCAACTTCAGGCGCCGTCCATCGCCGTCCACCTAAGATATGGAGAGCCTTCGGGGCCAAAGCTGGCCCAAGGGGGATGATCAAGATTGATATCATCATATATCCTCTCATAACAGTGAGTAAATGGTTCTTGGCAGCTGCAACATTGTCCCCCTGCCTCTTGCCTCCCTTGAAGTTGAGAAGTGATGAAAAGATAAGCCTACTGCTCTCTTCAATTGGCTGGAATAGGATACGAGCCAGTAGTCCACCATAATTAGACGCAAGCGAGTATATCCCCTGGTCCTGTAAGCTAGTCATGGCGGCAAGGATCATTGAATCTCCCTGTGTTAGCAGGTGCTTTACCACGGACTGAAAGAAAACATTTGCGGATAATGTCACCAGGCGCCACGAGAATATACCCCCAATGTATGTTGAGTTGTCGCTGGTCAATGTTATTTCATACTTCGTTTAACCAGGACTTTGATCACTCACCTTGCGTTTATCCGCGAAAGGCACAATGAGAAATGCCAATCTTTGCGTTGATATGCTGCAACAATAAAATAGCCGCAAAAGACTGTGCACGCATAGGACAAGTAACCCAACGCAAATGGCAGCGCTCCAAGGCTGTGACCATATCGCACAGCCCATATGGATGTGCCGCATGTAACCAGACTTTTTGAAAAGGCGGCACTTATCTCAACAGCAGCGCGCTTGCTGTACAACATGTACTGCTGCATGACTGCAAAAATCGGTTCAGAGCCAAGTTCGACAAGTGAAGCGATGGCTGTAGTTGCCACACTGGTATGGTAGTATGGCGTCCCCAGGACTTCCACGGAAGCGAATCGCACATAGCACGCGGCAAATGCCGTGGCGGTTACAATTCCCATGCCGATACTCAAATACGCCATGTTCACTATTGCCTGAGAGGACGCTGCACGGATTTTACTCCTTTCTTGTTCTTTACCCGATGAGACAGCATCTGTGCCCGAAGTGCCAGCAGGATATGCTGCGAGAGACTGCAATGGCTGCCTTTGGATGGCGGCTCGTATGCTTTCCCTAGAAAAGTACAAGATCGAGATCAAGAGCAATTCAAGCTGCGCTGCAAACCCCAAGATGGATGGCGATAAGCTTCTCAGTATCAATTGATTCGAGGCAAAAATGAAAAGTCTTGAGGCCAACTGTACGAAAACCAAGATAGTAGCTCCAGACATTGCTGATACCAGCATGCTGCTGGCATTGCTAACAGGTTTTGACATGTTCAATCAGCAGGTCGCCAGAGCAGGATCCCTGAAGTTGGCTAACTGTGAAGAGCTTAAGTGATTTCGATGCTAACCGGTGGGTTCGGGAAGGCGCACGTCGGAATAGTAGTACGAGGTAAGTATGATGATGTAGTAGTAGCCACTTTTTACCGTACACGGTACACCACCCCGCCAAAACATGGAGTAGCCAATCAAGGGCTGATTAGTGACTCGGCTTTTATCTATCGGAATCGAATGTTGCAAGTATTGCGGATACTTCTTAATTGGCGATTATTATGTTCCCTTGCGAGTCGCGATAACTTCAACTGTTTCTTGGCGATTAAGCCCAATGTGGGTGGGTACGCTAACCTTCTTCAATAGCGGTCATGATCCACACAGAAAAAGTTGTTGTCGGCGTTGCACGGGATGCTGCCAGTGTCTATTATTATTGAAATTGGCTCCAGTCGGGCCAGTCCATGTCAACAAATTAATCATATGCCTGCTGCATGCATGTGGATTACTAGAGTAGCGCTTCGCCCTTGGTACTCTAAATTAAAGAGTTTCCGAGTTTTCGGTCAAGCTCACTTCAACCATAATGCAATTCTGGGCACCAACTGCCGCCATCCCCAAGACGTCGAGTGCTCTTCCGGCCCACATAGATCTACAGCCTCCTTCCATCTTAGGTACATCTCGTTGAGAGAATGCTAGGACATAAATGGAAATATCCCACGAGACACGTTTTGATCGGCAAATGTCCCTATGAGATACCATAACTTCTAGAAAGGCGGGAGGAAAAAAGGATATCCGCCATTCTTCGCTCTGAATACACTCAGGAGGAAGCTGTATGTTCCGAGAAGCACAGCCCCCCAAATGACCACGGCAACCTGCTGAGACTTGTTGTCTGCGATGCGAGGAACCTTCATAGCAAGGGCTATTGCAGAAAAGGAGAGCACAGCATCTTCGACAATAAATATTAGCATCTAAGCCACTGAGTGAGCGCGAATGAGAGTGCGATAGATGACTTACATATTGCAGCAACAATTTGTGTTTCCATACCAAATTGGTTCGAAAATCCGCCAGCAAAGTAGCTGATGCCACCTCTTCCATCCCCAACAACGTAAGGTACCTTTCGAATGTGATTGAACATATGGCCACTGGTGAATAGAAGTACAGCAATCAAACTAAATGCAGCCCATAAGTTGCGGTTTCTTACAACTGGAAGGACATAAGGGGATAGCACAGTGAACAGGGTAACAACTGCCATGAGAATCGTGATACCAGACACAATCCTCATGTATTTAATCGGGCGCACGAGCGGTGGTTTGGGCCCATCAGGCAGCTGGCGACTGATCCAAGCATAGACTTGATCGGCAGAGATGGGACTGGAGAGCTGTCAGTCAAATGCTTCCATAAATCTTGATGATATGTAGAGATTCTGACCCGCTGAAGTCAAATCGCAGTGGGCTGTCGTCAACTCTGGCATAAGGGCCGACCGTGGGGGGGAACACAAGGAGGACAGGCGCAGTTTGGAGCATTAGCTGTATTCTCTGATTAGCCCATAAGTCCCCAGAGTGTTAACTTTGCTACATACTTTTTGAAATGCTGCCTTGCCATTTCGGAAGTCAAGAATGCCAAAAAGCACCCTGAGATCATCTGGTTTGGTCCCTCTATTCCAGCTCCGTGCAATAAGGTCATATTCCGGCTGGAAATCGCGGCAAAGCACACACCCAAAGCGAGCCTCTGTAGCTGTCAAAATCACTGTGGCAAAATAATCACGGGGCTTTGAGGTTATATCATCATAAGACAAGTCATCGAGCTGAATGGGCGCGAGGCGAGAAAGCGACTGATACTGTTTGAACTTGTCGGTGTAAGAGGCGGCGGGTGCAGTGGGAATAAGATAGAGGAGCGACGTAATGAGAGCGAGTAGTTTCATCTTGGCACAGTGTCCATACATGAACTTTGTTCATGAGCCCGTCAGCGTAATCAAGCAAGTCAATGGCTTGCAATACTAACGGATTAGACCACGTCTGCGAGCATTGGGAGCCATGACCATGGAGTAGCATTCGAGACGCAAGGTGTCCACTTAGGGTCCACCTGCACTGCGGGAGTTTTTCCTTTCCGGCCGGGACCTGCATTCGTTTACGTAGTGCCGCCTTATCTACATCATATCATATTCCGCACGGAGTATGTGCATGAGATTGATTCTCATACGTCGTAGCACTTGTGTCCAGTCCTGGCTATTTTGTCCTATATCTTGACTATGAAGCTTTCTGCAAATGAGCCAGAACATGCTCTTGAGGATGATGTACGTATCTTCCGCATTGCTAATACGCCGGCTGACAAGCTCTAGTATCGCATGGCTCTTGCGACTGCGCATTTCGAGAGAGATTTCGATCGCGTTAATAGACACACAATACAACTTCTTGATGCCGAGCGTGGTCGCACGAACTGCATGGAACGGTTGCTTCTCCGCATCGAAAATGAACATTTACAAATGCAAGTAAACCGGACGGGCCTAGAGTTGATCCAGGCTCGGGAGATAGAATCCAACACCCGCCTCGACCTTGAGGACGCTGTCAGAGAACTCGATCGTCTGAAGGACCTTGCCCAAGCATCATCGCGTGAAATAGACAACCTTCGTGTAGGTAATGCATGCATTACCTTTTACACAACTTGGCCTCCTGACGCTTCTCATAGCATGAACTTGCATCATTGAACACAGTTGCTTCAGATACTCAGAAATTACAAGCAGAAAAAGTTCGCCTAATCAGAGAAATCTCGAGTATACGGTCCGAAGTTGAGGAACTCAGGTCTCAAAACGCCTCCGCCAATGCACTTCTCACGGAAAAACAAGAGATGTCTCGACAGCTAAACGCGCTCGAATTACAATTAGAGAATGAGAAACGCGCGCATGAACGTGCCCTTGCGAAAGAATCCCAGCAAACAGACGAGGTCGCAGCACTTACTGCGAAACTCGATGAAGCGCGACGGGAACTGGGACTGGCGCGTCGCTACAGACAAGAGGGTATACAGCACAAAGGCAGCGCTCTTATGGCCAACTCGACACCAGCTTCCGGGAAAAGGAAGGGTATTAACCCAAACCTGGTGACGGTGAAAGACCGCCACCTAGAAGACACACAGGTGCAGCAGCAAGAAGGTTGGAGCACAATCACCACCACGAAGGTCCCGATTGAGCGACCCGATGGGCCACATCCTCGGAAAGCGACAAGTCGCTTGCATTCTGATTTGACAATTGCGACGCCCGGCGCTGTTCGTGCGCAACCCCAACAGAAGCCACTTACTACGCTTCCCGGTGAAAAGTCTTCGTTTTCGATAACTCCTTTCTTGAACCGCACAACGGGGGGGCTCGAAGAAACCTCAACAAGCTCGGACGACGAACTGAATGAAGATAGCAATGCTGCTAAAGATAGACACCGCACTAATTCGACCGCATTTTCCAGACAGCTCATGCCGTCGGCCGCAAAACAACCTAACGATCTGGCCAAAAGGGTACCCTTAAAGACGGCCGTAGACGAGGATACAAGAAACAGACAGAAGCGAAAGGTACTTGGAAGCCCTGAAGGAGACGGGGGCTACCAGACTTCGCTGTCTCACCCTGTTGGGCAAAAGCAAATCCTGTCCAAGAAACGCAAACTAGGTTTGCAGCGGGATAGGAGCTTGTTCGACGAAGACGAGGACGAAATTACCTTGCAGGACACCAGAAAACTAGGACGGAAGCTTCTTGGTGCAGTTCAACCAAGCTTAACAGGAAACCGCGCTTTCACTGGACCCGTGGGGTTCTCGCCCTTGAAACGAGATAGAAAACGATTCTGATTTTATTTAGTCCATATTTGTTCAGAACAGTCTATAGTCCCGAGTTGTATCACGTCCCTGCTCTCGTACATGCTGCCACTAGGATAATACTGAACTTTCAATTAACCGTGTGTGCAGTGATTGAACTAAGCAAGGCTAATTAATGTAGCAAGCCTCAAAATTGACGTATATAGATAGTACGGAATAGTGCAGGTGATCTCTCACTCAATGCGGGATTAATGAATATGCCAAGACGGCGCAATCACAACCTCGTTGTCTGTTGTTGCTTCCACGTCATGTTATCAAGGTTCAAATAATACCGGCCATGGCCATATCGCTCATATCTCTAGGCCTTGGCAATCGCGCTCAATTTTTTGGGGTAGTCCAACAATCTTTACAAAAAAGGCTTTCGTCCTCTAAACGATGGCAAGCACGCCAACTGAAGGATCATTTTACGCGGGAGGCGGCAGTTCAAGGACTCAAAAGCCGGGCAGCATTCAAGCTTTTACAGGTAAATCCTACTAGTGCTCTTGTCTGATCACTCTATGTGCCTGATCTGATACTGGCATCCTTCACAGATAGATGAAAAATATCGGATTTTCAAGAGTGGCCAAACTGTTGTTGACCTAGTAAGATAGTCCCCGGATACCACAAATCTGAGATGTTCTCTGTTTTTGACGGCATTACCAAACAATAGGGATATGCCCCAGGGTCCTGGTCGCAGGTAAGCGTAACAAGAAAACGTGATATTCGTATCTAACATTTTTTCGAGGTGGCATTGACGCGTACTCAGCCCAACGGCAGGGTCCTCGGGGTGGATATAATCCCCAGCCAGCCGCCCAGAGGCGTCTCAACTATTCAGGGAAACTTCTTAGATCCCGCGGTTCAGGATTATGTCCGAGACTTTGTACGCAATCCTCGAAGGGGCAGACCTTACTCTCAAGGGGTTACTCAGGAGATCGAGGGCCATGATCATCCCGTAGAGTCTGTCCTCGAGGCGAGCCGTACCGGTGATGTCCTTGGTGATGGTTACGATGGCTATCCGAATGACCAGAGAACGGTAGATGTGGTTCTTAGTGATATGTCCGCTCCCTGGCATCAAACAACCGGATTTTGGAAGAGAAGTCTAAGTAATCCTTACCACAGGATGATGAATACTAGCGGTGTGACATTCAAAGATCACGTTGGAAGCATGGTATGTTTTCCTGCGCGCTTACACGATGGCTGTTTTGAAACTAACATCTTAGAAGGACCTCTGCCGCGCTGCTCTGGAGTTCAGCTATGAGGTGCTCAAGACTGGAGGGCACTTTGTCTGCAAATTTTACCAAGGAGCCGAGGAAAAGGATCTGGAGAAGCAGCTGAAAGCTTTGTTTCAAAAAGTGCACAGGCTCAAACCAGATTCATCACGCAGTGTAAGCAATTCCCTTTAGCGAGCAATCTTTGGCAATCCCCACTAACCTCTCAACAGGAATCTAAAGAGGCATATTTCATCGGACTCGACCGCAAAGCCCACACTAGAAAGCAAGACGTACTCACGGGCCCTTCTTATGAGACTTAGAAAGGGCATTGTATACCCCACGATTACCTTGATCATTCATTGTGTGAAGCCGGCGCCTCACAAGACCCGGATATGGTCAGGTCTCACCTATCGATATCTCGTCGAGTTCCGAATCTTCGTCCCATTCAATATCGGCTAAGTTTGCTTCCGCTGTGTCTTGAACCTTGAAGCAAGCAAAAAGTCAGCGACTTGTGCTTTGCGAAATGGTGGGATGCCAAACCTCTTTGAGACCACTCAGCTCTTCAACATAACCTACTTCGTTCAGTGCTCTTTGCACGAAGTTCCAGCCCTCCTTTTTGTATTCGTTTGTGATATTTTTGGAACATGCGCTGCAACATCTATAGCTTCGACCTACGACAGAGACATTCTCAAAAGTCGACAAGAACCCTCTGATCTGATGCGGAACAACCCCGAGAGGGTGATCATCGTCACCCTGCGTCTGGGGAGCACCTGCAGCAGCTCCTAGCGGATGCTGGAGAACTGACACCAGTAACTCAACCAACAGAGCCGATGCCATGGTGGCTACTCCAGGTCGAGTGACGGTGCACTGCTGGTCGAGCGTCTGGTCTTTCTGGGACTATGCGATGTTTTTAGCAAGAGTGCCACGAGGCTTCGTTCTATAGACTCACATCCATAGGTGCAACAACGTCATTGCAGAAATAGCAACCCAGCTCTTCCTCTGGGTGTTCGTTGTTTACAACGCCATGGCGCATTACGACAAAGGTGTCGAAACCCAATGCTGCATTCATAACAATTTTACCCGCCGCTTTCCCCATCACGGTTGGTAGCCAACGTGATTCTCGAGTGTCCATTAGAAGTATAATAGCGTCATGATCGTCTATGAGCTTTTTGAGGAGCTCAAATTCTGCCTTTGTCTTTTCAACGTCCATTATAGGGTGACCCGCCATAGGAACAGCCAGTACATGGCCAATGGATTCAACGCCGGGATAAATCTCTGATAGAGCCTGAGACGCCCGGTACGCCTTTTTCGCGCCGCCATCCAAACAGTCGGCAAAATTAAAGAGTGGCTGTCTCACGGGGTTTGAGAATGACACGGAACCGTTATCTACAAATGTTATCTTTCTTACTCCCCAGGCCTAATCATGTTAGCAATCCACGCAGATGCGAGCTTGGTAAAAGTGGTACCATCAAGTTTCGAGCGACATAGCTTCCCAGGGTTCCAGCTCCAAGTAAAAGACACCTTGTTCCTTTGATTTTCTCGAGATCGAGGTTCGGGCTGATCCGCCACTTCATAAGCTTGAGGTTGAGGTCAACGGACTGATCGGCAAGTCTTGTCAACCGAGAGCAGAGTCAGCGCCTGGGTTAATTTAATTGATTCAGTGAGACTGTACCTCTTGGGGTCCAGATGTTCCGTGAGGTCGACGAATCTTCCGACCAGTTTTCCAGCTGGATTACGCTCCCACCCGGTCACCTTAGGCATTCCATTGCACTTGGCCGGAAGCTCGAGAAGCTGTGACGCCTTTAGCCGTATTGATAGCACAATGCTACGACTGCTGCCACGTAGCGATTGTCCATCACGGTAGCGCAATACTTGGGTCTCTGTAAGTCCCCACCGTCGTTTCACAAGGATGAGCAGGTTTCGCAGCATCCAGCCAGGGGCCTCGTCAAAGTTTGAAGGATCGACGAAGCTGATAAAGCGGTCCGCAAATTCCGTGTTGTTAAAGAATCCATCCTCATAGCTTGAGAGGGGTGCAATCTTCCAGATAACAGCATGGCCGTCCTGTGCTTTCACTCTCCGCGCTAGGAAGAATCCTCGTTGCTGGGCATTTACGCCACGAGCCCACTCCTGCACAGATTCGTTGAGCGCAGAACTTTCCGCAATGGACAGTCTCTTTGATTGCGCACGCTGTGGCCGCTCGCTCCCTTCCTCTAGTGGTATCCAAGAGGGCTCTGAATGAAGCGCAGGAAACGCGAACCAGTAATGGAACTTGTACTTCTTGAGATCGGCGTAAGAGAGGATAATGAAGGAAGACAGCAAAGATGGACATGAGTAGACAGTGCCGTCGTTAATAGCATCCCATATCTGGAGATACAATATTATTACTGCTTTGTTAAGACAGAAAACATGGTTGAACTGACCACTTTCCCGGACTGTTGAAGCATAGCCATCTTGTCAGCGTTTGTGTACTCTTCAATAGTGTTCACATTCCTTATGATGCCCTCCGCTCGGTAGTAGCTAGCTGGCGCACTGCATGGTAAACAGTCAGCGATGCGTCTGATTTATATGCCACACGAGATCCTTGGGGCTCACTCATTGCTAGCGAGGGCATTCCCATGTACTTGGATCCTGCAGGACGCATTGGGGGGGTCTGCGGGGCGTATCTCGTAGAGTCCTAGAATCTTGTGGGCGGAGTCATCAAGCTTATCATGATTGATCTTGCGGGACGCTAGCGCTGTATAGAACGGAAGCTCTATATCTGAAGCAAAGGGAGCGTACTGCATGGTGACGGTTGATGTAGAGCCGAGGGGTTGATCCTGGTTGTAGTTATAGTGGGGTAGTAATACTACTACTCCGTACTACCTAGTAGTAAGTTGTAGATCATGTACCTAGTGTATTGGCGGGGTAGCCGGGCCGGCATGGACGGTACTCCGCGCGGATGATCGAATTGATGCGAGTTTGTATTTGGTAAGTTGGACGTGCCGATGCGGAGTATATGATCTAAAGTCAATAGACATCCATGGATGCTGGAGCCTTTTCAAGTATATGTAATGAGGGACCATCTGGGCAAGCTGGTCAGCCATCCTACAACAGTTGAAGGCGCAGGTGACTATGTCTGCAAGTTTGTTATCTTATCTCTGATAGGTATACCTAGGTACGTCACAGGCCGTGGAAGCGGAAATAATACCGTAACCAAAGCGAAGTCTAGGAACCACCGGCACGCTGGACTTGCTGCCGCTATACGTAAGTCATATTTCATCTTTACAAGAAAAGAAACGTCAAATGAATAACCTTGACTATATACAACCCAACGAGGCTGGAGCAGAGAATACCACATCAGGTAGCTCACAGGTGCCTGTACTCCGTATCTTCAAAGTGTCTTCAAAGGGCGGGAACGTTCCGCACTAGGTAGTGCTGTACGGCACCTGTATGCTACATACGTACAGTAGGTTATACTGGAATTGTGAACAGCTGCAACATGACCTACTCTTGCTTCTGTGCTATAGTCTATGGTTGAATTAAGACCTGTGAGGTATTTACATTTGCATGGTTAGGAAAACTTGGCACAACGGGAATGTGCCTTCTCATTTCTTTCTAGGTATGTAACCTTGGCAGAGTCTGGAGATTTATTTTCGGGCATTTTGCATTACCACATGCTCGCAAATCGACTCCGCAGACTGAACGAACTTCTCCTACCAACAAGAATCATTTCTGTGTCGCAGCCCTGTGCTCTTGCGCAGACGCAAGGACAATGCTAATTGGTTTATGTGGAGGTTAGTCGGCTCCGGTGTCCTGGCCGACAGTGGAGGCTAATCGATATCAAATTCTTCAAGGGATCTGTTCGGGGAAGCATGCTGTGGCAGATTATTTAATTCAACACCAAAATTTCCGGCGCCTTGAAGTGAAGAACAGCGCCCTCCCTGAGGCTATTGACGACCCTAGGCTGCAAGCCCCCGACTCAAGTAACAATGCAAACGGCGAGGCCTCATCTATAGAATTTGAGACCTTTGGTTCGTTGCTCGATTTCGCAACCAAGAGATGGCAAGAACCCTGGGTTACCACACATATTGGGAACGCCTCAACGATAGATCGTTTCCTGCAACGCCCGTTCTTTCTTCTTGTCAGTGTTGATGCTCCGATCAGTCTGCGGTGGAAGCGCTTCGCGAACAGGTAAGTCCCAGCTTTTCAGTTCCCAAGAATGTCGCTAATTCTCTTTAGGTGTCGGAGTAGACGGCTTGACCCTCCTAATCTTGAAGAGTTCGTTCTTTGGAATGATAAGCAGCTCTATGAGAAGGATGTTGGCCGTGCTTTTATAACTGACCGAGCACAAGTCCGCCTCTTTAATTCATCTTCCTCTTTGGAAGAACTGTATGCCGCTCTTAAGACGCTAAACTTGGCTGACGAACAACGTCTGCGACCCAATTGGGACCAGTATTTCATGGAACTAGCATCTCTCGCCGCACAGAGAAGCAACTGCATGAAGAGACGAGTAGGCTGTGTCCTTGTTCGAGAACGCCGCGTAATTAGTACCGGCTACAACGGAACTCCAAGGCACCTCACAAATTGCAACGAAGGCGGATGTATGGCACCTTGATGCAGTGACAAAATTGATATGCTTACGCTTTTCTTAGGCCCAAGGTGTAATCGTGGCGAAGGCGGAGGGGTTGGCTTGTCCACATGCCTCTGTCTCCACGCTGAAGAAAATGCTTTATTAGAGGCTGGAAGAGAACGCATAAGAGAGAACGCAATATTATATTGCGACACGTAAGTCAATACCTCTCCGCGCCTTATCAATTTTCTATAAACTGATGTCTGCTTCCCAAAGGTGTCCCTGCTTGACCTGTACTGTGAAAATTGCACAGGTCGGGATTTCAGAAGTGGTATACTCACAGGGTTACAATATGGACAGCGATGTATGCTCACTTATATAGCTCTTTCAGGCGAGGCCCTGCTGACTATAACCAGAGCGCAGCAATCCTTAGAGCAGCTGGAATACGCCTTCGCCAATTTTCTCCGGTAAGATCTCGGCTCAACCTCTGGCACCTGGAGAAACTAACATTCCGCAGCCTCGAAATGGTTTAATTTACCTTGAAGGGACTGACACAAGGGATCCATAGCAAGACTTGCATTCGCTGCATATCGTGGATGCAACGAGGCCATTGTAGATACCAGGAACATTCTTAGATTTTGAGCAGGCCTGTAACTAAGCACACTATGAAGCGCCCCATAGAGTAGGTAGCTAAGGCGTGCATCAGGTTTTATGTCCTTAGAATATACGGCTTTCATCCAAGACTAGGTGACTGGTATCTTGTTATCTCAGATGTCATGGAAGGTTTCGATCGATACGACGATTATATTAACAGAGTGATGTTGCTTGTGTCCAAGCTCCACCAGGTACTACCATCATATTCACATCCACCTTTGACACGATGTGACCCTGCAAGCATATGACCCTGCAAGCATATGAACAACGGTTCTAAAACAGCCCGCTCACGGTTGCTCAGATGTCTGACTCGGATCGTCGTACAAGGAAGCCCTTGCCATCAAGGTAATCCTTGACTTCACCGACGCTATATTCACCACGATGGAACTATACCACATTTAGTGCTGTAATAAACAGGGGAACGTGCCAGGTGTACATACCATTCCAGCACCTAGAGCGGCATCGGTGGTCGTTTGGTCAAAAACTTCCTCAAAATGCTTGGGCACACCAGCTCCGCTCGAAGCAACTACAGGTATTGTTATCGCAGCCTTGACGTGATTGATCAGTTCGAGATCGAAACCACTATTGCTCCCATCTTTGTCGATGCAGTTGAGCAAGATCTCCCCAGCACCCATCGCTTCAACCGCTTGCACTAGCTGGCAGACGTCCAGATCCCGGGTCTCTCTGCCACCCTTGATAGTACACTGGTACCAGCAGAAGTGTTGCCCGGCGGCGTTGGGATACTTCGTTTCTATTGTGTGGTGCTTCGTATCTTCTGGCCTCTTCACATATACACGTTTCGGATCGACGCTTACAACGACGGCCTGATTTCCGTACGCCTTCGAAATAGTTTCTATGGCGGTCTTGCCTGAAAGGACTTTGCCAGATTCGTAGAACTCTTCCGCGGCTGTAACAGCATCAGAGCCGATGCTGACTTTATCAGCTCCAGATTTGAAGTACATCGTTGCCACATCGAGAGCCGGTATGTGAGTTCCGTCTGTATCAACGGTATCTCTGATGCCGCCGCCAATGGTCAAAGGTACGAAAACGGTCTCGGAGGTTCTTCTGAGAATTTCGAGCATTGGAAGATCAGCTACCGGACAGTTTCTGAATGAGGTAATGTTCAGAAATGTCACTTCATCTGCCCCTTGTTCGTAGTATTTCTTGGCCATATCAACAGGCTTTCCCAGATTTCTCACTTGGCCTCCAGCAGCCGCACCTTCCTTCTCCCTAACGTCATATTGATCGCCCTTGGTCACAACGAGATCGCCGGCATCATTCGTGCGAACGTCAAGGCAGGCTATAATTCTGCGAGTTAGGCCATTTTTTTCTTCAGTCCGCGATGAATCTTTCGGCGTAAGTGAATGGAACTTGTCTCCATTCAAAAATGCACGAAGAGTGCGCAGGCCTGCTTGTCCACTCTTCTCAGGGTGAAACTGTGTGGCAAAGATATTATCCCGTGCTATGGCGCCAATGAATTTCTCCTTCCCGTAGACAGCCGTGGCAACAAACCAACCATCCTGCTCGAGAACATCTGGCTCGTAGAGAGCGGCATATGAGTGGACATAGTAGTACTTGCTGCTCGGGTTCAACCCATAGAAGCTCTGGCCGCCGGATAAAGCGACGCGAGTATCTGTTGCCGAATTCCAGCCGATGTGAGGTACGCTCTTTGTTTTGGCGTCGAACTTGTGCATCCGCGCTGGGACTACACCGAGACCGGGCACGTTGGGGTTTTCCTCGGAGCCTTCAAAGAGGGCTTGCAATCCAACGCAAATTCCCATGAACGGTTTCCCGGAAGCTATATGCTCTCTTATCGGCTGCAAATAACCGCCACTCGAAAGCTGGGAAAGGCAGTGGCCAAAGTGGCCGACTCCTGGAAGAATGAGCTTCTATAGTCTTCCTTAGCCGAGTATGCCCTAACACAAGGGATACGCTGACCACAACGGTCCCGATTTTCCTTACCTCGACATTCTTCAAGTCCTCGGGCGACCTCACCCATTTAACTTCGTAGCCAACCTTGTTGATGGCATTCACTAGAGAACGCACATTGCCAGCGACATAATCGAGTAGATGGACGGTAGGCATTGCTGTAGGTGCTGACTGCCAGCCCTTTTCAAGAGTTCAGTGGATTGGATTAGGTCTCGCGAAAAACCCCAATGAATGGGCTTCCCAAGAATTTGCTGACTCGAGAGTCGATACCCATCATATCCTTTCCTTCAACCCCACTAGAGTAAAGGAGGGGCTGACTCATACCTAGAATTTTCGAAGGCGGAAAACTCGACGGAGCACTTCATAGTGGCCCAAAAATAGTTTGCCGGTTTCTGAGAAACGATCATAATTTCCCTTGCCGCTGTAGTAGTCTAGACGGCTTCAATCAAATTATACAGACTTTTAGAATTGACCTCTAAGCGTATTTAACTTATTATTTACACACAAAACTCTTCATACTACTCCATACTCCGTACATACACCCTCTGGCCTGCATCGATCGATACCCACACAGTGAGGTCCACTTAGTAAGCTGCTAGCGCCATGTAATACCTAAACAGTAAGTTTGTTGTTTAAGCCTCTCTGCTTATTTCTAACACTTATATTAACTTTTTTAGGAACAAAGAGTTTTAATTATACCTCCCTTTCTTATAATACTACCCATTGCTTATAATTTACATAACCTATGGCTTATTATTCAAAATCTCTATGTAATCATATGGTTATAATATCTAGTGGCTGTTAGCGCTGTGGGGCGGCAGCCTGTGGGTATCAATTGATGCAGGCCACAGGGTGTATGGACTCCGTAATTATTTAATGCATTGGCTTGAGTGCAGGTGGAGCCCTGGACCGTTCTAATCAGGCTTAGTGGACGCCACGTGACTGGCACCAGGTGGCTACTGTCCTCATCAAACTAACTTCATCTGCTTCACACTCGAACAGTTTCGGTCTTTGACATAGGAGGCTCAATTGGGAACGCCGGTGCTTTTTACCCTTGTCATATCCTCTTAGTGGGAGGACTATTTCTTCGAACCGCTTCCTTGTGTGATCTTTGAGATCCGTTTCACCAGGCTTCGGTATCCCCTTCTTTGTGGCTCTCCGGTATTATTTAACGGTCAGTGCTCGACTTCTTCTGCGTCGCAAGCTGTCCCTTGATCGCGAGTGCACTATCTTGGCTAGGTTATAATTACAGAGGACTGTGACGGTGCTTGGTTCGACTGGATCAAAAATCTCGCATCTGTTTATTCTTCTCTCTCCATGTTACAGCTCAGTGTTTGATTTGAATATTCAAGACTTGACGGTGTCCGAATCAACGCCCCTTTCGCCTCCCCCAGCTGAAACAAAGTTTCTGAGTTCATAAGTTCAAGCAATATCGTCGATATTATTTGAGACTTTGATTTCAGAGGTTTTTTCTGCTACTTTTTTTTTTGCGTGAGAGAGAGAATTCTTTCTTCGCTTGTCGAGTCGTCGCTTGCTTGCTGTCTATCATTTTTGCATTTGCTATATTGTCTGCTCTTTCGACCTACACTTACCTGTATCCCTCATTTGTGAAGGTGGTCTAACCACCAAGACTTGATCTATTAAACATTCACAAACACATTCGTTCGACATCAATTCAATACAATGTCATCCTCTGTTCACTTCAAGTTCAAGTCTCAAAAAGAACCCTCGCGGGTCACTTTCGATGGCACCGGTATCTCTGTCTTCGAGTTGAAGCGAGAAATCATCAATCAAAGTAGATTGGGTGACGGTACTGATTTTGAACTATCTATCTATAACGAAAACACCGGGGAAGGTAAGGAAAATCCTATTACAGTGCTATCATCTCGATCACGTTTCACATTGTATAAAAAGCTAACGGCGCCTTCTCAGAATACGATGATGATACCAGTGTCATACCACGCTCTACCTCTGTTATTGCACGAAGGCTTCCAGCTTCCCGACCTGGTAAGGGCGGCGCTGCTCGATATGTGTCCGGGAAGATGCCAGTGAACGCCCGCAGTGCGCCCCGTAGCGACCAGTCTGCCTTAGGCCGAACAGTTTCGAATCCTTTACAACCGGTCAGCAATGGTGTACAAGAATTGAATAATGCTCAGACAGAAGAGGAGAAAATCAATGCTCTCTTTAACCTTCAAGCGAATCAATGGCGAGAGCAGCAGCAAGAGATGGCCAAGTGAGTATTTCCTGGTGACAGATAGAAACTTTTTACTGATTGGCTGTTGCAGCGCAACTCCTGTTCTGTTTGGTCGTGGTAGAGGTAAACCGGTCAACGTTCCAGATCACCCACCGCCGCCTGGGTATCTATGCTATCGTTGCCGTGAAAAAGGCAAGTCTCTATACAGTCCGTCCGACCTAGTAGGATACTAACACTTCATCCTAGGTCACTGGATCCAAGCATGCCCCACGAATAACGACCCAAAATTTGACGGCAAATACAGAGTGAAGCGGTCAACAGGAATACCGCGGTCTCTGCAAACTAAAGTCGAGAAGCCGGAGTCTTTGATGCTCGATGGATCTAATGAGGACCTACGGAACACGGGCGTTATGGTCAATGCAGATGGTGACTTTATCATTACTAAACCTGACCAAGCGTCCTGGGAGTTATATCAAGAAAAGGTTAAGGCGACAGCAGCGGCCGCAGCTGAAGCGGCCGCTGCAGAACACAGCAGGGAGCTACAAGCTCGCGGGTTAGAGTGCCCGATTGACAAGCGGATGTTCTTAGAGCCCGCGAAGACGCCCTGCTGTCAGAAGACTTACTGCAATGACTGTATCACAAATGCATTGATTGAAAGTGATTTTGTATGTCCTGGCTGCGGTACCGAGGGTGTTTTACTTGATAACCTCTCTGCCAATGATGAGATCGTCCTGGAAATTAAAGCCTATGAGGCTGAGAAAGCAGATTCGAAGAAAGAAAAGGACAAGCAGCCAACGCCAGTCAAATACCAATCCGACAACAACACGCAGGCGCCTAATGCTGACTCTATTGAAAGACAAGACGGTTCACAGTCAACGCCTGTCTTGCCCAAGAAAAGGCCCGCTGAGGATGAACCTATTATCGCGGCTAATCAAGACCAAGGTTCGGGTGCGTCTCAAAAGAAACAAAAACCTGATGATGGCCAATCGTCTACCGAGACCTCTCAGCAACAATCAGAGAACTCAACTAACGCCTTGTCGTCGTTTCCTTTCAACCAGCAGATGCCTTTTGGAATGCCTGGATTTCTTCCAGGTCCAGGAATACCTGGGATGCCCTTTCCCGACACCGCATTTGGTGCTGATGGGATGGGGCTCATGAATCCCATGGGACTGTCTACAGGAAATGGCTTTCAGCCCAACATGGACCCTACCTGGAACCCCCTGAATATGATGGGCTTCAATCCACTGTCGACCGGCATGTACAACAACCGTGCAAATGGACCTGTTCCCAATGGGTTTGGTGCGTCTAGCGCCTACAATGGCACAGGTGAGCAACCATCGAACATGTTTGCCATGCCTCAGATCCAGGGGTCCATGGCGCAGAATCCTGGATTCGGGCAAGGGATGGGGGCAGGCAATTTTTCCAACCAGCAGCGGACTGCGTTCAGCACACCATTTACTAGGGAGGAGGACTCCCCTTACTTCCGCCAGCCGGTGAACCCCCAGCGACATCAAGCCAGACACCGAAGAATAAGGCCAAGCGATTATCGAGAACTCTGAGTTAGCAATGACTCGGCAGACTGGTTTTCTCGAACCAGAGCTCGACTTGTGGCAACTTTACAAGGTTACGTGCCGCTGTTTGTATATTAACTATGTAATATTAGCACTGTAAATAACATATATCATTACAATTTCAAGATGTCCCAAATTTGGAGACTGGTCCGCATATACTCCATGGGGCTTAATTGGCCTAGATGCCTTGTTGCCTCGGGCGATAACGCGGTCAGATGACAGCGAAAAGCGGAGGCCCAAACCTCGAACTCTAAACCAACTTCAACAATAGTCCTATCCACCAACAGTTTGAGCATTTTCATTCCATCAATCTTGTACAAGTCCTTTCATTCTGTCAGAACTACCTGCTATCTACCAGAATCACTTTGGACACTTTTGGAAGCGACACCATGGCTAGGTTTATAAATAGTCACAGTAGTACCTCAAATCTCGCGCAACGATTTGTCGACAAACCATCCCAAACCACTGTATTGGCTAGTTGCTATAGCGTCAACATGGGTTCCGCGGCCGTTCATGGCCTCCACTATTGTACTACGATTGGGGCCGGTATGATTTACTCTCAATGTCCACCATACTGTCATTTACTGACAGTTGCACTTCATATTCTAGGAGTACAGTGGTATCCCTGAGGTCCCCTCAGGGTTGAAGAACGCCCACGCAAGACCTCCCCTCGATAATTCACATGCTCCCATGAACGGAAGCAGTCATTCAATGAACAATTCGCTGGGGCAAAAAGGGGAGGCAGCGCATACTATTCCGGGAGAGTGTGAGAGGCTCTTTTGCGACGTTCTGTCTGTGATATTCCTTGGTGAGAGGTTGCCTAGACAGGAGTCGCTTGGGATAGATGCGTCCCAAATTCAAGCTATTGATACCCGCGGCGAACATGCGCGGATTCAAAAGTGGTTTGAAGTACTAGATTATACGAGTGACGCAATGTACCGAGGATTCGTAACTGGCACGACCGGCGAGCGAACAATGTTTGTGTTTCTAGCAGGAACAGCCGTTGGTCATGGCTTAAAATCGGGGTATGTCAATAACACGGTTCTCTCCCTATCCAACCCGTAAATGCGCACGCGCGCATGTTTGGACGTGCAGTCATCTGGAAGACTAGTACTAACTCCATTCACCTATAGCTTGGTCGCCCTATTTGAACTAGCCAACGTTCCTGCTTTTGGTTGCTCGCAGATAGTGGCGTGCGTGCCGCGTTCAACAGATGGTAGCGAATTAGAATCTATGAGGAATCTCGGATGGTGTGGTTTTGCCTTGACCACTTTAGAACGATTCGGAGCCGCACACTCAAACAGTATCAGCAGCAGATGGCTATTCTTATGCGCTGAGGCTTGAACTCGCTCAGTTGATACTGGATTCGTGCTTTCTTGCTTTCATAGTCCAAACCTGTCAGTCTACTAATCAATATTGATCTGATCCACCCTGTATCTTATCTCTCTATCTTATCCTGCCATGACGTCAACAGTACCTATTACTTCTGTAATCGTTGAGAGCGACAGTCGTAGGATGGTTGCATGGCTTAATGAAAGGTTAATTCAATACCCTGATGCTGCAAGATCGGTGAACTCGATCTGTGGCTGGTTTCCATGATATGGGTTCAGAATACAATGCAGTCTTATATTATGGGCCCCACCATCAAGCTTCCTCCTCACTCCTCACAACTTCTCACAACTTCTCGACCTTGGGGATTGGCCAACTCAACTTTGTGACCAACACTGATCCTTTGTCACTTTCTAATTTACTTGAAAACTCATAAGTACAAATTTATATAAACATAAAACTTTGGGATCAGGGCCGGCCGCGACAGCGATTCCCCATGTTTCCGAAGTTTTTACTACCACCGTCAATCTTCCGGACCAAGAAAGCGAATGCCCAGGGGCCAGATTCTGCATCCGAGCTACCAGTCGATGAGAATTCAAGGGAGAAATATGTTCAGGGCCATATATCGTGTATTCGATGCTCGAACTGCGCTGCTGAACTTTGTTTAACTACCCAGATCATCAGCAAAGGGTTCACTGGACGTCATGGTCGCGCTTATCTGGTGTCTGCGCAACCTACTGTCAATGCACCGTCCAATCCTGGAGAAACCCTGCCAAATACATTACTTCAAAGTCCCGTATCCAGGCACTTAGTTACGGGCGCTCATACAGTGAGCGACATTGACTGCGTTTTCTGTGGAAGCGTACTTGGGTGGAAATATATCAGCGCGGAGGAGCAATCGCAAAAATATAAGGTCGGAAAATTCATACTGGAGACGAGCAAAATCATAAAGACACCCGCTTGTGACACGGCCTTCGGTGCAAGATGGGCGGAATCCACTAGCCGTCACTCCGTGAAACCCACAGAAGCGGCCTCGAGTCCTGGTTTTGAAGGCATTGAGTTTGACAGCCAGAACGAGGACGAGTGCGAAGATCTGTTTAGCGGGGTCTGGAGCCCCCAGCTAGCGGTTCGCCGCAGAAACAGAGCCGCACGACATGGTTCCGCGTTGGGGGTTGGGCTCTAGGACTTGAACTCGAACTCCCCATTACGCTGGTATATCAGCCCCTTCGATTCTCATTCGTGCTTTTTTTTGGGCAATGCTACCTGATACCTGACAACTGACACCCTCGCAGTATATACAGTCCTTATTGACTTTCCGTACTTTACGTCCTTAGGTAATAAAATATAATAATATAATACCTGCCTCTCAGTATGATCTATCACAGTACGATAGCACCGATATAAGCAGGCCTGCAGCAGGATGACCCATGTATATTCATTCGAGTAATAGATTTCAATTATAGATGCAGCCCGCGTGGGAGGTTACCACTCTCTAATGGGGCGTATATATTTTGCGAAACTATGGGATATTAAAAAACCACAGCAGCAGCAGAGCTCGAACCAAGGCTCGTATTTATGCGTTGAATAAAAAAGAAAGCACGTATACTAACATGCATGTGCTTCAGCTGAGGGTTCTGGAATACGGTGACCGATCTGTCGCAGCAAAGTTAGCGAAGATCTATACAGAGACTACAAGGCGAGCTGCTCACAGGGGGGAGCGGGAATGCTGGAAGAGCCGTTATGATTGATTCGTCATCCTCCAAGACGACGGGATAATCGCCGCCCTCGTGTTGATGTTCCTGGTGGTCCAATCCTTGTTGGTAGAAGCTCAAGTATTCCGAAATAGTGTGGAACCTAGGGGCAGTCCCCGGCCGGTGCTTCAAAGAATAAGTGTTGAGGTTCTTAGTCTCTTCGTCCAACCATGCCAGCTGTCTCTGGACGTCGAACGAACCTGTAGCAAGATCGCCCGAACGCATATCAAGCGGCCTCGCCTGGAACATACTCCACAGTCCAACCTTCTTGGTTTTAGGCTGAACAACTTTCTTTCCTCCCCCCTTAATGCTTTCCCAGTCATCGAGAACACGATCGGATTTGAAGTATTGCAACAGTTGATCTCTCATAGTTTCCCGTTTCATCAACGCATTAGATGTGCTTGGTCTATTGACTCTGCCAGGAGGTAGCGCTTCCGGGACCGGGTCTTGCTGTTTTTGGTGTGGCTGATGATGATACCTGTTTTGCCTAAAGGACTTTAGTGTCCTTGAAGCAGATGTGGAGGGGCGGATTGGCATTTCCCCGTAGGCAGTTGGATTCATCGTTGGCTTGGCTTTTGAAAGTCTCCTGCTAATGGATTTTGAGAACTTAGGCAGTATTGAGCCCGAGTCAGAGCCTCCCGACGAGGCACCGTTCAGTGATTTCGCCCTGTCAGGTACTTTACCATTCTGGGCAATAGCCGTTGCGGCTCTTAGGTTTGGAACGCTCTTCTGATGGGCAAGCCTGCCGGCACTGCCGGCACTGGTCCTAGGGCATGAAGATGACTTAGCAGAGGTAGGATCGCAGGGCAACTGTTTTCCCATGTTTGTCATGGAGACCGACGGCCTTAGGTCAAATAATCTCCTGAAGGAGCCGGTGCGCGAAAATGACTTTAGTCCGAAGGACACCTGTACTGGGGTCAGAATTCAAGACGGATATATAAAGAAATTTACTGACTTCCTTTCTGCTTGCGATTCCCACACGTCGCTGGATTTCGGTCACGGCGCGGCTGAGTTGAGTCATAGCATACTGGAGAGCAAGGCCTGTTCTCCGAAGCTTCGAAAGAGCCGAATTCCAGCCTTCAGTGTTCGCAAACATTGAATTATATATAGCAGTCAAACTGCTCGATAACGAGGCACTTTCCTGTGTCGATTGTCCTAGATACTGCCACAGTGCACCTACTGCTTCTCTGCCCTTATGTAAGTCTCGGAGAGCATCACTAATCGCCAATGTAAAACGTTCAACTGCAAGCTCAATCTTTCCATTATAGTCGATCATTGCAAAGCGGAACCCACGATCTGCTAACATCTCGTCGAAATCATCCAGGTTTTCGAGCGGTAAGCTCAGGTACTGAATACGAGTGCGTAGGTCAAGCTGTATAATGAGAAAATCCTCCGTAGTTCTTGACACAAATCCATCCATCTCATCTACATGGAGTTGAAGGATGTTTAGGACGGTCGCGTTTGATTTGGCTGTCCCTTGCGCTAATAGATGAAGACCGAATGACATTTGCGCAGTGAGCTTCCAGAACGGATGATATCTGCTATCGGTTAGATAGGCATTGTATGAACCCAAGAGTAATTACCGTTCACCAGTCCTTTGCCGCCATTTCCGCCCACAGAGGCGCTCATATTTAGTACCTTCGAGAAGTTCTCTTCGCCGTGACTGTGCGTCAAGATCAACAACCCAGTCCCTTGTCTCTCTTTGGAGAGCCTCGTAGATCGATTCTTCAAAAGCACCTTGAAGTTGTGGGATTGGGTGTTTTGGTGACGGCCTGACAGACTCGGACCGTAGCTCTACCTCTGTGATGGCGGAAATGAAGGATTGGCATGAACTGCCGCATGAATTCTCCATTAAGATGAGGATATAAAGGCAGCAGGGGGTACTCTGCAACTTGGATCGAGTTGTAAATCAGGCTGCGTATATTGTGTGTGACAAAGGGTGAGCTACCGATGACCAGCGGGCAGCTCAACTGGCTACTATTGAGTAGGCGGAGTGCCAATGAAATTGTGTGGTTTCAAACTCCATCAGGCTTAATGGCTTAGATGGACATGGTCCGCGAAAGCGACTTTATCATCGGAAGTATCAATGTGGCGATGCGTTGAGCCTGTAAAACACTCAAGTAAGTAGCAAACCAGGAGGATTTGAACGGAGTACCCGGGTTCCTTTTTGACACGGAGTATGAAGAGACAAAATATATATGGCTGGGTGAGATGCCTTGTTGCTTGCAGATTTCAAGGAAACACAAAATGAGGAAGGTTAGTTTAAGGAAAAGAAAGTTGGAGAATATATAAGAAGCTGAATGAATGAAACTGTCACAACATTAGTAGCAAAGACCATTTAAGGGGGTAAAAATACCAATGGTGGTTGAGAAATAAAATTAAACCTAGTAGTACGGAGTAGGAAGCCATGAGTGGGGAAATAAATAACTAAATAAAGAAGCCATGTGCAGTCATTATTTTATAAGACTAACCAATCGGCATTGACACCAGGTAAGGTCTAACTCTAGACCACTATGGCCATGTCCTTTACTCCGTAGAAGTACGGTCGCCCGAGTCTCCGGCTAGCTAGCCAAAACGGCATGCAGAAAAGCCAATATAGAACGTGGAGTAGGTTGGGACGGAGCATATATTCCGGAAATCGATATGTACTGTACACACTTCTACACACGGTTTGTCTGGCAGCCACAACATTCGGTGAAAAAAAAATCTACTCCCCAACTAGCCACAACATCTGCACTGAGACTGTGTGTTCTTCAGCTGCTCCACGCCGTCAGGATAGGGCAATGCCCCGTAGTATGGTTCCGCGCCCTAGATCACCCCGGCGCTACAAGTGTCCTGGTAATTGGTAATAATATGGGTTTGTGGTCGACTGTCGAATGGCACCAATTTCCTCGCCGACGCTCAAAAGTGGACTGAATATTCAACCCTTCAAGAATTGATCATGACGGTGACAGGTGACTTGCGGGAGCAAAGGCTAGATGCCTCCCAAGAGTGACCGTGAAAAAAGTCCAGGATAACAATCAGCACCATAACTCAGGCAAATCTGCGCGCAAGTACCGGTGATACTCATAACTTTGCTTAGACCTCAGCAGTGTATGTAAACCTGTCCAGACCTTGGATGGCTGGGCAAAGTCGGTCCTTGTCGCGGTATTGGTATTTTGGAGTGAGTAACATTGTGAGATGCTGTCATTGTTTCTCAATGGTTCTTCCAAATGACTTGCTTGACTAAAATCACTATTGTGATGCCGGTGGCAAGAAAACAGGATCCCAAAAGTTTGTTGGCAATGACAGATCTAGGAATTCGTCAAACAGCATATCAATATCCGCAAGCCCGTCCTTGCAAACCGGCTCCTGTATATAATCCTGTTGCTCGTCAACCAATGGAGTTGAATCCTGTTTCGGGCCCACCACAGCGGGCAAATTTTGGCTTGAGAGAGGATGGACTTGGGGGGAGCAGGATGATGACGGTAGCACACTGGTCGCTGTGCGCGAACCATTCTGATTAAGGCCTTGTTTTTCGCCACAAAAGGTTGTTCCGTCGATTTGATGTAATGCTTTTCTTCCTAGGCGAGCCATGGCTTGCGCTGAGCACCAACTAGATAGTTCTTCGAGTAGTCCGCAGCAGATTTCAAGGCTGGCCCGGGCACGTCTGAGATGAGTGGTAAGCTTGCTGAAGCGGAGTTCTTGATATGAAACACCCATTGATAGGGATATAGCATATGGAACGACTGGGAGAGGAGGTAGGCATTGGGCACATTCAGAGGCCACCAAGGAGTTTATCCTCACAGCAGCTAGACCCTGGCGAGTAAATGACCCTGGCGAGTGTTTATGCCTGCATGACAAGATACTGATGGCATGATAGTAAAGTTCCAGTACACCTGCTTTGGAGTAAGTTAAACTGCAAGACAGCTCGGTAGGGGCCGCACCAAGTGTCGTAAAATCTATTTCCTCTCGGATGGGATCACCAATTATCTCCTCAAAGGTTGGGTACTCCGATTCCAACTCAGCAGCATCAACAGCGGAGGGTCTATAAAGTGATATCACCATCGACAACAGCTCAGACAGCGCGAACCAAGCGTCAAAAGCGGATCTCCGTCGGTTATTTCTTCTGATGCCAATATCCCTGTCGGCCAAAATGACAGGCCGACCGCCTATAGAGGCATGCATCTTGTCCAGCGACCACAAGCACCAAAAAAGGGCTGTCAAGGACTCGTGCCTGCCAGGTCTTTCAAGGTGTAGCCCTGCCGTCTGGGCTTGGTGGATAGCCTGACAGAGATGCATCGATGCTACTTCGGCACCTTCATATCCTTCAGAGTGCAAGGACATTAAGGCAAAGATACGGATTCTGGTAATTCTATCCTGTTCAAGCCCGGATTCCATGGCGCAAACAAGGCCAGCATATAACTCAATGCAGAATTCCCTTGCACTGTAAGTCCTATCATTAGCCAAACGCAGGTGGGGGGCAGCCGCTTCATCTTTCGCGGCTACTAGACATATCGCCCTCTCGAGAAGAACAGATGCTGACCCTTTTGCATACTCAGTGATGAACAATGCACGGTCAACAAGGGGCAAGATGTGATTGACCCTGGAGAAATAGATGGCTGTGAGGTGGTCAGAAGTCGATCGAGGGAGACGGTCACAGGCCCTCATTGCAGATGAATACCGCCCCCGCAAAAGGGAGGCCACTGGTTGGGATTGAGGGTCTGCCGCGACATTGGATGGATTAAAACCATAGTTGCTGATCCAGAGACCGACTCGGTCCCGATGATGGGCTCCGGCTGGTGCTTCTACATCTTCTCGAATGGCAGCTTCAGGATTAAGGTCTCCCACAAATATCTCTATCGGTGAGGTACCGCCGTTCGATTCGGTATAACCCACAGACGTTGGCGATTCTCTTACGGGGCGGCGGCTCCGGCTCAACGAGTTTGTTCTCGAACTTTCAGACATAATCGTCTGTAAATTGTCATGCCCAAGATGACGGCAGCGTTTCTGTTTTAACTTAGCTCGGCCAGTGAACATATGCATGTATAGGTACCTTTTTCCTTCTGCAAGTGGGACATGCGTGCAATGCTCGTGTTCGACGCCGCGACTGCGGGGTGTCGGCCAACCATGTAAATTCCATCTGGAGTTTTACGAAGATCATGCGCCCACAAGATTTCAGACATCAAGTCTCATTGGTGCCAATTGATTGATTTTTGTGGTATTCTATAATCCGAAAAAGAGTGGCGGCAATCGCCGTAGCCGTAGCGATTCGTGAAATTGAAGCCCATGATGTTGTACAGCCCGAGTACCTACGGAGTACGTTGGAGAAGCCGAGCCAGGAGACGCGCCATAGGAGGCGCGTCACGACGCGTTCTCTGCACGCACGGACCTCTGAGGCTTCATGAGCCTATCTCAAAGAGACAGTTTAGTATCACATTATGTCGATATCCCTTTCAACCCCCTATTATCCACGCGGTGACCAACCAGGCTCTTAGTTCCAGATCACCGCACTTGCCGCATCAGAAATACCATGGCGAGGCCCAGTCTCAAGCGAGGTGCCGGCCATCTGACAGTCCCGACAGTTGAACCAAAGAAGCCAAAGGCCGATGGAGATATCACATCATTTTTTGGAGCCCCCAGGCCAAAATCGACAAGGGCAGCGACAGCCAACCAAGTGCCTCCTGCGCAGGTCTCCCCAAAGTTCAATAAACCGAAATGGGTGGCTACATTGACACCGGAGCAGAAAGAGCTTCTACAGCTAGAGATTGACACAATGGACGAGAGTTGGCTGGCTCATTTGAAAGAAGAGATTGTCAGGCCTGAATTTCTGGCGCTTAAACGCTTCCTCCAGAAAGAAAAGCAGTCGGGGGCAAAAATCTTCCCACCTGAGGAAGATGTCTATTCATGGTCTGAGAGGGATTCCTGCTACAACAGCTACATGGGCTAACTTGAAGTGCTTAGGTCTCGCCATACGCCCCTTCACAAAGTTAAGGTGGTCATCGTGGGCCAGGTATGTGCATGAATGAAGGAATCTGCTCAATTACTAATCGAGAACAGGACCCATATCATAACCACAACCAAGCACATGGCCTTGCATTTTCAGTCCGTCCTCCAACCCCGGCGCCGCCGTCCCTCGTCAATATCTACAATGCGATCAAGAACGATTATCCGTCATTCCTGTCGCCTCCGAATAAAGGGGGCCTGCTTATACCGTGGGCAGAGCGTGGTGTCTTGCTTCTGAACACCTGCTTAACTGTTCGGGCGCACCAGGCTGCGAGCCACTCGAATAAGGGCTGGGAGCGGTTGACGCAGAAAGCTATCGACGTTGTCAACCGTGTTCGAACTCGGGGGGTAGTCTTTCTTGCATGGGGAAATCCTGCGGGAAAGCGTATCACTGGCGTCAACCACGATAGGCACTACATCTTGCAGTCTTGTCATCCGAGCCCATTGAGTGCTCATAGAGGTGGATTTGTGAGTTCTCTTTCCACAATACTTAGACTGAAACCCCACCGCATATTAATGCCTATATGTAGTTGCATAATCAGCATTTTAAAAAATGCAACGAATGGCTTGCTGTGCGATACGGTCCTGATGAGATCATTGATTGGAGTCTGGTACCGCAAAGAGAAACCTCAACGACCCCTCTCGCAGTGGTTCACAAATCCCCTGTTCCCAATGATCAGCCAACGCAGCAGCAAGTATTAACCAAAGCGACAAATCAACGAATCGTTGCAGCTAAGTTGAGCAAGCCTGTGTCAGAAGAAGGCGAGTTTGAAGAAGATCTAGATGCCCTCGAAGCCCTCGCAGCTTCCGAAGCATCTATCAAACCCTAAGAACTACGCGTCGAACATAAGACTTTGTTGGTAATAAGTCGCAACGGTGATAGGCAACACTGGAAGCATATATTTTATGTTTGTCGGGCTTCGGTGGTATAACTTGTTATCGAAGGTTGCCTTCTTTTCCGTAAGTCTGGGTTTCTAATCTGAGGGTTTCAGTTACTTGGAGACTCGCACGGTAGCCTTGGATTCAACTCGGCGTTCATAAAATCCTATTTTCTATTGAGAAAATGATAAACTTCTAGCCTTAATCTTTTGCTACTTTTCAAGGCAAAGAAAGTCTCCAAGGCCAATGCTACTATGTATATTCGATGCAGCCAAGTTCCAAGGTAGTGGTACTAGCCTCCAGGAAGTAACAGGTAAATGCCAACGACCATGGTTTACTTGGTTTATAATCCGTTATAGGAGATGGTAACGTTGTACCGTTATGGAAGTTGCGCAAAACAAAACGAAAACATTCGTTAAAGACGGTAGGATACAGCTCATAATACTTAAATGAATCGCACTAACCAAGAGAAGAAACTCAAAGCTCATCATGTTCAGGTTTTTCAGCAGAAGGCTCAGCCTCAGTCTCGGCAGTAATCTCCTGGGCCTTCTCGACATCATCGGCCTGGGCGGCGAACGCATCAACCCCGTACTTGCCGTTCTCCTTGATGAAGTTTGCGAGGTCCTCCACGGTACGGGAACCAGAATACTCAATAGGAGCATCCTTGGAGCCGGCAGGGAACAGCTTGATGGTCGGGAAACCTGTGATGGAATCGGGAACGTCGTTGGCTGTCGCATCAATCTTCGCAATAGTAACCTTTGACGCAGCATCTTTGCTCTTGGCATACAACTCGGCTAATTCATCGTATTTAGGGGCAAGACTGTACAGAATATTGTCAGCGGGGCGTTTGAAGTAAAGATAACACAACTTACGCCTTGCAATGTCCGCACCAAGGCGCGTAGAACTCCAGAAGAACATCCTTGTCGTTCTCAATCACGACGTCCTTGTACGAGTGGGCCACGACGACGGTAACAGGGCCTTCTTGAGTTTCAGGAATCGGTTCAGATTTGATGCTGGGCTCGACCTTGCCATTCAGGACATCCTGAATGAACTTGCCGACTTCCTTGGCCGAGATTTCCTTAGCTTGGTCATAGGGGTATTTCGCGTTCTTTGCAGGATCCTGGATAGCAAAGGCGGGGAACGTCTTGGGGTCGAGGTTGAGGTTTCCAGCGTGAGCACCAAAGGCTTTGGCATCAATGGTGGCGATGTTGATCTCACCCTTGTGCTTCTCGGCGATGGGTTTGAATTCTTCGGCGAACTTAGTGCGCTCTTCAGTGGTCTCAGCAAAGATGTAAGCCAGAGGAATGCCGGCCTAGACAACAAACCGTTAAAATCAGGAATTTAATTTTTTTTTTTTTTTTTTTCAGGTGTCATACCGCGATGTACGCAGAGTAAGTCTCGGGACCAACCTCACCCACGAGGGGCGTGCTAGCGGTCTTCACCCAGCTGAGGAGGGTTTCAGAGTCAAGGGATCCGTCGTAAATCGCCTTTTTCTCGTCAAAGTCCTTGTACAGCACAACCGACGGCTGCTTCACTCCTTCGGCACTAGCAACCGCAGCGTCGTTGGTAGAACCAAATAAGTAGTTATCACGCTGGCTCTCAGCGAAGGCTGTGTAAGCTTCAGTGGACTCCTTGTCATCTTCAGCAAAGTACCCGATGACGGCGATCTTGTCCAGGGTCTTGAACTCTTCGAGAGATTCTTCGGTGACAGCGGAGACCGCAGGGAGCGATTGCTTCACCATATACGAGACAATACTAAAGACGAGACTAGCTTTTAGTAAAGGATCGGCAGACCTTGATGGACGACATACTCTTTTGTCTTTCGAGCTCCTGCATAAGGCTTTACAACATTGGGGCCGCGGAAGACCTTGAGGGTTGGGTAGCCCGTCACTTCCTGCTCCTTACAGACGTCCTCCTCCGCAGTGCAGTCAACTTTGACCAAAGCAATGTTTTTGGCCTTCAACTCGGTGGCGGCTTCTTCGTACTGGGGTGCCAACGCCTTGCAGTGGCCGCACCAGGGCGCGAAGAACTCTGCGAGAACCAGTTCATTCTCCGCCAGGAAATCATTGAAAGTCTCCTTGGTCAACGAAATGACGTCGGATGGTGTTTCGGACTGGGTATCTGCAGCAGAAACAGCGGCCGTGGCGCCTAGTAGGCTCAGCGCCCAGGGTCCGAAAGAGCGCATTCTGCCCGAGTGTTATGAAGAGGGTATTGAACAAGTTTGAGAATGCAGCCGGCTGCACAGATCCTACCAAGCAAAGAAAGGTGAGAGTGAGGTTGGAGAGTGGAAAGAAGGAAGAATTTGGGACAGAGATATAAGAGCAGTTAACCTGCTTAGGTGGCCTGTTAAATAAAGTAACCCTGGGACCCTATGTAGGGGCCAGTGAATGAACAGGTGAATGTATGGAGTGGAGTTGAGGCCAGTCTGTTCTTTCCGTGGCACAGCTTCTTATTGGCGTCCCGCCTTGCAAGGGGCCACCCGATTTGGAACCACCGGGGGACCGGGGGAGCGATACGCGCCTCCTAGAATATTTGCCAGGGCAATAATCGTAATATCACAAAGTACCGTTACTGGGATGAGCCCTCCAGCATATTATCTTCAGAGTATGGAGTAGGGAGTACCTGTAACATTAAGTGAGTCGAACTATCCCTGTCATATGAGCACCCCTGGAAACCAGAACTGATAGTGCATATGGATATATTTGAATTAAGAATAGACTGGTATAAATGATTTGGTTTCCGGGTCGAACCACTAGGAGTCCAGAAACAATCCAAATAAAGCCACGCGTTAACCGTTTACTTCGAGCTGCAGAATATCAAGAGCCTTGTGGAGCCTGCTGCTGCGGGAATGTTCCATAGTTATGCTCTTCGGGGCTTGAATGCTCTTCCAGCACATCCGACAAGGCAAGTGCGTCCCGCTTTCCTCTATCTGCATCCACAAGAAGCATTAGCGGCAGAGGGAGAAGGATAAGCACCGCGAGAAAAAAGAATGCAGGACGAATCTCCCCATAACGATCCGTGATGAACCCAACAATCGCCGGTCCAAATATACTGGATCCTTTATCAGTGATAGCGTAAAGCGAATAGAAAGATGCTTCGTAACCGGGAGGAATCAGCTGCCCAAAGAAACTTCGGCAATACGATGAGAGCCCTCCCATAACGATTCCATATACGACTCCCAATGGGAACATTTCCCACGGTCTTTGGAGCCCCAAATAGCCGAGATTCTTGACGGCCGGAATGAATCCCAATAGACCATAGAGGGGTACAAGCTCAAATAAGAGGATACAAGCGATGATAGTCTGGGAGGCGCGGAGGTCCAATGCTCGTGAAACGTAGCTCCAAGAAAAGGCCCCTAGAACTCCTGAAATCATTGTTATCACGTTAATCATCCCTAGCGCTGCTGGTTCCATGTTCAGCTGGGTTTTGGCGAAAAGAACAGCGGTCCCGCTAACAGTGGCGATTCCATCGCTCAGGAGGAACCACGATGCAAGAAATAGTAGAAGATCCTTCAGATGTCGCGTCCGCATTGCTGTTCGACCAAGCGACTTCCAAGCGAACGCCATGTAACCAAGCCATGACTGCTGGGCCTTGCCGTCCTGCATACGCAGCAATGGAGGACCAGGACGCGGCCTAAGCCAGAAAGCCGCAGGTATAGTAAACACTAACCACCAAAGACCAATCAAGAAGAGAACGACGCGCAGCGAAAACGTAGTCTGGTGGGTCCGGACAATAACAAGTATACATAATCCTTGTAGCAAGACAGCGCTGATATAGCCGATGCCAATCCCATACGACGATATCTGCGTGGACAGTATCAACTCCTTTGATGCGTCTGACAAAGGCGCTTCGTCTGGAGACACACCGTCGGCCTGTAGAAGCGGCGTTCGCGACCCATCCATGGCAGTTGCTTGAACGTCGCTTTCCGTCGGATTGGCATGCTTGAGTAACGAAGGATGATATCGGACCAATAGGGGTAGAAAAGAGTTCAACAGTACAAATGATGCCCCGAGACAGGTATTAGCCACAATCGCAAATAGCCCACCGAGTAAGTATAGTTTCGAGGCAACAGAGAGGAAGAACATTGTAGAAATTGAACCGATGGCCGCAAATGTCACCAAAAGTGTCTTGCGATAGCTTCCGTGGTCTGCAGCACCTGACATTGAGATAATCAGAATGGCTTGAATGAAAACACTCACGGAGAAAGTGTACATCGCGAAGCTGGCGGTGTTGACTTCGGCTCCAAGAATGTAAACAATACACTGCCCCGAAACAGCGGCTTTAGTGTTCTGCCAATTAGCATGGAGATTCTCCGGAGTCTTCCAGGTTGCAGTGCATGGTGTTGTTTTGTCTGAGAACAGGACGCCGCGTTCTCGAGCCATCTGCTCTAATGTGATAGGTAAAAATGACCCTATCAAGCATCAGAGAGACTCCTACAGCAACAGAGCAACATCTCTTACCCATTGCACACACTGTAAAGACCTCTGCAGCCCAGCCATAACTATACCACCCGATAAGCTCTTTCTTACTTGTTGGTCGGGTGTCATCGCCGGGGTATTGCGGGCGAAGAAGCCCAGGCTCAGTGACTTCATCTTGCTCCATGTTGACACGAATAGAGGTAATGTCTGATGACTAACGCTCGAGGTTCAACATCTGCAAGCCCGTATTTCTTGTGGTAGTTTATTCTTGACGCATATTCGCTGCATATCGGTCAGTGTATTCCGTATGACCTTGGAGAATTTTTGATGCAACAACTGAAGAAAGCAAAAGTGTGGGCTTAGATTTAGGTATGGATTGTGGAGAGGAGAAGTACCCAGCCTCAGAACATATGTTCAAGCAAAAGAGTATGTTGGCAGTTCTGGGGTGGGTTTAGACCCCGATGATGCAATTGTACGGCGTATAAACTTGGGCGAGTTACGAGACCGTTTAAAACTCGAGCATAAGTCGTAAGCTGAGACAGTAAAGCATTATAAGAGATACAGGACGGTCAGAGATGATTTATTCAGTCGAGCTGGAAGTGAGGTGAGAGAGAGCTCCATCAGCAGACCGGGGTAGAGGCAAGCCTACGCACCAGGCAGCAAGGCATCAAGCTTTGTTGCTGTGTCTCCAGAGGCTGATCCCGTGTTCCATGCATTTGCATCCTCTATTCTCTATCATCAAGTCCTTCGAGCCGCGAATACGTCTTACTGATTTCTTCCTGCGCATCTTATATGTCACTCTGAAATAATCTGAGTCAATGACATCCCTCTTATACAAGGTCAATCACTGCTTTCCGAAAGTCCTACCACTCTGTCATAAACTTTACCTATCCTAATTCTTAGACCTCGGGCATTTTCTACCTACTAGCGGCCTTACTTTACATCTCACTCTTCTGAGACAGCAGCGCATTGCCTCGTGGCGACTTACTGGTGAGAGCGCTGTGCTGGAGTCGACCAATTACACGTATCTTATAACTCATCACTGCGAACGATCGTATCAACCCCGCCGCAGTTGTCCGCAAAGTCCCTCTCTGTTAATTTAGGTCGCTCTGAGGCTCAGATACGAGACATCGCCAGCAGACGTCGCTACTACGGCCTAAGCAATATATATGGCGCCGCGCTGAAGATTCTGAACCATAGAGGGTAAAGGGAAGCCAACCCTGGCGCGCCCTAAGCCTCGGACAGCGCACCAAATCAGATCACTCTGCCCTGCACGGGGTGAGGAAGAAAAGGGCCTGGGTCTCTTGGGTTTCTTTATTTCGGTAATATGCCAGGCGTCGTTATGGGTCAAAATCATGCCGGTGAACCAGGATCAGACGCGCATGATCAGACGAATGGTATCACATTCAGTCAATCAGGAAACTCCGTCGGTCTACAAAATGGATCACTACGTACCAATGGAGTTCAGCATCCTGATCGTCACCGAAACGATGAGTTTACCAAGATGATGCTGCCCGCAACGGATGACCCGCCTAAATTGCAGCACATCGTTCAAGGCTTTTTTCCTCTGTCGAAATTACTCAATCGGTCAACGCAACAGTGCTGGAATGATCTCGCAGAATTAGTCGCAGAGCTCTCGGAGATCCAAATCCCATCCCATGATTTCAACACCTCGCCAATATCCACCACTGGCAAGGTGCTCGGAAATCAATCTCCAGAAAACCTGCGAAAAAAGCTTCGCGTCCTGGAGTTTGCCCAAGCGAAGCGAGGGGAGTTCATCAAACTCCTCGTACTCTCACAATGGAGCAGACAAGCTGCAGATGTAAGCAGGTTGGTTGATATTCAGAACTTCATTCGTACGCAGCACCAGGCCTATGGGGGAGCCTTGCAATGCCTGGGCGATATGAAGAGGGACCTTGTTCGGGCACAGGTGGCGAATCCAGACCTAACCACTGCTTTGGAGGTATTGTCCAAGGAGGAGGTCATTTCCATGCCAGATGTAAGCTTCGGCCCTATATTCACAAATCCCGTCTAACCTCCATTGTCTAGCTTGGGTATAGACCTCCGAAACCCCTGACACCGAAATCCACCCTGAGAAAGCTGCGTAAAATCAACAGAATCATCAGCATGAGATTGTCGTTACATGACAAGATCCCTTATGCCTTCCAAAAGTACCGAGTTCATGATGGCCGCGTGACATTCATTGTACCCGGAGAGTTTGAACTTGATTTATCCATTGGAGAAGAGGATGCTGAATCTCAATTCTTCTTCGTTGACATCCGCTTTCTTTTCAACCCCTCACCCTCGGTTCCAGCAGGTCGAATTTTTAGTGAACTTGATATCAAGATCAATGATATTCTTCGAAGTGGCGGATTACCCGAATGTTTCGATTGGCTGCACAATCTCACGCTAACGAACAAAATAAGCATACTCACTAGGCAGGCTTCTGAGATGAGCAGAAGTATTTGGTCCAATGGCTTGCGCATTGAATTGTTACACAGGACTTTGGTTTTACAGTACTGGGCATCGAAACCTGGCACAAAAAGTTGGCTTGAGATTGGTATACGACGAGGCGCTCGGAAAACCCCTGTCGGTGAGCCGTCTTCGCCGTCATTGGGCTTGCGCTGGATGAGGGATGGACAGGAAGTGGGTTCAGACAATATCGAGTTTGATACGGATAACCTTTCTGTGGATCGCCTTCTTCGAAGTGCCATTGCTTTGCACATTTCCTACACACTGTCTTCTGTTTTCAGCAGGATTCGCGAAAAGCTTCTTTATTCAAATGGTTCATTGTCATTACGCGCTCACCTTACCAGCGTCGAACCCAGCGAGTGCGAACTTGATGTTCAACTGACGGCATCCCGTCGACTCCGAGTTGCGATCGAGCCTTTGTCTGGAGTTGTAGTCTTAGCAGCTACACCAAATACCCTCGAACGAATTGACACTGATCGCAATGTGGATCGACCGATGATTGACGATATAGTATCTCGCGTCGGACGACTTCGCTGTGCTGCTGCGATAGAACAGGTAGAATCCCAGATGAAGATGCTTGGATTCAGCTCGATAAGCCCAAGGAATCTAGGGATCGACGCTCGAAGCGTATTTCCCGCCAATGTTTTAAGATTCTCCTTTTTCGGGCATCGTCTTTGGGAGCGTACCTGGTTACTTGCCGCAACGAGTAGTATGGATGGCGATAACTGGTGGATCATTCAGACTCAACCAGCGGATTCTACAACGACCGATCGTACCTTCGATACATTGACTCATGCCAGCACTGCTGTTTGCTCGGCACAGGTTATTTGCAACATGCTACTACCCGCACAGCAGACAGGCTACTCGTCACTTGCCGATCTGGGCCATTGCTTGACAGGGTTCTTGGCCATATATGCGAATGCGCGCTTCTTGGAAGATTTGCAGTATATCAAGACCTGGCCGCCTCTGGAGCATCTCAAGATTGGACCTGGCCTTCAAATCCCAGACCTCAACATCGAGTACGAGGCAACGAGGCTTCCGGAGACCCTGCGAATAGCTTTACCCGCGGGCGTAAAAATGAAAGCATTCATTAAAAAGACAGTTCGCCTGGCCTTTCATGGAGTGGATCAACACAGAAACGTCGCTATAATGGTTGCGTACGGCAACATGTATAGTTCTTTTCCCGCCTTGAGTGATTTAATTCCAGAAGACGACCGTTCGCTCGTCCTTCAAAAAACAGGAACCAGTTTTGCACTTCGTCTGGTTGCCTCCCCTGGCTATCCCGTCGTTGCTACCCTCTTTGAAAATCTCCAAAGACTCGAAAGTGTGTTATCGATATACGAGGTCCTTCGACGAAAGAAGCTAAATACATGTTCTCTATCATTGTCCCATCTGGGCTTCGTCTACGGGCCCGGCAGAGATCTATTTGCACAATTCGATATCAAAACTCAGGTTCAATCTACTACGAAAGCAGATGCTCTGAAGCTCGTGCTTGGAACGGGACCTTTATTCTATCTCTATCTGGGCATAAGTTTTGGTCACTCGAATCCCCATCGCAGGATACAAGGATCTTTGGCATCCAACCTGAACCGGCCTACAGCCGACGCTGGTCTGGACACTTTCACAGAACTATTATCATTTACGCTTCCCGTGATGCGAGCCTTCGACCAGCTCATGGCGACTACCTCTCATACTGAGTCATTAAAAGTGCATGTTACTGTGCGTCACGCAACGTCTTACCAGATCCACTACCCTCTCGAGGGATGTCGGTTCCTATTAGGGGTTCGCCAGCATCAAAACCAACCCGTCTGGGTTCTCAAGGACGTGCCTAGTTCCCAGGAAGGGCCTGGCGAACTTGAGTTTAAACGAAAACTTTTGAGAAGTCTATATGACTCCAAAGGCACTGGCTGGAGAGGACTCGGCAGCGGGATCATTGCAGAGCCTGATCATGTCGGAAATTTATTGGCTGAACTGGACAAATTCATGATCTCGATCAGAGCTGATGTGACTTCAAAACCTCCGGATAGTAAACCTCCCCGTGACAGCCCTGCCACCAACGATCAGCCGCCAGCCATTGGACTTGCTAAGGCAGCAGCAACTCCTGATACGCGCGAGGGTTTAACTATTAGATCTTCACAGCAGAGACCAGACCCTGCTCCACAACCCACGGATGTGATCATGATCGATTAATGGCCTTCTCCTTGGTTTCAATTGATGCATGAAAAATGGTCATTCATTTGCCCTCTATATCCCTATCTGCGGGGTTATTAGGACCAAGTGTACTTTTTCATTTAGCGATGTTAGTGACCTTTGTTATTTTGAAAACATAGCTTCCGGAGGTTGCATTTGTATATCAAATATAAAGCTAATGATTCAGATAATTGCCAAGCTGCGGCTTATATCACCTCGTAGACTAACGGCCCTAGCATATACAATAATCTCATTCCATTTAGCCCTCTATTACTTTATCTGTTGCCGTCTATTATCTAGGAACCCTTTGGAATGCCCGCGAGTTCTGCATACATACATACGTTTATTGGTGGACATGGTTCCTAGAATCCTACCAGTCTTTTCCATCTGGCTTACGGCCCGTTCCTGACATTGAGAATTGATATTATCTGTACCTAGCTAACTAGAAACGGTCTTCTTTCACCCGACCTCTATTCTTCAGCACATCGTACTCGATCCAAGTCACGGTCGATAAGTCACTTTCGGGTAGAAACCTTGCAGGATTCATAACATGACACCCTTCATATGTTAAGCAGAACGGCACAGTCTCGGAATCTGCCAGAATGAATGCAGTCGGTAGTGGATACAGCTGTAGGGATGACGCATAGTCCCATAAGACAGGGCGCAAAGACTGAGGGAAAGGAGACATAGTGCCTTGGTCCAGTACGGATTTGACAAGTTTCCGGGCCGAGAGTATAGCGGCAGGGGTTTGATTAGTATTATCAGCCCCTTGATGGTCTTGAACATGAATTTGATCTCCATCGTTGACATCGTTGATGGCGCTGCTCGAACTGTCTTCAATATCAGTAGCATTATGGCCGACAGTCATGGCATTTCGTCTAAGACGGCCCGAAATATCATCGCGAAGAATTGCAATGTCATGAACAGGGCCAAACAGAGAGATGCGCGATGGGTTGGTGGTCCAAACAGCCTCTCCAGGAGGCTCTGACACTTGATTTCGGTCCAGCTGAGAATTTGCTGTTGCAAACGCACGTTTCACTCTGGAAGTGAACAGATCCGGAACTGCATGCCGCGGTATCGCAGAGGACGCACCTGCTGAGAAGCTCGAAGACCAGGGATCATTGTCACCTGGCACAAAGACAAACGTAGACCGCTGTAGCAACGAGGGAAAGTCGGACAATACTAATGCAAGCATGTCGAAACATTCCTTGTACTCGATGCTCCCGCTGTGGTCCCCGCCATTGATTATTGCTTTCTGAACAAAGTTTCCAGCAAGAACAAATAGCACAGGGCGTTCTTGCAAGACTGCGTCATTGTATAGACTAAAGACTTTCCTCAAGGCATCCATGGTCTTCATATTGTCAAGATTGACTTCCCCCATGATGACAATCTTGAAGCGACGATTTAACGTAACCCCATCGTGGGCCTCTTGCAGACACCGTGTCTGGATTTGTCTCATACGGGAACCTTGAGCGCGCTCACTTCCTACACCGAGGAAGTCTACCCAGCCAAATCCGCCGCTAGAGCTGATGTGTTGGCTTTTCTCATGAATATTCATTCCAAGCGAAGTGTCTCGTCGTTCACAAGGCGGACCACAAATGGTGACTCCGACAAATTTGCCTCCTATCGCGCCTCCGATGCCGCTATTTCCGCCTAACGTAGAGCCCCTGATATTTTCTTCCTCCTCGTAGATACCATCGACGAGTACAAACATACCCGGCGTGAGCCAGGCGCCACTCTCCGGAATGAGATGAGCATGACTCAGGTCCAAAACAATACTGCCCGTCAAGTCCGTAAGAGACAGTTCGCCGGTAGGGGACATAGACAGTAGACCAATTAGCAGATGGGATGTACCGCTTCTACCAAGCAGGTTCGCAACAGGAGTAAGCCGATAACACTGGGTTTTGGCAAACGAGGACGAGGGCCGCTGCAGAGTGGAAGCAGCTAGCGAAACCTGGAACGACTCGTTTCGCAGTAGGCGCTGATGTACAATGTTATAACGGTCTCGGAATAACGCTGTCTTGCGAGAGGGCTGTGGAAACAAAGAGGGCTTTGTTTTCGCAACTTCAAAATGCTTCTTCTCTGCATTGTAGGAGAGCCTCGGTGTATCAAACGCACCGGTGATTTTGATCCAATGCCGGGGGTGGACCACCGGGTCATCCGACTCACTCGGTGCTTTATCAGCAGTCGTTGTTATTGTTGAAGTGGAGGGCTGTAAGCTGTGAATCCCGCCAACGCTTGCGCTTCGTGGTGATCCTTCTTTTGGCGCGCTTTTCGAACTGATCACTCTACCGCCGCTCATATTTCCTTCCATTGTCTCGAGGATGGCTTTTAGTGAAGCCCCCTTGCCTTCCTCGACGATAACGCCGCCCCCGGACTTTCTCCAACTCTTTGCAACCTCATCGAGCACGCGTTCCGCAAGACCTTCTTCGCGCCATCCTGAGCCGCAGTGCTTACCAACAAATGCCGCTAAAGATTGGAGGGAAGAGGACGACAGTGTTAAGTTGTGTTTTCTGGTAAAAGTACGGAACGCGACAGGTCGGAGTGTGGCAGCGGGAAGTAGAATCGGGAGTATGGATGTTCTGGTCGCAATCGAGGTAAGCTTGTTTGACCTCATGGGATGAGCAGGAGTACCAAATGCCGGTGACGACGAAGGCACAGGGTCTGAATTCATCATGGCGCGGGGGTGTCAAATTGGTTCATAAACCGAGAACTAGCCCGTAGATGCTTCTCTTGACCTAGGGAGAGCTCGTTAGCTTAAGCCGAACAGAAGCTTTGCGAAAAGAAATATAACTATGTCTAACAATATTTGAGAACTTGCAGTTGACCGAATGTGTTTGAACGTCGTCGTCGCTCCCGGTATACAAATGGGGGCGATTAGATATGACATGCTTTTGGCCAGAGACGCGTGATGCCGCGCCACGCGTGTCCGTACTCCATAGTAAGTTAGGTACCTAGGTAACGGACGGAAGCGATTTGACCTTTTTTGTTCGAGTTGTAAGTGCCATTTGTCTTTCATTCTAATTTTTTTTGGACCGCGCTCTCCTTTCTAGAGCCCTTCTATTGATTTGGTAAGTATACCTGAGCACCTGGTTCTAAAATAGCATTTTTGTTCTTTTCCTAATTGCCTAGAGGAACCCTCGCGAATCATGGATGCTAGAAATCCGGTCGAGTTGCCTGTCGGCGATGCACGCAAGAAATTGGAATCGTTAATCAAGCGCGCCGCTGCAAAAGATGCTATTAAGGACTACAATGCGGCTGCGGAACTCTACTCAGAAGCTACTGAAATTCAGGCTCACTTGAACGGAGAACTATCCCTCGAGAACGCCGATCTTCTGTTCACCTACGGGAAAGCTTTATACAACGTCGCTATTAGCAAGAGTGATGTTCTCGGCTCAAAGGTCGCCGGGAAGACGCAACCGCAGCCGGTGCCAGAAGAAAAGGGCGCTCCAGTCAAACCGGTCCCGGTTGCTGATAACCTCATCAAGAATGCCGTGTCTTCAAGCTCCTCGATCCAGGAAATGAAGCCCCGGGAAGTGGTTTCACAAGACGCCGGGAGCAAAGCGTATTTCCAGTTTACTGGCGACGAAAATTTCGACACTGACTCGGACGAGGATGACGACAATGTTGCTGCTGCTGCGGAAGAAGAAGAAGAAGAAGATGATGATGATGACGATTTCGCAAACGCTTTCGAGGTCCTTGACTTGGCTCGGATCCTCTATCACAAGAAGTTGAACGCTTTTGAAGAAAAGAATGGGAAAGGCAAATCCACAGATTCTGTACCGGAACTCAAGGACATTAAGGAGCACTTGGCTGATACATACGACCTCCAAGCTGAGATTTCACTAGAGGGCGAGAGATTTTCAGATGCTGTCACAGATCTAAAGACAGCACTCGAACTCAGACAGTCGCTGTTTCCAATGGAAGACCCATCGATTGCTGAATGTCATTACAAACTGTCTCTTGCCCTTGAGTTCGGCGCCGTTAAGCATGATGATGAATCAGGAGGTGAAATCAAGCCTGTCAAGGTGGATGAGGAAATGAGGAAAGAGGCAGTCACTCAAATGGAAAGAGCTATTGAGAGTTGCAGTGTCAGAATGGCTCAAGAGCAGAAAAAGATGGAAACAGATGATTCCTTGGATGAGGACAAGCGTACAGCTCTAAACCGGAGAATAGCCAATGTGAAGGAAATTATATCAGACATGGAGCAGAGGGTGAGTCTTCGGCGGCTCGAACACTATCTCGTTCCGTGATTCCTGCTGACTTGTTTTCTGCCTTTGTAGCTGCTCGATCTTCGACGTCCACCGGTATCTGTCGAGAAGGGACTCGAGGACCAGGATGAAAATATGATCAAAGGAATTCTGGGGCAAATCATGGGCGAGTCGGACAGCAGCAAACAGACCCTGCTTGACGTTGCTACACAAAATGCCACCGATCTCTCCGCATTTGTCAAGCGCAAGCCAGCCAGCAGCAGGCCATCCCAATCGGATAACTCTGCTTCAAAGCGCCCTGTACAAGGGGATGCAATTAAAGGAGACCCCAAGAGACCTCGAGTGGATGATGGCGATGCAGAGGCCAATTGATGAATTTTGCTCTGCCTTCACCATGATTCTTTATATGATACCCTGGTACACTTGCTAACAATTCAGTCACCGTTGCAGTTTGTTAGATCTCATACAAACAAAGTTACTATTCTCAGGAGGCATAACCCATGTTAACTGCCCTATACTGCTGTTTTCGGCTTACCCCCCCAGTCTGAACAACATATGTAGGTAATGAAAAAGCATTATTAGTAGTACCTGAAATCTCCTTACGTCCATGAACAGGAATATAGGCCGACTTCTGTTCCAGATAGATTGAGCCCAAACATGCACTTTTGCAGACCGAGCAGAAAAGGGCAAAAACGCCAAGAACACAACCACATGCCGGGCTACAGACTGACACAGACAACTTTAATCACAACTTCAATCACGGTTCGCTGTCTTAGAGGATAGCCGCAAGGAACAAAAAGAGCATAAACAGAATGAAGAGAAAGGATTAAAGAGAAAGGATTAAAGAGAAAGGATTAAAGCTATTTGCAGCGCTTTTCAACAATGTTCGGACCGTGCTCGTCAAACTCTTTCTTTGAAATCCACATTTGATGGAATGTGCCCAGACTAGCCAGGATGCTTCCACCGATCCAGGAACTGAATCTGCGTTCGGACGTGTTTCCTGGCGCAGAGATCCTGACGCGGGGTCCTGGGTACAGTTGCATGAGCTCCTGATTAAGGCGGTCCGTGAATCCATAGAGCAAGCTCGAAGCACCTGTAACAACAACATTCGCCAGTAAATGAGGACGGAGGTCGACATCGACCCCATTCAAAGCAGCTTTGACTAATTCAGAAACAGTCTGAGCTTGTGTGGGTGCCGGGAATAAAGAGTCAGGATCAGGTATGGCGGCTTTGGCGTCGAATAGCGACTCAACAACCCTGTAGCGATCGACGCCGAACACTTGGTTATATCCGTCAGGGAACTCGAACGGCCGGCCTGGCGAGCTCCGCGCCATTTCCTCGTTAGGGACGCCATTGGGACCTGGGGCCGAAAGTTTCGTGGGGCCAGGCCACACTTGCACGACGCACTCTTTAAACTCGGAAAGTGTGCGCTCTTCAAGCAGGCTACGGTAGGAGGCGTCGGGCGTTCTATCGGGTGGGAATGTCTTGTACTTGGCCTGAGGAGGCTGGCCAGCGTCCACCGCTGTTTTTGAAGAAATCAGGTAGTGAGGCGTGATAGTAATGGGCTGCGGTGTATTTGACTTGAACAGGGCGCGAACCTGGGACGAGATATAATCCCCACCTAAAGGCGAGTGCTGAACGCCGCGCTTGAGCACCATGCCATCGTGAACTGGAGTGATAGAGATATTGGAAGCACCAATGTCAATGACAAGAGCGGAGGCCTTGCCGGCAGCAAATCTGGAGTGAGGAGAGTCAGTCTGATGACCAATGTCGCGATCTTTCAGACTTACGCTGCCAGAACACCATTCCTCGCAAGGTAGAAAGCCGGTGCCCCCCATTTTTCCATTGCAATTTCGATTGTCTTTTCGCGAGCCTTGGTGGGATTCCAGCTGCATTCGGACATTAGCAGAGGGCTGTCTGCGAGAGGTTTCTCGTCGGTTTCTAGACCCTCCATCTCGGTTGGCAGTTCACCATCGGGCACATCATTTAGACCGTTATGCAATGGATTGCCAGGTTTCGCACCCGTAAGACGCGACGTAAACGAGTACTCCCACAGTTTTTCTGCCATGTCCCAATCCTCTACAATACCATCCCTGCCCATGGGATTCCCGATTGACAGCCCAGGACGCGGAGTGACGAAGACATCGTCACCAAAGATAATTTTATCTTGATCCTCAAAAGAGTACTTTCCATAGTATGTTGGAATGAGAGATTTTGGTGTATCTTCGCCTGCGAAGCCGGCGCGCGTGCTTGAAAACCCGGGATCCAGGACGATGGCTGAAACCTCATCTAAACGTGCCGAAGACATTAGCATTTTATCTTGGAAGGCAATAATGACGGATGGAGGACTCCTGCTACTCTCACCACGTACCTCCACCGTATTCGGCAGCTGAAGGAGGAACCGAAGGGTTCATCGTTGAATTCGAAGAGTGTAGGGCGGAATGGAGAGAAGAGACCGGTGCACCAACAGGACTCCCTTGCTAGGAGGAAGTATACTAGGATCGAGGTCTGCAGCGATTGTAGGATGAGGCTTAAAAAGTAAATGCCCGTGATTCAAGAAGCGCAGAGTGACAGAAGGGATTAAATGGAGAACTTGCGGGTGTGGTGCGGCTCCAGGAAAATCACAAGCTTTGGAGACAGGCGATTTGATGACGGTGGATAACCGTACTTAACCCACCCGGCCGCAGTTCATCTTTCTCCAGCTAACACCCTAAATATCCTTGCGCATCACCACACTTTACATTCACCATGGAAACAGACTGCGACCCAGATTCTGGAATTCTGTTTCGTCCGGTAAAACGAAGAAAATACCAGCGGCGTCGGCTGGAGGACACCGGCAGCCAACAAGAAACCCAAGCTTCAAACGAGGCTACCTTAAAATCCCAATATCCCCATAACGATTCAGAATTCGGACAGGCCGCTGACACTCTTCGACTTCGACGGCTTCGTCGCTCCCGCAAGGGCGGCATAGAGTTCTCAACGACGCCGCGACCTACAACAGACATGGACCGAGCTTCTCTTTCAGTGGCGACGGAAGAGGACATGGAGAGCGAGCGACTAAGAGCCATGTGCGATCGCTTCACAGCTCATACTGGGCAAACACTGGATGTTGATAAGCATATGTACGGAATTCCCTTGCGCTGCCGTTGGCTACGCTTTCTGCTCCCTCCTCAGCTTTTGCGATGGAGACTAACAATATAAGGATGGCCTATATAGAATCCGAGCTAGCTAAACGATATCAACGTGGTACTCCTAGCCTCTCACATGACATGTCTGATCCCAGTGCAACTACGCTGAGCAGAGCCAACAACTCTCTATCTACCGCCGATCTCCCCGAGCGCGAGCCCGCTTCTCTGGGGAAGCTACACGAGATAGACCTTGGCCAAGAGGCCAAATTGCGAAATATCGCTCGAACTGAAGAGGCAACAAAGAAGATGAATGGCTATGAAGACGAGCCGTCAGCGGAGCGTTCGTCTTCCAAGCAAACAACCCGATATCGAAAACGGCGGACAAGCAAAGATATTGAGAGAGACCGGCTAGTGGAGGAGGTATTGCGCGAGAGCAAACGTATGTGTCTTCTACTTGATCCATAAACTCTATACCTGGCACTTCGCTTGTTCCTTTAGCTAACGTCTATGGCTTTAGTGGATGTCTATGATGAACCGGAAGAAGATAAAGTGGCAGCCGACGATCAAGCGGCTGACGATAGGGTTGCGGAGCAGTTCCGACGGGATTTTCTTGATGCCGTCCAGTCGCGTCGCCGGGTCGCCCGGACGAAACCTACGAAACAGCCTGGCAAAACTGAGACCCCCAAAGGCCCTAAGCTAGGAGGTAGTAGGAGTGCAAGAGCGGCAATGCGTGAAATGCAAGAGAGGGGCTCGCGGAAGTAAGATCCTGTCTGCTCTTAAAATGTGGTAGGGCTGATACACTTGATCTGATCTCGATTCTCAAAGAACTTGGTCAGCTGCGATGGTAGAGTATCTAGTCTACTATGCACTTCAAACTACCCAGGGAGCATTGACGGAATCTCGGGAGTGGGACAGGGCTCTTGGTACTGCTGATGGCGTGCCTCTTGTCAGAGATTGCACGAACAAGCCCTGGAAAGTCCTCAGTTTGACATACAACTGTACGGACTCACGGAGTACATATAGATAACTGACACTTCTATGGAAAACTCCGCGAACTACCTAAGAACAACAAAAATAATCAACTCCTGCCATATAATGATATAATGTTTTCCTTCCTGTCTCGTGTTTAGTGAAGTGGGTCATGTGCTACATGCATAGCAAACGTTACAATGTGCTGGCAGACTGGCTGTGAATTATTCAGGCAGAGGTATCAACTCACGGGATGTTAATTAAAGCATAATTAAACTGTGTCAAGCTACCTGTGTCAATAATATTTTTAAGACAGTTGGAGGGCCTGCTTGATGGTAAAAAAGATTTTAAGTATAAGTAGTATTGTGGTACACAACCAGCTCAATTGAAGGAGTATCCTCTCTGTTTGTAGGTAAAACAAGGGAACAGAGAATATATACCACGAAGCACACCAAAAAACCAAGATCTTAGCCACAGGTTAGGGGTTGTGAGTTGTGACAGTGTGACTTGGGAACCAGGAGAGCATAGGTGGGGTAAATTATTGTTAATAACAACAGGCGATCATCAGCGGACTTGGCCATAAATGGCATGAACTTGACTTTGAGGTCTTGTCACCAGATTACTACTACTAGTAGAGTACTGGAGAATGAAACAGAGAATCTAGGCATGACAACTGGAAAATAGTACTAGACCCATTACCAGCTTTTGGGTCAACCATCAACCACGCAGAGTTGTGGGTGTTCTGATCCATCCTGTCCTGGGATTCATGGTCCTACTACTAGTAACTAGATCCTCTACTACTACATACAATCTACACTATTATTATTGTTATCATCATCATTCCTGGCTGCCCCATCGCCTACTCTCAGTTGACAGTCTTACAGTACAGACTACTGAATAGAGCACCCTGCGGAATGAGGAGTCCACTTTCCAACTACCTTACCCACTTCTAATTATTCTGGTAACCATGTTATACGGTTATACAGGGACACCTAGGCATTCACCTGCCCTCCCAGGTATTATGTGTAATATACATGATTCCTGAATATTATCTGCAGGATCAGCTCGACGGCTGTTGGCCTTAAAAACATAGTGTGCCTCATGAGACTAAAAGTGCAGACCACAGGCACGAGGTCTAGAACTTGGCTAAAAATGAAGCAGCGATTTTCAGACTCCGGAGATCCAGTCAAGAGTCTCAGAGTCTCAGACCCATCCACACGCCAATGAGCATCCACTTCTATCCCGGCCTGAGACACTCAGGGGCAACCCGTTGCAGCCTTCAGCCACCTAGGCTTTCTTCTTGCATTCCTATTAGACATTGCTCTGGCAAATCGTGGCTAATTTAGGCTACTTTTGTATCTAGCGGCGGCGCGGCCTGACGACCTCGATTCTGGGATCTCTTATGTGTTTTCGATGGGCGAGTGTTTCCAGCATGAGCCCTTCCTTCCCCCAGCTTCTCTTCTGCTGACATCTCTGTGCGTTTGCGGTCTTCTTGACTGCTCAGTCATTCACTATCAATCTTTCATTCATCATCTCACTTCTGCGACACTCGTTTGAGATATCTCCTTCGTGTTTGTCTTTGCCGTCGCCGTACCATCTGTGTCTTTTGTTTTGCTCCTCCCTTTCAAGAAAGCTGAACTCTCAAAAGCGCCCACGAGCGCGTACGAGAAGGAAAAAGCGGAAGACTTCTATCAACCAGTCCAAAAAGCATTCTAGCACGGCTCTGCTATTGCTTGACTAAATATTCTCCTGTTGAACAATTGCATCCTTTCAGTCTTGTGTCTTCTCTCAACGCCCCATTCATTTTCCTTCTTGCATTCCGCACAGGTTGACCCTGCTTCTCTATTTCTGATCAAATCGACTGGTGCGAAAGATCAGACTTTGCTTGAATAACACCGTTCTAATCATCGTGGTATATTCATAGCGCCGCTCTATTGCAGTGTCTCATAGAGTCGCATGTCTTTTTTGCTCGAAACTGCGACCAACAACTCATGCTTGCCAATATGCTAGGCTTAATATATTCGCTGCTATTACTGTTGGCTGCCAGGGGGTATGCCGCTGACACCCTGAGCACAGGGAGTCTTTCAACTTGCTTGACTGATTCCGATATTCAGGTGAACAAGCTGGACATAAGTTTTTCTCGGTCTACCAAGAAAATCACTTTTGACGTGTCTGGCACAAACACCAAAGTCCAAAATGTCACGGCATCACTATCAGTCACTGCCTATGGTAAAGAAGTCTATACCAAGGAGTTTGATCCATGTGACAGCGCAAATTACGTTGAAAAGCTTTGCCCTGTTCCAGCTGGCACGTTCTCCGCGACAGGTTCCCAGACAATCCCCGACGAATTTGTGAGCCAGATTCCGGCAATTGCGTTCTCCATTCCAGACTTGGACGGAGTGGCTAAGCTCGAATTGAAGTCAAAGGACGACGGCAATGAGGTGGCCTGCATTGAGTCCGAACTGAGCAATGGAAAATCAGCGGAAGTCCCTGCTGTTTCTTATGCCGCTGCCGGCATGGCTGGGGCTGCACTGGCCTTGAGTGGACTTTCAGCCTTGGGCTCTGCCGGTCACGTCGGCTCTGCTACTTCTAGTCCTGGGTTTGGAGAAGTTATGGGTTGGTTTCACACCATGGCCACCACTGGCATGCTTAGTGTCAGCTATCCCAAAGTCTACAGCAGCTTCGCAAAGAACTTCGCGTTTAGCACTGGCTTGATACCACTGGCCCAGATGCAGCATTCGATCGACAACTTCAGGCGACTAACGGGCGGTAATCTTACCGAGAATAACTACGACTATTGGCAGGACGTGAGCGCTTCGTCATCTTCCGCTAACCAAAAGAGATCACTCGAAATGCTACTCGGAGCAGCACGGCTAGTTGTGCGTGAAGTGGAAGCTTCGGTGAACAGCACGTCTTCCGGCAATGCTACCTCGAGTAGCGAAGAGAGTCTCCTTTCAGCGGATGGAATCTCTAAATTGAGCAACGAGTTGCTTATCCCACAGTCCAATACGTTCATGACCGTTCTTTTGATCTTCGCCATTGTTATCGCGGCAATCACTGTGGGGATTTTGCTCGTCAAGGTAATACTCGAGCTGTGGGCGCTCAATGGCTCCTTCCCTAAAAAGCTCGCCGATTTCCGTGAACATTACTGGGGTCTCCTCGCTAGGACTATCACGAATTTGATCCTCGTTGTTTATTCTATCTGGGTCATGTACTGTGTTTACCAGTTTTCGAAAGGAGATTCTTGGGCGGCACAGCTCCTCGCAGGAGTGACCCTGGCGTTATTCACGGGCGTTCTCGGATTCTTCGCTTTCCGCATAGTACATCTAGCTCGCAAGTATAAAAAATCCGAAGGCGATGCATCCTCGTTGTACGAGAACAAAGAGAACTGGCGAAAATATAGCCTCTTCTACGACAACTACAAGAAGGGCTGCTGGTGGCTCTTTATTCCTGCCATTCTATATATGCTCATCAAAGGCTGCATCATTGCTGGTGCAAATGGGCATGGAATGGTTCAATCTACTGGTCAGCTTGTCGTCGAAGCGCTAATGCTGATTCTTTTACTCTGGCACCGGCCATATGTCGCCAAGTCCACTCAATGGATTAACATCACTATCCAGGTAGTGCGTGTCTTATCTGTCGCCTGCGTGCTGATTTTTGTCGACCGGCTTGGGTTTTCCCAGACAACCAAGACAGTTACAGGCGTTGTTTTGATTGTTGTCCAGTCAGCGTTGACCGGTGTTCTTGCCATCCTTATCGCTGTCAATGCCATTATTCTTTGTTGCCGTGAAAACCCCCATGCTCGGCGGAGAAAGGAGGCTGGTGAGTAACTTTATGCAAAACATATTTGCATCAACCACTAACAGGGCCTTTTTATTTTAGAAAAAATGAACCGCGACATTGATGACCTCACTCCTCTTGACGCTCGTGATTCACTTTTGATGGATCACCCACCTCGCAAAGACCACTCGGAAATGAGCAACTTCAATTTTACCGGTCCCTATGAACCTTACCGGGACACCGATCGTCTCGTAGACTCTCGATACCGTGACGATCCCCAATACAGTCGTAACGTGAGCAGAGACAGTCGGGGCAGCCGCAACAGCCGTGAGAGCCATGGCTCTCCTGATGGCCGCCATCCGACAAGGCCCGGGTATGGCTTTGCTTATTGAAACCTAAAGTCGTGAGTCTTGGACTTTGGTGCATTTCCTCGAATATTTCCTGGCAATTCCATCTCCAGCTTTTTGTCGATGCATCTTTTTATCAAGCGCCATATTTGATGACTTTAGCGTTTCTTGTTAATATCTTTTTGACCCACCGTCTCGCTTGTATCACACTCTCTATTGGCTATGTCGGTTATTAGAATCTTTGTACCGTCCCTCCTGTCCATCGCATGCCCTTTAATATAAGACAAAATTGATCCATTGAGTTTGTTGTACACATCAACTCGCGCCGGTAGTTGTCCCGACGGTTTTCCTCCATGAAATATGTTCATGGGACGTCCAGGGCCTGGTTGATGATCCATTATCTGATACAGCGTGAACCCTTGGGGTAGTGCCAACCATATGTATGGAGGTAGCGCTACCGTAGTGTATGGTTCGTCCACGCGTCTCACTCCCAGACCAATAATGCCACATTACATGTTTGCCTTAGGTAAGAATACATCCAAATGTAAAGACAAGAAGATATCCACACCATCTTGTTCTCACGTCATTCCTGTGGTCTGGACCAGGTGTGTGCCCTCCCCGCGCACACCTAAACCCGTCCTTTTTCGGCGGCATGCTGCGCAAGTTCATCAACGAAACCCATTCGGAGGTTTCTCCTATTTCTCAGAGGCAACTGACAGCGAAAATAACCACTCATTGTGCGCATGCCAATTGGTGGTGCGAGTTATTCTCGATGGAAGCTCGATCAACGACCGAGCCAAAACGGATACCGAGCGGTGTTTCAGTAACTCGTGTGTGAGACTGTAGTCAAGAAGCAACCAAAGCGTTGAGAACTGCATTCCCCGACCTAAATCGGCCAGGTTTCGAGCATGACCTTGCCATAGTTGAGACATGTCAAGTATAAGGGCACGGGCAAAGCCGTCACTGAAAGCCATTATCCGGAGTATGATCTCCTGTGCTAGGACGAAGGTGGGCTCGAGAGTCTTGGAAGAGACTCTGCCAGATGAATGCCTCGCTGAGAAGTAGTTCTATATCCTTTTCGGTCCAGTCTCTTGTTGGAAGGGCTTGAAGAAACATCATGATCTCCTAACGAGTTCATCAGTATATTCTCCTAGATGAAGACGGCAAGTGCATACCTGGAAGTCCATTTTTACCAATCGGTCTGTCCATTTCACCAGGAATGCCGCACACACGTACAGATGGAATCGGGAGAAGCCATGCTCTTCGGCCTTCACATGAGTTAGACTAATCACCTGCAGCCACGGGGAGAGAAGATATGCGTAGAGACAAAAATTGAGCCATACCATATACGTGTCCCACATTCTTATTGTGTTTTGTACACTCATTTCCCGCATGAGCAAACAATTCATCCATCGAAAACTAAATTGCATAAACTCCACACCCTCCTGCTCTAAGTGTTTGGCGAGAGTTGCGTCAATACGCATGGTCAGATCCCGCAATGCCCTCACTTGCCGATGAATACCTGGCTGGGCATAAATGTAGTTATCTTGAATACCATCCAATAGTTTCGTCAGACACCAGAACGAATCGGCTTCTACCGCATCCAATACACTTCGAGGGAGCTGGCCCGGATCCATACCTTCCTCAACGTTGAGGTCCGTAACGTAAACACCCAAGAAGACTTGAAAGAGTGGTGTAACAAGGTCATTTATACCTTGAACATAACCACTAGCCGGGTGTCGAATAGCCCAGACGTATAAGATTCTTTCTAGTGACCGTTGGGTAGCTTCGTAGCTATAGAGTTGGATATGTGGGCTTGTGCGAGGAACATCAATACTGATTTGGTGCCATATTGCTTCATCTAGGCCTCGACCACGCCCGGTACTGGAAGATCGCGAGCTCCCAGTCGCTGCGGCGCCGCTGCGCTCGAAGGCCTGTCGAACCCCGTCCAAATATTCCTTCCGTTTTCGCTCGAGAGTGGCGATGCGCCGTTCACTATTTGTGGGGAGGTAGCCTAGGAGTAGTTGCCAAGTCATAGCCCGTACTTCGTCCGGGACGCCCGACCAGGCGAGATTTCGTAATTCCGAGAGAGGCACAGTACTCGCTTGTAAAAGGCGCTTGAATTTGTTGATCCTTGATATGCGACTTGTGTACGCATCAATTTCCTTCGGCTCTGCGTTGTTGGGGGGTGCACCGTGGTTGATGATGTTCAATGCATTTGCCGGATCTTTCAGAACATGTTAGACCATTTCACTGATCGTCTCGAAGCAGCTTTGGCGTACCTCTTAGGATCTCTTTATACTGGGGCCGTAGAATCTTGCCGTCTCCCTTTCGAGCCGTCGGGTACAATGGAATATCGCGTTCCTCGGCAATATCCGAGCTGTTCGCTCGTTGCCTTTTGTTTGATATATTGACGCCAAGGGTTGACGGCTTGCTCTCAGATTTCAGGATTGGTGTCTGAACGGTCTTAGAATGAAATCCATAAGTTTTGCGACTCTCTTTCGTGCGCATGCTTGCGATGCTTGGAAGCCCAAACTCGTCCTCGTCGTCGTCAAAAACAACATCCTCTCCTGCATCGTCTTCATTATCGGCGAGTTTTCCCGCAGCGCCACCATGGTCCCAAGCTCCAAGCTCTTGATTCATGATACCAGAGTATGACGCACGCGGCGGTGCGACCCATAACCCAGGTCGGCGAGGAGAAGGAGTTGCGCGTGTGGAATTGTGGGACGACGAACGAGGAGGTGTCCGGGGTTGTGTATGTTGGGGCAATCCACTGTTGAAGAACGAGGGAACCGGTCAACAAAGGCGTATGATAGCTCGATTCAAAGGGAACTGACTTCGGGATGTTGACGTGAGAATAGGAGGCTCCAATGACAAGGTTCTGATCAGGGGAGTCGGGAGTCTTTTGATACTTTTGGGACGCCGACCTGGCTCTCCAGAAAGAAGAAGTCAATTGTCTGTCAGTTTGTTAGGCACCTAAGCGCGATGCTGAATAAAGAATATTAAAGGCTACTTACTCAGAACGGTCTGTAGATGGGAGTTATCAGCCACTTGATTTTGAATTTCTGCACAGAGAGCTTATGAGGTACGAACCAACCTGGACCATTTCCTTTTGCAGGCCTATTTAGTCACCTCCAAGCGCGAAGACACGGGGAGAGCACGTACCTGCTGCTGGGTCTTTCTAGCATTCATGATTTTGTGAGAGGGAGACCACTCGTGCTGCGGAGATGATGTCAACCGAACAGGTCACCGGTCTGTAGAAGAAGCAGGGGAATTGCGGGGTCTTCGTGACACTAATCGTAGCTATCTAATATATGAAGGTAGGTACGGAGTACTGGGTCAGCACTAGAGACAGTTGAGTCGCTACACGTAGTATGGACAGCGACGTCTCTACTTCTGAGCCCAGGACTCGAATGTGAGAGTTGACTGTCGACTCGTGTCGTGCTTGGGAGACAGGTGGGCTGTAAATTACCTTACCCTCCCGTCCTATACTTCATAATCCATATGGAGTAGTCCCAAGTCTTGGCTCTTCATGACGCCTCCGGTACAAATGGTAATTTTCCGCACTTCTCCAACACCATCGCTTCTCCTTCCTTGCAATCCTCACTATTATTCCTTCCTCATTCTTCTCTCACCCTCTTGTCTAGGCGTCTTTCCTCGTCTTTCCCTCTCAACACCTTACCTTACTTTCACTGTTCTATCACCCATTGCTAGAAATCTTGTCGCGACTCACTTCCGGTTAACTTGCTTCAAAAATCTGACATTCAGACAGCACTGCCGTCTGCATTCGATCAATTGCAATCGATTATCCTTTCCCCTTTTTTCATCATCAATAAGCGCCGATTCACATAATGGCCGAACCAGAGGATGTTGAAGAAGATCTCTTTGCCGACTTGTATGCTGCTCATGGCTGCCAGTATTGCAATGATCTATCTAACCAGTCTTGACCTCTAGGTACGATGCAGATGAGACAACAAACCAAGCAGCTCCTGCCCCGGTAGCTTCCAACCCTACACCCTCCGATGCGCCAGCTCAAGTTCTAGCGACTTCCGCTATTCAGTCGATCGAAGGGTATGGGAATGAGTCTGAAAGCACGCATGGCACCTACCAAACCCCTAAATATGAAGGAGGCTATCAAAATGGATCTGGCTTCGATTCAGGGTATCAAAACCAGGCTACTGGCCCGGCAGGAGAGCCGGAGCAGCAGGGAACTGGCATCAAAGAAGATGGGTAAGTTCTCCTTTTCACACAAGAATTCCAGTTCCTCGCACTTTCAACATCTTTGCACTCATTGCTTTTGCTGCGCGCTCCATGGTCCAGAGTTGGAGCGTCCTGGGAGGCCATCAAACTATTTGGTGGACCTTTCCGTCTGAGCACATGATGATGGCGGGCTATACGCTGAGCGTACTGTATCACATGCAGAACAGCCTGCATCTTGCTTGATCTGGGTGGGTCGCTCTCGAGGCATGCAAGATCTGCCGCTGTGGGAAGGCGGATGGGCTTCTTCGCTCGGATCAAGGTCTTTTGTTGGAAGCGACTATCTGTGCTGGAATGAATGAGTCCGCGATCGACTTTGGCCAAAAACCGACTATCTATCAGAGCCTAGACGCGGCCGGTTATCGGTGGAAGTGCAGCTCTCTTCCTTTCAAGTCTAGCGATGGTAAACCAGCAAGTCAGCATCATTATGGCACTGTCGGGAGGCACATGTCGACATTTTAGCTTTACAAGCCCCAATCTCGATCGACTCTTGTACAGCTGATACCATATAGCCTCTTGTCGGTATATGATACAGCACAGCCACTGAGGAGTAGCGCCCTTGGCTGGCTGGCTGCGCATTATCGAAGAGTTTACCTAGCTTCGGACTCCATAGACAGCAGGCAGAGATACCTTGGTCAGAGAGACAGAGAACAATTGACTTTTTCCGCCCGGCATACCTCTCCCTTGTGGTCTGTCTATTACTCGCATACCCAACCGGACTCTGGAGCCCACGTCGTTTGATCCCCAAACTGCTGGGTCGACTTGTAATCCAGTGGCTATGAATAAAATCGAAATAACACCATTTACGCTAGCATACGGACTCGGTGATTCCAGTCGACGGTACCCGTGCTAGATCATCAGCAAATTTTGAGGGAACAAATCGAACAAGTCATTTCATGCACCCAGCCCTACACATCTTTCGATATGGAACGATGTCTGTTCAGCTATTGATAAAATCTGAGCCGAGACGCCTTCTTCTACGTCATGGACCGTCAGCCATCGCCAGCAATATGCCACTTATGTGTCTTTTCTTCATGTTTCTCCCTTCTAATGGCCCTTTATTTTTACCCCATCTTGTCTTCTGCTTGTTCAAATACTATCAAAAGGGGATGGCCTCGCTAATGTGAGCTACGCATGGCAGGAAAATGTTCATCGGAGGGTTAAACTGGGAGACAACAGATCGTACGTACCGTCAACGGACTGGCCTAGCTTTTGTCGCAAGTTTTATATTCTAACTTCCGAGGTAGAATCGTTGAAGGAGTACTTCTCGCAATTCGGAGAGGTACAGGAATGTACCGTCATGCGAGACAGTGCTACGGGTCGGTCCAGAGGCTTCGGTTTTCTGACTTTCAGGGACCCTAAGACGGTGAACACTGTGATGGTCAAAGAGCATTATCTAGATGGAAAGATCGTAAGACCCACTCTGACGATGCTTCATACTGTTGCTTGATTGTATGCTCACATAACGTCAGATCGATCCGAAACGCGCCATCCCACGTGACGAGCAGGAGAAGACAAGCAAGATCTTCGTTGGTGGTGTCAGCCAAGAGGCCACTGAGCAGGACTTCAAACAATTCTTTATGCAGTTTGGTCGTGTGATTGATGCGACCTTGATGATCGATAAGGATACCGGCCGCCCTCGTGGCTTTGGCTTCGTGACGTTTGATAGTGAGGCCGCGGTCGAAGCAGCGCTCTCGCGTCCTCTCGACATCCTTGGTAAACCGATTGAAGTAAAGAAGGCTCAGCCAAGAGGCAATCTACGCGACGACGGGGATCGTAGCCGTCGTGGTAGGGATTTTAGGGATGGTAGCCAAGGTGGATCAGACGGCTCCCAGCAGCAAGCAGGTGTCCAGGGGCAAGGCGGCATGCCCGGTGGGCTCACTCCTCAAATGATGGCCCAATATTGGCAACGCATGCAACAGTACTTTGCTCTGATGCAACAGCAAATGGCAGTAGCCGCAACGCAGGGTCAAGGAATGGGCGCCATGGGAATGGCTGGGATGAATCCGGCTTTGATGCAGCAAATGCAGATGAAGCAGCTACAGCAATTACAGATGGGAAACAACCAGCAATCACCTAGCATGAGTCCTCCCGCACAGAGCCCGACTCCACAGTCAATGCAGAACATGATGAACCCTGCTATGATGCAGCAAATGCAACAGCAGATGCAAAACCAAGGACAGGCAAACAACATGGCGGGACAAATGGGTGTGGGTGGTAATGGTGGTGGGAACATGAACATGAGTGGCAACTATGCTGCAGGAGCTAGAGGAGGACCAGGTTACAATGCACACGAACAGATTGCTTTTGAACAACAAAAGTACGAGCAACAGCAAGCTCGTCGGGCTATGGAGAACCGAGGATTCTCTCCCTATCAGCAAGGTGGTCCGACATCGTGGGAAGGCATGTACGATGAAGTGCCACAGCCCAACATTCCTACGGGCCCCCAGGCCATGAATCGATCTGGTAGCGTGGGACGCGGTACGCATTCTGACACTCTTACTAAGCATTGCTCACCCATATTGCTAACTCGAATTAGGTCAAACTCCGCAGCCCCAAGGGGCCGCACCTGCAAACGCCCCGACCGGGCCTAAGAACGCTGGAAAGCCCGGCGCCAACTACCGTGGTGGGGGACGTGGAGGCCACCGAGGTTTCCATCCTTATGCGCGTAGCTAGACCGTTGCATGTATCTACGCAACAAGCACGCGACTGGCACCGGCGCCATCTGTAACGGAACACGGACTTCTGTTGTTCATCTCGTTCTACTTTCTCTTGTCTTCCAGTCTTTCGATCTCCAGGCGTCTGCCAAAAGATTCTTCTTGTTCTATGATTACTTCTAGTTTGACTATACATCGGTGTTCGGCGGGGGTTTTGGGATGGCGGCGCCAATAATGTGCTGATAGTCCTTAAACAGTTTGCCGACTTCTCATCAAGAGCTATCCTTAGACTCCGTAGGTACCTGCAGAATGTAATCCCGTAGAGAGGTTCAAAGCGATAAGATAACGGAGCGGAACTATCATTTTGCGGCATTGCCTCTTGGGCCAACAGAAACTCAGTAACTATTCAAGTTCGATTTCTCTGTCAAGACCTTGATCTTGACCTTCAAGGGCCTCGTTAGGATGGCGTCTGGTCGGAAGGATTTTCTGAGTCAACCCGCTCCCGAAAACTACGTTGCTGGTTTAGGTCGAGGTGCGACCGGCTTCACCACCCGCTCGGATTTAGGCCCTGCTCGAGAAGGCCCAACTCCAGAACAAATCCAGGCTGCGCTTGCAAAAAGGGCACAGTTACTTGGTGCGGCTCCTCCCACGGCTTATGGCGCATCACGAGAGAAGGGCAAAGGAGAGGAAAAGCCAGCAGAGGAAGAAGACGATGAACGTTTCCAAGACCCCGATAACGAGGTTGGGCTGTTTGCCTACGGTCAGTTTGACCAGGAGGATGACGAAGCAGATCGCATATACAGAGAGGTAGATGAAAAGATGGATAGGCGGCGCAAAGTGCGAAGGTTAGTAACTTGCACACCCCTCTTCCCGTTACGGAACGATTTGTTTATCGGGTTCACCCCCGGTTTTTCTTGTATAGATAACCGACTTGATACCTTTCGCCGCAGGGAAGCTCGAGAACGCCTGGAGCAGGAAGAGTATGAACGGAAGAATCCGAAGATCCAACAGCAATTTGTGGATTTGAAGCGGTCTCTCGCCTCGGTGTCGGAAGACGAATGGGCAAACCTTCCCGAAGTAGGCGACCTTACGGGTAAAAACAGACGAACGAAGCAGAATCTACGTATGCAACAACGTTTTTACGCGGTTCCTGATAGCGTACTCGCAAATGCAAGAGACTCCACCCAGTTTGGTACAACTGTTGCCGATGATGGATCACATACCGACGCAAGTGCAGATGAGACAGACGGGATGATAACGAATTTCGCCAACATCAGTGCTGCTCGCGACAAGGTTTTACAGGTTCGACTCGACCAGGCGGCTCTGGGATCATCTGGAGACTCGGCGTCTGGGAGTGCGACCAGCATCGATCCGAAGGGCTATCTTACGAGTCTTACACAATCGGAACTGAAGGCAGGCGAAATAGAGGTGGGTGACGTCAAACGAGTGCGCGTTTTGCTGGAATCGGTGACAAGGACGAACCCCAAGCATGCTCCTGGGTGGATTGCGCTGGCGCGATTGGAGGAGCTCGCGGGAAGGATTGTCACTGCCCGGAATATGATTGCAAAGGGATGTGAACTCTGCCCCAAGAGCGAAGACGCCTGGCTTGAGAATATTCGCCTGAACGAAGGGCATAATGCTAAAGTTATTGCTGCGAATGCCATCAAGAATAACGACCACTCTACCCGGCTCTGGATCGAAGCCATGAGGTTGGAAACTGAGCCACGAGCAAAAAAGAATGTTCTGAGACAGGCTATTCTCCATATACCCCAGTCCGTCACAATCTGGAAGGAGGCTGTCAACCTGGAAGAAGACCCTGCAGACGCACGCCTGCTGCTCGCCAAAGCGGTTGAGATGATACCGCTCTCTGTTGAGTTATGGCTGGCGCTTGCACGCCTCGAAACCCCTGAAAATGCCCAAAAGGTTCTGAATGCTGCACGAAAGGCTGTCCCTACAAGCCATGAGATTTGGATTGCTGCTTCCCGACTTCAAGAGCAGATGGGAACATTTCACAAAGTAAATGTCATGAAGCGAGCTGTACAATCACTGGCAAGAGAGAACGCTATGCTCAAAAGGGAGGAGTGGATAACGGAAGCTGAGAAATGCGAAGAGGAGGAGGCGATTCTCACCTGCGGCGCGATTATTCGGGAGACGCTCGGATGGGGGTTAGATGAAGACGATGACCGGAAAGACATCTGGATGGATGATGCGAAGGCGAGTATCGCGAGGGGAAAGTACGAAACAGCAAGGGCTATTTACGCGTACGCCCTGCGTGTCTTTGTCAATCGCCGATCAATCTGGATGGCAGCTGCGGACCTTGAGCGTAACCATGGGACAAAAGAGGCGTTATGGCAAGTCCTTGAAAAAGCAGTAGAGGCTTGTCCACAGAGCGAAGAGTTATGGTTACAGCTTGCAAAGGAGAAGTGGCAATCAGGGGAAATTGACGACGCAAGGCGGGTGCTTGGCCGTGCTTTCAACCAGAACCCTAACAACGAAGATATTTGGCTTGCGGCTGTCAAGTTGGAGGCGGACGCCAAGCAGACGGATCAGGCTCGGGAGCTTCTTGCGACGGCTCGTCGTGAAGCAGGAACAGATCGCGTGTGGATCAAGAGCGTTGCTTTTGAACGGCAATTGGGTAATATCGATGATTCGCTCGACCTGGTTAACCAAGGTCTCCAATTGTACCCCAAGGCGGACAAACTTTGGATGATGAAGGGTCAACTATATGAGTCCCAGAACAAGCTCCCTCAGGCCCGCGAGGCCTACGGAACTGGTTCCAAGGCATGCCCCAAGTCTGTCCCTCTTTGGTTATTGGCTTCAAGACTGGAAGAAAAGACCGGCGCAGTGGTCAGAGCCCGATCGGTGCTTGATAAAGCCCGTCTAGCGGTTCCCGGTAGCCCCGAACTCTGGACCGAGAGTGTCCGAGTTGAGCGACGGGCAAATAACATTCCCCAGGCCAAGGTTCTGCTGGCAAGAGCATTGCAGGAAATTCCATCGTCGGGGCTACTATGGAGTGAAAGTATCTGGCACCTCGAACCACGCTCGCAGCGCAAGGCGCGAAGTCTGGAAGCAATCAAGAAGGTTGATAATGACCCGATCCTCTTTGTCACGGTAGCGCGAATTTTCTGGTTAGAACGTCGACTAGAGAAAGCCATGACCTGGTTTGAAAAGGCGATTGTATCAAACAGTGATTTTGGCGACGCGTGGGCTTGGTATTACAAGTTCCTGCTGCAGCACGGTACAGGTGTATGTTCTCTCTCTTCGCACCCTCTCCCATTTCCCTGTCATGCACCGAAGAAGAACTTATATTAACGCCCCGCCACCCACAGGAAAAACGCGCCGATGTTATCTCAAAGTGTGCACTTTCCGAGCCAAAGCATGGTGAAACATGGCAAGCTATCGCGAAGGATCCCGTCAACGCCTATAAATCAACCGAGGATATTCTCAAGTTGGTTGCTGACAGTCTTGTTCAGTAAAAGGCGCTGCTGCTCTTGTTGTTCTCTATTGTATGCTATCTTGCTTGTTATCAGCCCAAGTCTGTTCTGGATGGGCATCTTGGGGATGATCTAGACGGGAGCTCAATGAATGATATCACAATTCTTCTTCCCTTTGGCCTTTCACTGTGGCGCTACATAGTCCGTCGGTTGTATGGAGGGAGGGAGCTGCATGGCATGAGGTATCTTGATTGGAATCAAGGAACAGTGGCGTCACTTACACACGCGCAGGGTATTTAGGTTTTTTACCTCGCTGAAGAGTCGACATCCTTGGTGATGGAGGGTTACTGCTAATACTCTAATTTGCTCCAACCGCCAAGCAGGTAGACCTCAAGAGCTCAATGCAAAGGCTAAGTGTACAGTATTAGAGATCGAATTTCAGTAATTCATTAAGCCATCGCCCATATATGTAGTGTAAAAGGGCTCGCTTGAGAGGAATGGTGGATATGGCGGTAGCCTAAAAAGCGTCGGCGCTCAGCCAGAACTCTGTCCAGTTGCCGCAGGTTACCAAGTATTCGCCGCATATCAAGAGCTCTGCGGGTTGAGTACCTTCTTGACTTGTGGTCCGCCCATAGCGCTCTTGAAAATGTGATGTAGGCAATGCATGTTTCAGTACGGTGGCCGTGCTCTTGGTTGTTGTGAGAAAAGGGAAAGGGCAGAGGGATGTACAACACATCTAAATCCAATCCAAGAATGCAACAAGACAATGCCACACAACCTGTGAATACTCCAAACTCCTAGGACGCCTTTTGCCTTTTTGTAGGCTAAGATGCTGCAATGGCCTATCTAGACCAGATAGTCGGTAACATGAAGGGAAGAGTGATAAAAAGAGCGCAGAGAAGCGTCAAGGTGGGACAAGCAAAGCGAGCGTGAGGGAGTTGATCAAGAGGCCATTGATAGACATTCGTCCAGTAAAGAGCTCAAGTGTTGGTGATCGCCCGACGTGGCTCCCTCCCAACCCCAATCTGCTTCGTCTACATCCATATCGTCCACCATGTTCATGGGCTCCGTGTCATCGATATCATCAAAACGATCTCGCTTGTCAGCCTCCAACTCGTCTTCGAGGTAGCCTCCCATGATCTGGTCCACAAGTAACGGCATATGGCTTAAGACTCCGCTTCCGAGCTCTAGTGATAGTCGGAGGTCGCGAACCCCAAGGGAGCTGCGAGTACTAGCTTCCTTAGCCTCGACAGGAAGCAGCCCAGTTGCACCGTCTTTGGCAATTTCACCACGAGTAAAGGCCAACTCTTCACGCTCCAGTTGCTGCTTATATGACCGTTTCATCATACCATTGATGGTACCAGAAGGACCATTAGATCTCGTCCGGGCAAATACGACTGAAAGCACCTCCTTAACAAATGTCTCAGTTGCTATCGCCATGAACTCGGCGCACGCGACACCCGCACCATTAACAACTGACTCTTCGTAGCAGATAGGAGTCATTCGAGCGTGTATTGATTCAGCGTCCGGAAATTCGCCGGTTTCTGATGCGAGCGGCTGCGCATAACGTTTTCGGACTTCTAACTCCCAGTCTGTGCAAAAGTACTGTTAAGTCTCGACCGTAGAATCTAGCCGTGGAGAATCTCTACTCACTTGTCATGTTCAAGCCGCCGGCGCTTGCTGGTACCTGACTTGGTAATTTTATCTGCTTGGCCAGGTGATACTCCTCCAGTTCATGACGTACAGTTTCGTGGGGTTCGCGCTGAATACAAACACGAAACGTTAGCTATTCCTGGCTCATACGAAGCGGGCACATCTGAGTATCGGACGTTGCTCACCTCCGGGATCGCTTTGATCCGTCGGCGATCTCTTGGAGGTAATTGCATAACCTCCGTCTTGAGTCGCTGTTCGGCGGCATCCCCAGAGGTTGGTTTCGATACCACGGACGGCTTGTCATTTGCCGATACCCAACTAGCAACTCCATGGTCGGGGAGATCTCTTGTAAGGTTGGCAATAATCGCGCATACGAAATTATTATGGAGGTGTTCGATTTTCTGGTCGGCGCATATTATCGGATCAATGCGCGATGCGAGCTCATCTTGATTCAATTGTCCTGACGGGGAGAGAAAAGACTAGTCAGTACGTATTTCGTACATAGGCCATGGTGAGCTTCTTTAAGCCGGTAGCTGGCCGCATACCTAGTAGAAAGAGGGTGGTGGCCTCCTTGTACTCAGCCCATTTGTCGCCCCCAATTGCGCTTCTGAGCTCAATATAGGTTGGCCCCAAGTCCAGTCGCGACACAGATATCAGCGCTTTTAGTTTCTGAGCCGGTGCGGAGCTTTTCGATGAAGTTACGGCGGGAGCAGAGTCTTCTGTCCGGCTCAAGGCCGCTGGGTCGATCTGCTGCATGGTCGGGGATGTGAGGCTCGCGGAGACGCGACGGGCTGCGCGAAGCCGAGGAGGCAGATAATTAGAGCTTCATGAAGGGAAAGACATTCCAAGATGCGGGATAAGCCAGGAAATGCGCGCTACACGGCGAAAATTCTCAGAGATAGATCAAATCGAGTTGGAGAAAGCTGTAGGGTGATGGGATGGGGTCCGTAGAGTTGGTGGAAGGAGGTTCGAATTTCTGGGGCCGCATTCATCGTTTCTCCCCGCCACACCAACTTGCAGTATAACTGTATACCTCCACAACCATCCAGGTAGAGTGGCTGTCTTCTCATGACATTACGACGTGACTACCAGTTAACAGAGTTCCAATTCTATTCTAGGCATAGAGTTTCACTGCGTCCTCATCGAGAACCCCAAACAGTCGTCCGATCTCCTCTGATATCCCCTCAATTTCTTTCGACAATTGCCCGGTCACCAGCACTGTTCCTTACATTAGAGCTGATTCAGGTGCATAGAAATTGAGTAAACAAACCGTAAGCGTAAAGCAATGAGTAATCCTCGTCCGTGGACGATTGGGAGACTTCTGAGTCCTTACGATAGTGGAAAAGACGGGAAAGAAGCCGGTCTCGCGCATGCTCAACATTGGGAAGGTTATCGTTCAAAGGATACTCCAGCTTCATAGAAGAAGCCATGACTAACGACAGAGTTAGTTTGGTAAAGGCAGAGCATTTAGGGCCACTCACAGGATAATAAATGGCTAATGCGGGAGGACAAATGCCGTCTTTCTCGGACGGTATATTCAAGAATGGCCAGTTCGCCCCGCGAAGCGGTCAAGTTTTTGGCCAGCTCGAGGTTCATCGCTACAAAGGCATCCACCATGCTTCGCGTGTGCACAAGAAGATTAGTATAGGACGCATCCGGAAACGCTTGCTTCAGCTGGAACTCAGACCGTGCTGAGGCCTGAAGAGACTCCAGATGCGCCAGAAATCGCTCAACTTCAAGCTTATCCCTCGCAGTCATAAATTCAGTCGGCTGTTTAGAACTGTGGGTTGCAGAAAGCGGACCAAACTTCCAGATCAGACTCAAACGAAGCCATAGCAATGCGAGTCCGTCCTTCAGTCTCTTTCGTGCACTAATGGGCCAGATTAGCCTGGTGACGATGATACCCCAGATGCAACCGGAGAACACGGCTACAACCCGATGAAGCGCAATTTTAGTGATAACGGGGCTGTCTCCCCCCTCGTCTTGGTCATCCTGGCCGTCTTGCTGAGTGAGTGAATATGCGTATAGAACAGAGAGGTTGTATGTAAGCATGATAAAGCGGCCCATGGGGCCCTGCCGTTTAACAATAATGATGTAGGCTGTCCATGTAGCCATGATCCAGCCTAAAAATGCGAGACCAAGAGCGTTCCCATCCGTGATATACCACGACAGAATAGCACAAACCGCACCGAGACATGTTCCGAGGAATCGTGCATATCCTGTGGTGTTAGAGGATCCGATGGTCATTGAGCAAACCAACATGTAGGATAGCAGACCCCATTCCCCTCGCCAATGCGAGTAAATTGGTCGAGTCGAAGTGATGAAGGATGGCCAAGCATAGAGTGCTGCACCGGTGCCGACCTTGATCGCAAATTTCATATCATCTCGACGGAACACGCCGAGTGATTTCCATATTTGATATCCGACTCTGGTCTTCGTGAATGGCTTTCCCGATTTGGAATCACCATTTTGAGATTGTGAAAAGTCATTTAGGGGCGGCGGAAGAGCAATGGCGCTTCTCAGGGTGCTCGACTCAATTAATGGTTGATCTGAGTCTCGATCAGTCCAGGCCCATGGCAATGCGCCAAAAGGTCGATGTGGCGGAACTTACCGGAGAACTCTCTCCTCCGCTCAGGGTCTCTTTTTTGCCAAAACTTCAACCAATTCCAAGATCTTCCACGGGGTCGTTCTTCAGACTCAAGCTGTAATTCATCTAGGATGGCAAGCAATTCTTTCAACTGCTCGCCAAATTCCAACAGCGAGAAACTGAAATGCCCACAACTTGCGGCGACCTCTTCGAGGTCTGCTTCAATTTCAAGGGTTCTGACTTTGAAGATATCTTTCTGCCGGTATATAGTTTTCAGTGCTTCATCCCTGGACGCCTTGTAGAGCTCAAGAGCACGGTCCAGGCTAGTGCTGAACCTGCTGTCGATGGAGACTTTGAACTGTGGAGCAGGCCCAAAGGGGATTTCCCTGAATATCTCCTTCAGCGTGAAAGCGAGGGATCTCTGCACATGATTAGTATGTATGCCTTTGTGTCCCGCGTTCGCAGTTGAGCTCACCATAGAGGGTCCCAAATGGTCTATAAATATAGCGAATATATCAGCAGGAATAAGGGTAAATCCAATCTCAGATTCTGATGTCTGTCGGCGGCTTAGGATTGGCCGAAGGACGTCAGGTACCGATACTTCTTCCTCCGGTTGCTCATCAATTGGTTCTAGGTAAGCTCGTTCCTCGGGTATTGACCATGGGCTCAATGGCCTGTGACAGTCAGCGCCGTGGTGGAGTGACTCTGTACTTCGTGGCTGCGGCGAGTTAACAGGTTTGGTTTGCCTGAGTAACTGAAACTGTAAAGTAGCAGCACTGCGCAAGCCTCCCATGTTGTGAGTTATATCCTGTACCCAGCGAACGAGGTTCTTTTCCAATCTGTACTCCCTCTCCGTGCCTCGTACATAGTGCTCGAGTTTGGCTTCTTTGACAAGAGAGTCAAGTTGACCATATGCCTTCTTGTGTCGTGCGGCTGCGTTGATGAATTCTGTACTCTGAAGCTCTTCTTCAGAGCCGCTCAGAAAGCTTTCTGTGATCAAAGCCAGCATAGTCGCCATGGACTCGGTGACGTTCGTGAGGTTTGACCTCAACTTCTTCCGGGCAGAGATGGGAAATATCAAGAACGATACAGCCATCGTGGCAGTCACCCCCATGATAATCATTTTCAAGACCTGGGAAATTTTCGCAAATGATAAGTCTCCAGCTTGCACTGCACCTTCTTTCGTTAAGACACTGATCGTCGAAAGCGAGGCCAAAGAGCATGCAACATTGACGAGCGGGTCGCTTAGTCTTTGCTTCGTCCACCCGATAAATCCCAGTCCGCCTCCACAGAAGACAATAAGGACAATGGCATGTCCCAATGGAAGCAAGTCTAGTGTGTCCTGAAAGAACATTGCAACGCACATACTTGTGACCGAGACGAAGGACGTGTAGATAAAGGCTAGAAACGCACAGATCAATGCTTTGAGCATACTCCCCTGCGATCGAGCTGGGTGGAAATACACCGTTATAGTGGCAACCATGTGCTTGCTATCCTGGTGACCAAGCAGCGCTGTGAGCACTGGCACAAAGGTCGCTAGAGATCCAATCAAATATGCCAGACTGCATTTCAAGACGCCTATTCCAAGCTCCGACAAAATATATTGTCGCAATGAGTACCATTGTTTCCAGAGATTCCCTTTTATTTGCAGCACGAGGCCCTCTGGAGCAGGAGGAATCTCCCCGGAAAGAAGCCCGCGTCGTTCTTCATCGTCAAGGCGGCCGTTAGAATTGGCGTGCGAATTTCGTAATTGCACCAGGCCCTTGAGTCGCTGACCGGTTTTTGGGAGGATAAAGGTCGCCTGGCGAAGCTAACGTAAAAAGGTCATGCTATTTAGCCAAGCGCTGCATGTTATGGCTTGCGGCTTACCATCTGCGAGCGGAGGAGACGTTGGGAGCTGCTCGATGAGTTCCCAGACACAGACATGGTCTCATCTCATTTTCGCTGAGCTGCGTGCCTGGGCTTCATCAGCCAGCGCTGTAGTCAGGAATGGAGAAGAGCTCTGCGTTCGCTCAAGACGGGCGCCGACTGATCAGTGACGACTTGGTCGGTGCTTTGATCTCCTACCGCAACCTTATCTTATTGCTACGTCTATTTCGCTTCTTAAAAACACGCACCTTGCCGAGTTATGTTCGGACCCATGGATGATTTATCACGGTCTGCAATAATTAACTATATGTGCCTATACAGGTGTCTCCTATACAAGTGTCTTATCTATTTCAATCCTTCAACCTGCCACACCTTGACTGCAGCATCAGCTCCAGCGGAGGCCACTTTCGAGCCACCAGCGATCCACGCAACACCGTTGACCCCCTCTTTATGAGCGTTGGACACCTGCAGCCAGTCTCCCGGATTGGTCAAGCTCCAAACAAAGATGTTGGTGTCCAGCCCACCACTGACAATATGGGCTCCATTGTCGTTCCAGGAAATAGAGGTAATTCGCGATGTGTGTGCCGTCCATCGGTCAATCACCAGGCTGCCATCCGAAACCTTGTATACAAGCACGCGCCCTCGAGAGTCACCAATAGCCAGATTGGAACCATCTGGCGAGAAGGCCAGGGCTGATACCACGTCGCGCGACGCCTTGAAATCTCGCTGCGGCGTCAGAGATGATACAGAAATATCGCAGATTTGAACAGTCGAATCTTCTCCTCCAATTGCTGCCACGCTGCCCTGAGCAGCCACAGCAGTTACAGAGAAGCTCGTTTTGAAGTCGCCAACTTTTTGCCCATCTTTGTGGATCTCTATGTTATCAGAATTGGCCACTAGAACGGTCGCGCCTCCGCCAGCGATTCCTTTGGGTTGTCCAGACAACTTGGAAGAGCCCCCGGAGTACGTTTTAGCGCCAATGTCCACGGAACGGATGGTATCATCCCAGGCAACACTATAAATCCTCCCAGCGCCTTCTTGGGTCGATGTTAGACCTGCGATATACGAGGATGAGCCTTCTCCTTTGATTGTCGCCGCTTTACCAGTAGGCACATCCCAACCGCACACTCTTCCATCGAAACTTCCCGTCCACAGTGTTTCATCTCCACTGTTAAATCCAGGCGTAGTCAAAGACGTGATGTTCTTCTGATGACCCTGGATTACCTGTCTCGGTTCCGGTGTACCTTCAACAAGGTAATTAAGGTCACCGCTCAATGACAAACTGATGAGCAGGTAGTCGCTCCTGCCTGACGGCCAGACCACGCCGACTTGCTGATTCAGGAAGTCGCTATTTCCCTCACCACCTATGTTCCAATTCTGTGTGACCTTTCCTGCCTCCACGTCCCAAATTTTGACAGTCTTGTCAGCACTTGCGGTGACAAATTTGCGCGAATCCTTGGACCATGACACCGCGAAAATACTTCCCTTGTGTTCCGCTTCTCCAATCTGGCCCCTCACCTCTCCAGTTTTACCGTCGTATAGCCAAATCTTCTTGTCAGCACCAACGCTGACTAACGTAGAGCCATCGGGACTGAAGTCAACGCCGTAGATGTAATTAGTATGCTTGTCACGGATGCCAGTGTTGAACTTGAACGGTGCCCCATGATAGAAGACCACATTCTTATCGTCGCCGGCGGCAGCTGCACGCAGTGGGCGCTGCTGGCGGATGGAAACAGCGTTGATTGCTTGGGTGTGTCCGCTAATTTCGCCCACAGTATTGCCGCTATCCCAAGTGATGCAGTGGCCATATCTTTGCTTTCCATCTCCCACTGCAATTATTCGCTGCGAATCACCGTCCCACGCAAGATCATTGATTCGGCCATTGACAATGCTGTATTCACCCTTGGTGATCCCTTCACCGATGCAATCCCAGACTCTAACTATTCCACTTGCATCTCCGCTCGCGACATAGAATCCCGAGGGTGCAAACCGGGCGACAGTTGTTTGCACTTTATGCTCGGTGTATTGACGAGCAACTGCGGGGTCATCAATGGACCGGAGAAAGATGGATTTATTTGACTGTTGGGAGAGGAGCCTTCCGGGTTAGACGAGTGTCTAGTGCAGTGCGTGAGAGAGCGTCTGCGAACGGCTATGACATACCGCATATGCGAGACGTTCGCCTTTAGCATCGGAAGATAGCTGGGTGGGTTGTCCCCTCGTGGTGGAGGGGCTGGCAGCCCAGATGGCCTCTTAAGAGAAAGAATCAGTACAACGCATGCGAGAATCTCCAACAAAGCTACTAACCATTCTTGATTGACATGATATACAGCTATATGGCGAGAGATAGGTTGGTTGAGGTACAGGAAAAGGCGGGGATGGAGATGCAAGAGAGGGGGAGTTGGAGCTCTGTTTAGTGTTTACCCGCTGCTGGGCGTGGATCTATTAGATCGTCATCATGCACGCCGCCCCAGTTAACTTTGTCTTGAATGGAACGAGAAGAATCATACATCAGATCACCACAAGTGTCAACAGTAAGCATCAAAGTTGGAGCTCGACAACTGCATATCATTGTGACTATTGTTCAGTGAGTCTCTGTTTGGACATCGCTTGAATCGATGCTATAACAAATATATTACATGTTCACACACACTTACAGTGTGCAGGTCTATGATAAATATGGTACATTGCTCCGTAATGCCAGCATTCATGATGATAACAAAAGGAAATAAAAAGGGGTACGCCAGGTTGATGAGGATGAGGAGGCGGAAATCCCAGCCAGTTCATCTAGAATCACCTCATCTCTTCTCTCAAAAAATAGTGCCATCGGTCCTGAGCTTCAGTTCTGCAAGAATTTCTGGGTGACGGTGCACACTTGGCATCAGGCCAACACCAATGGCTCTTCGGATTGCCTTCGCAAGTTTCCGTTGGTTTACGCCGCGTAGGCCAGTCACTCTCCTGTGCTTTATACGTCCCATTTCTGTCATATAATCAGACATGATGGAAAAGTTCTGACGCGGAAATAAGAATGTAAGTCCAAGTTTCAGTCTTCAACAGCGGTCTTCCAACGGCCGATGCGTACCTTGTAGACATCTAAGGGGTTAAGATCAACAGCATCAAAGACGTCTGACGTCGGAGGGCTGCGCCTTTTCCATTTCTTCATTTCGGCAGGGCTGAGGTCATGGGGAGCATAGACATCACCAGCCTTCCATTCGCGCGTTTGATAATATTCAATGGCTCGGTTCTCGCTAGCCGTTCTCTGTTCTTCAATCAATTTCTGGCGGTTGCCATGGGGACGATGCGATTGCAGTCTTTTGGGTGCTGATTTTGAGTGAGTTAGAATTTGATCATGGCATTTGGGATAGATTTGCAAGGATGTGCCAGAGAATGATTTTGGGCGTACCAGGGCCCGGCTTAGCAGGACGTAGGATCTCCTCGAGGGAATCATTGGCAGACTTGGACATGTTCGAATTGGAACGATAAATTAATCGCACAGCCGGTGCAAATGCCCGTATGGGCACAGAGTGAAAGAGAGAAAACGACATGTTGTCTGCAAGCTGAGATGGCAGTGAGGTGGTTGAGATCGTGATGAATGGAGAAATGATCGGATATTCTCTTCTGCAGGTGGGCGCCAAGACCTCCCGCAGTTTCTGGAGCTCCGTCACGGCGTCACCTCCGTCGCTCTCAACTCCAATCGTCTTACGGTCATTGGAGCTAGAATTTTTGTTGTCGTCAGGTAGTGAGCATTCCCAGCACTGCCAGCAACGAGCACAGGCTCCTTCGAGGCTCCTCGCCCAGCATGCAATCCCAATTAACGCGGAGGGTCTTCCGAGCCATTCTCAACAACGAGCCGCTCTCGTTCTCTCAATGCCGCAACCTCCGACCATCTCGATCCCAGAGGGTGACATCTGGTCATTCTTACGTCCAGCGACGCGGCTTGTTTGCTTTCAATTTCAACACCCCTACTGCTCCGCCGTCGTCGACACTGCCGTCCGAGGTTGGATTGAAGCCAATGCGCGATTTGGGTGTTTCACTACGAAATAAAAGCAGACAACCAGACGCCGATACATTAGCGAAAGCCTTCCAGGACTTTTTCGAAGCACGCGCGGGGGAGCCAGGAGTTATCACTCAGTTCCAAGCGCAATTGGTCAGTACGACATGGAATCATCTGCGGTCTCTTGAGGGGTCCTTGGAACCAGAGGATTGGCAAAGGGTTTTCTCTGATGAGAACTTGGAAAACGTGTTGTATGTGTTATCCAAAGCAGAATGCCTATCGTGGGCTCGTGGGGAGGTACGGCTGCTTGCCCGCTCCGTATTTCACGCGCTTTGCGAGGACCCCGGCTCTAGACGAGACCGAGTCAGTCAGCTTGCAATTCTCTCCTACATTGATATACAAGCCCTCAATGGGGACCCGGCTGAGGCGCGACGCGTAGTCGAGGACTTTTGGAGTAGACTGAGCAGGCAAAGTCCTTCACCTTGGCTGGCAGTAATAAGAGGATTCGCGCTACTGGATGATGACAAACAGCAAATCAAGCGTATCATTCAGAAAATCGACGATTACGGTATTCATATTGATCCGGTCTCCCAGGAAGGTCTAATCCAGTTCCTGGTCGAACAAGATCTCCTGGATGCGGTGAAGGTGGTCTACGAATGCCCTTTGTCTGGATGTCAAGAGCCCAAGCTGTCGACAAAGAGAAACACTCTGAAGTATGCTATACTAAAAAATGATAGGGCTTGGGCGAAGCTAATTATCAAGTCCCTCCCATCATCCGGCCGTGCTCCAAAGACTATTGGGGTTCGACTACTTTGGGATGCCGCACAAGGGAGAACTGCGTCACAAATTGCGAAGACGGTCCAATCTCTCGTGACAGAGAGGCCAAACCTCTGGTCTTCTCTTTCGATCACATGGGTGAACGACTTGATGGAGTATGCGAACGCAGATAACAAGCCCGAATTGGCCATGGAATATATGGCATTGGCACCTGGATGGGGCCTTGTTCCCAATTCGCAAACCCATTTACTACATCTTGAGTCATGTATTCTAGCTCATGACTTGGATGGCTTGCTAAAATCTCTAAAGGGGTTGGAGACTCTGGATACTACCGGACCGGGAACTCTTCCTTTGATGAACAAACTTATCAAGATGCTTTGCTCGTCAGGACAAGATAACGCCGTCTTTGACCACATCTCGTCTCTTCTTGATCCACTTTTTGATAACAACGTGCGCTTTGAAGCCGACACACTCGCGGCTTTAACGCACATGCTTCTCTATCGCCACGATCTGCAAGCCGCCTCCGAGTTACTTCGCTCTCGCCTAGGATCCTACGATGCAGAGGAAAGACACACTATTCGTAGCGCATTGACAAACTTCATTCAAGATCCCAACCAGGAAAGTGAGCCCGCCTGGGAGGCATACATGCTACTGCAGCTCGCGTTTCCAGAAACAGGAGTAGGCGTGCGAAGCGAGCTCATGACCTCCTTTTTCCAACGCAACCGAAGTGACCTCGCCTTCCTCGTCTTCGGCCACATGCGCCAAGCCGAGGATTTGTCGCAGCGCCCCAAACCAGACACATATGCCCGCTGCTTCCGAGGCATCGCCCAAACACACGACACAAAACACCTCGAACTCGTCCACAACATGCTCAAGCTAGACACCAAAGTCGACCTAAACACGCGTCTCCTCAATACGCTCATGCTGGCATACGCGGAATGCGAAATGTCCGAAAAAAGCATGCAGATCTTCCGTGACATCCTTCAGTCCGAGGAAGGTCCATCACAGCAGACTCTTTCCTTATTCTTCAAGGCTTGCGAAAAACACCAGAACGGCACATATGAGGCCCTGAAGTTAACGGAGAAGATGAAGCGCCTTGGGATCGCTTTTGATCCCAAACTATATACAGCCTTTGTTAGGGCGCTGGCTGCGCAGTGCGAATTCGACCTCGCTACGGAGGCTCTGAATGCCATGAAAAGAGTGACGGGACATGCGCCTACCTATACATCGTAAGTCTGCCAGTCCATGTAGCTTCAGCTTCGTAGACACATTAGAGACCATACATGTACTAACCGAGCAATCCTTTCACAGGATTGGGCACCTATACAACTCCATTCCCTTCCAACACTGGAAAGACGAAGTCGAGGAATGGGCAAAGGCCCGGCATCCCGACCTCTGGGCGCAGTTAGAGAAAATTGATCGCGAGGAACATGAAGAGGGCCTGAAGTTCAACCTGCCCGGCAAGAGCGACTCGCAGAATCTGAACGGGGGCTTGCGGTAATCAATTAGCTCACCGGTTTATCGCGGATCATCCATGTCCATCGCTGAACTATTATATCTCTATACCTCAAATCAGGTGATATTCCGCGCGCCTAGGTATCCCAGCACAATGCTGGTATCACATATACATAATATATCACCCTCGTATAGTCTCTTTTTGGCCAAATACTTTTAACGAACATGGCTGGTTATACTGCCGAAACTGGGGACAGAGGTATGTAAACTTGTGTTGAGTGATTAAACTATACTGGGGCTTTTCTGAACTCTCACAGACAGGACAGAGGTAAGGTCTTCAAGTGATACTCGTAACGCTGCAAATGTACATTATTCTAGAACATGAGATGCTGATTACGGAACAGAGGTTCCTTGGTCTAAAATGATTTATGCTTTGGACTGTGCAAGTCTTTTGGTCATACTAGAGTTCATCTTGTTAGGATGTGATCATAACAAGCAAAGGTAGAGGAGAATCACTCACAAGTTGAAGAACGAGAATTGGCTTGGGCCGCTGCCGTATTGATACACGAAGCGACTTGCAAGGTGGCTCCCGAAGATAGCCCGCAGGTAGCTCTCAGGAACCTGTGATTGTGTTAGTCTGTTGATGGCTGGCAGGCAGTGATGCGAGCCACTTACTCGCTCGAGAATCGTGTCAAGTCCAATCTTGTCCAGGAGCAGTCTAGGTAGAGCATCATTGAGGACAGACCTGCGGAGCTCCACGTTATCCCACAGCTCTGTCTCTTGCAGCTCTTCATCAAGCTGTGTTATGGCTACGCTGAGCCGGTCACTCAGAACGCTGCGGGGAATGCCCGTCTGCTCATGCTCGCGCCAAATTGCCTCAAACTCGAAGGTAGCGTTTTCCTTGATGACCTCCTGAACCTGCTTGACATATTCGCTGTAGAATTCAGGAACGCTGCCATCTTCGCCAACACACATGTTCTCCACGAACCCTTGGTCATCGAAAGACAGAGAGGCCAATACCTCCAACGACGAAGACGTCACGCCACCCTTGTTGGCAGAGGCATCCTTGAAAAGAATACATCCAGCCTTTTCGAGTCGGAGCTTGCTGTCTTGGGTAATGAACAAATTGGCTCCCTCAACAATGTAGGGGATGGTGGATTTGCCATTCTCGATAAGCTTGCCGACGGTGGAAAGATCAATTGATTCCGGGCGTCCACCGCAAGGAACGAAAGTATCATACGTCAATTCCTTGCGTAGATGAAACAGGTTGCGGAAAACCATGCCATTATGGACTAGCTCTCCGTTCGGCAGATGAACATTGCTCTCGTCCACCAAGACACGGTAACCTTCCGACGAGAGCTTTGACACATCAAACTCAGAGATTGTCGCCCGCTTCTTTGCAAGTCGAACAAGTTCCTCGCGGTCGAGGCCTTGTGGATCCACGATCACGCCCGATCCATCGACGATTGCAGTGTACTTCTCGTTGGCAAGGAGGATTTCGTTCGAGCCGAGGTCGCCATCAGGGCCACCAGTCTGCAGTTTGCGAATTGTCGAGGGGTCGATCTTGAGTTTGCGGTAAATACCGAGAACATACTGGCGAACAGACAGCGTGGTCATTCCATATGTGTCGTGAGGAATTCCACCAAGATGAGGGCTCTTGCCGGTAAAGAAAGACTTCCACCAAGGGGCACCGCGGTTGCGAGCATGTTCTGTAGCCCAATCAACCAGCTCCGCCGTGTTCTCATCAGGACCCATGAAAAGAATCTCGTCTTTACCGTGTAAATCGACAATGGGGTCCTTGATGCCGGGGCTGACCGGCGGTAGCAGAAGATCCAAGATACTGTCGATGTATTTTTCAAAAGCAACACGCGCTTTGTCTTGATGATCAACGTCGAGTAGGATAACTCCCTTTGCCCCGCCTTCCGGTATATCCTTGTTCTTCCGCTGCTGCGTATTGGCGAGGTTGTAGTTTTCGTCAAACAGTGAGCGCGCATTGATGCTATACGCTTCTTTGTTTCGACTCTTCACAATACGGATGCCGCCTCGGGCGATGTCTCGGAAGCGAAGATGGAACCCTCGGAATTCGGAACTGATGACCAAGAACATCCCGTACAGCCGTTGAGGATACTCATGTTCTGGAAGGAAATGAGGATCGAGTCGGAAGCTCAGAGCCACCTTGGTAGGTGTGAAGAAGTTTGTTTTGAGGATGGACGCGTTGAACACACGGAAGGCACTCATGACCATCTCATCGTGTTCATTAGCAGCCGTACTCGAAACAAGCTGCTTCAATTGCCGACTATCCAGAACCTGGTCAACCTGAAGACGCAGGTAACTCAGCGTCGGGAGAAAATCATCCTCAGATGGGCCTCGGGTTTGCACATAATGAGTATTTGCAAAGTCAAGGTAGAGCTTATGGATAAGGTTGGGATACTTGTTGACAATCTCTGCTATGTAGTCAGAGGTGAATGTCTCCGTACGCAGCCTCTTCTTGATCTTCGCCAACAGCTCTGCGTGTGCGCTGTTGTTCGAGTCCAGTAGGTCGGTTAAGGAAGTGTATTCGGAGCCGAGGCGGTTCAGGAATTGTTGGACAAAAACCCACGCGCAATGGGCATAGATAGTCTCTTGCAAGCTGAGGCGTCCGCTAGCAAAGTGATGCTGGAACCTGTTTTGAGGAACGCAGTATAGTAACGAGATCTCCTTGATGATCTGGTGGACTGCAGCCTCAATGGGAGGGAACTTTGCAGCAATCTCTGGGTTCTTCAAGGGGCGCAGGTAGAGTGATATTACGGTTATCCCGTTGGAGAAGTTCTCCAAGTACTTCCGAGAGCTTGTCAGGCGGTAGTAATGATAGAGGTCAGAAAGTGCACTAAACAAGCCCATGGCGGAGCCCTGGCGATAGGCAATGACTAGACGCTTTTCGCGAGACTTTTCGATTTCAAACATCTCAATGACAGGGCCAGCCCGAGCAACGGCATTGCTAATAATCTCTTGATAAACGGCTTTGGTGTTGGGTGTCGCTTTTTGCAGGAATCTCTTTTCCCCAATAATGTCGATGTTCGTCTCTTGTGGTCCCGGGTTAGGGTTGGCGAACTGACACTTGTACACGAAGTAGCATCGGAGCTGCTGTCCGTCATCGCCGGGAACTGGAGTGGGAGAACGGAAGGTCTCAATGCGATAGCTGTGATCGTGAGTTGAGCCGTCGATGTATTTTTTGTCGATTCTCTGTTCGTAGCCTGGACCACCTACGCTTGAAAAGCCTGGCTTGCTCGTATCAATGTAGACTGCATGGTCTTCAGCCTCTTTATCTAGGCGAATCTCGAGCTTCTTATCATCACGGGCGTACGCAGCAACCTTAGCAGCATATAATGAGAGGATCTGCGTGACAATCGCGTCGACCGTTTCCGTCTGGAAGTAGGTATCATCGATTCCCAGCTGATTGTAGAACCACTCTGTTTCTCCCACGATGAACTCTGGAGGAATGAAGCCCTTCTTTTCTAGCTGATCCATGACTATAGTCGTAAGAAGCCATTAGCAATGATAATTCCAGGTCTGTTGTCGACTGAGAGGCCGCGGCTCACCTTCCTCCATCTGATGTTCTTTGCCCTCAAACTTGGCAGCTATATAGCCCGGATCTTCTTCAGAAAGGATTCGATGTGGGCTTCCCGGAATCGCCAGGTGCGTGGGTTGGGGTGAGGGAAGTCGAACGCTTGAACCAGCTACGCTGTCGAGAATCTTGTTGTGTGGTTGTCTTTGGAACCCAATTGGGGTTCCACTGCCTGACGAAGCGCCATCATTGCTACCGTAAAGCTTGGGGGCCGGTCTGATGGGTAGCTTATTGGTCTCGTTGCCGTTGACATGTACATCTGGTAGCGATTGAAGGGAGGACGCTGGAGACACCATGATGGAGAATGAGCGCAGTGACTCCCGTTAAAATGCTCACTTGCAGACGAAGAAGAGCAGTACTGCTAATACTAATGATGAGCTCACGTACGGGCAAACAGAAAGTGACGACCGTGAGAGAGGGAAGGAACGGCAGAGCAGCAGCACGAAGTATGGGCCGGAGATAAGAGGATTATTTTCGCAGAAGGCGCAAGGATCTGTACAGCAACGGAGATAACGAGCGGGAGAGAGACGGTGAGCAGTCAACAAGGGGTAGAAAGACTCACCTTGAGTGTTTTGGATGCGATTGAGCGGTGGGATAGATATTCAATGACGAAAGAGTGGATGGAGCTTATCAGACAGACGATTGAACAGATGAGAGCAATTGCTCGTCACAACACCCTCTTGAGTAATTGACAGATATAATAAAATCACAGAATGAAGCTGAGCAGCTGGGTGTTAATGCTTTATATAGTTTCTGGTCAAGATTCGAGTCATCCAGTGGTCCCAATAATATGCCACTCGATACGGTGTACGGAGTATTTCTCAGTGTATCAGCTTTACAGCGGATCCTTTCCGGTGCTATGCGCGATCAGCCTTCAGGTACAGTACAAAGCCGGCCCGGCGAAGCGGTCGAGCCTCGATCCCGTGATGGCAGACGCTGATGATGCCTCGATCTCCACGTTCTCTAGAGCCCCTTGATCGTGACAACGTTACTTGGTGCTCCAACTTGCGTGCCTTTCTTCATTACTCCTAATAATTCTGTCTACACCGTACATACCAAAATCCAAGCCCAAGGGCTCCCGTTTCCAAGGTATAGTGGATCCAGGCGAGTTCTCTGGAATCTGGATCCGGCTAGGGCGTCTGACCTCAGGCTTGGCGAAGAGAATTGAAAAATACGGAGTACGCCACATGGAGCGGCTGTGTCGTGCTAATTTTGGACAATTGCCTCAAACCCGCCTGAGTCACGAGGGTGTACGTTTCTCGAGGCATCAAAGAACATGGTCGACTAGCTCTGGTTCAGGCAAACAATCCTGTCTGGAAAGGGGCTGCGGTTAGCCATACAGTACGTTGATGATAATGCCCGACGGAGATTTGTGGCATGGGACGGACGCCAAAAGCGATCTAACGCTCTGCTAACATACAGCCACCGCTCCCTTGGGCTCGCAAGTAAAATGAGAGCAAGAATGATACCATAAGGCCCAAATCAGCTGACCATGGCCGTCGTGTGGTCTGGATCCCTCCACTTAGTGTTCTGAAGAGCTGGAAGAAGTTTCCAAAGCGGAATTTCGGTTTGTCATGATGCCACTTGCCTGCAAATCACTGCTGCTTGCTGCTTGGGTTTGGCGGCTGCATCCCTTGTTCGTTCCCTGTGTAATGGCGAAAGCATCAAAAATGCCTCATGTCTGAGCTGCTGACAATATCTCAGTAAGCAGACCACTGCATTTGACTGCAACTGAACTCCAGCTGCCATGGTCCAAGATGTGAGGGCAGACTGCGGGGACGGGCGATCCTATTCCTGACAGGTACCTGGATCCGACGCTGGCTACGGTATCCTCAATCTCTGCTAGTGTTTTGCGGGGGAGAGCTCCCCTCTCAGCCTGGCAGTCCACGTTTATGATTTACCACAATACCACTCTTCCACGTACAACTGTCAAATACTACTTGATACAACCCAATTTGCATCCTAAAATGCCTCACTTCCCCTGGAGTCAAATATTACCCCATAGAAACCTCTTCTGGCAGACACGTTCCCCAACATCCAGGAAACCGTCCGCCCCAGGTGGGGTTCCTGGGGCCTGATTCCTGCACCGGGACGCTCGGGCTCTGGAAGATGAGGTAATAGTTGCAAAACCACTAGGATCACGACTTTACATTCGTTCTCCCCAGCCCCATCTTGTCCACTTAGTCTGGCAGGTGATTCCGACCCCAGTCCGTCGATGCGTCTGGTTCCTCAACCATGACGTAGCCAAGCAAAGACGCGATCTCGAATAATCCACAAGGCTGTTCAAAACCTTGTGGCCGAAACATCTATCTTGATAGGGGCGTGCGATAAGAACATGCATACGACCTCGAGGTGATACCGGTGCGGTGAAGGATCCCAGCCGATCAGACTGAAACTACAGATTGTGGCACCAATCAGTTCTTGTAGTGCTTCACGCCGTGCGTTGATATCCTCGAAACGAAACCGATAGATCTCTCGTCCAATTTATAACTGCCCGGTTGCGGTCCGTGGCATCGGGCTGGACGGACCTTGACCTCTTGCATGCATTATCAGCTGGTCAGGCTGCATACTCGTACATACTCATAAATGGCATCGTCAGCGAATCAAGCAGGACGGTTATGACGAGATAAGGCACCGTACTCTCACAGCATGACAGGAGCTGATCTGCCGTTCTGTACAGTAACTATGGACGCATACTTGCAATTACAAAAACTCATCGATGCAGCCTAGCATTATATTTCCAGGCTGGCAGCTTTACACAGGCATGAACCCGAATACTTGCTACTGCTATGTATACTTTCACATGCAGCAACAATATTTCCTGTTCTTCCTTCATTTGCTTTGGACGCCCAAAGCAAAAGGCATCTGCAAGTTGCACAAGGAAGATCCTCAAGACAATACAAAGGGGCCCAGGATATATTCACCAGCCGCATAGTTGGCGTCATTGATGGGTGCTCATTATGGAAGAAAGACATTATTCATGCTTCGGCCTCGAGGATCTTTGGAGTCTGCAGTCCTGTCTACTCCAGACCTCAGAGCTGGCGTGATATTCTAAAGCTTATAGATGCCTTTGGCATCCATTTCCAACAATGTAAACTTGCTATTCGAAGATTGCCTGTGATCCAGTCGGAATGCTTTCTGGTATCTGAATCTTGGTTGGTCGCAGGTATAGATGCCGATGTGAAGTCGAGAAGTCGACCAACGAGCGATCCTCCAACTAGAATACAGTTCTGCCATGTGTCAGCCTTGCACTCGTCGAAATTTTTCTTTTGTACCTGCTTTAGTATCAAGTCATCTGGCCTCAGGTTATCCTACTACTTCGGTTGATTGATGTGCAAGTCCTCGCAGACTCAGTGTCTCAACTGAATGGACCATGTCCACCCAATTGAGGATCCTGTGTGTTGTGCTATGGTATGTGCTGTGACTTTCCAGGGTGATGTTTACTAATTAGCAACAGGGCTGCTATGGCAGGAACAGTGAAGGAAATGTGCGAGTGCAGGCTGTACTTTTTTATAACAGACAAATACTGCAAGTAATTGCTTTATGTAATTGCTTTATAAACCACCTGCTAATGGGGTGGTGGTTGGGGTGTTCTTTGGCAAAGATAACATGTGTTAATGGGTGAAGAGGACTGCTGCGTTATGCATCAAGGGAGATGGATATCAGCATTGTCCTGCATAACTCTCCCCAGATAAAGTGAGTCCAAACAAACAGTATATTTTTCTTGATTATTTTGGTGGGTGGTTAGGCCAATATCCCCATCTACGCCCATGTGTTATCTCTCGATTGCCAAACAACTTGTTAACTTCATCTAGTAAAAGATTTCATGCAGGTTCTGCATGGGAAATAGCTAGGTTAGGCGCTCAACAATGCAAACTCGTTTTTCCTTGGGCTCTATCAGTGTCAAGAACTGTACTGGCTGAACAGGAGATGGGATCTGAATACAGTACAGCGAGAACTGTAGATCTGCCGGTGGTTTAGGGCTTGGTCGCAATGGTCAGTCCTGCTCTTTGTACTCTAGGTATATTTGCATTTGCATATTTATTCCAAGGTTCTCTGAATATCCCGAGGTCACAGGGAAGTACTTCCTTGGTAGGTAGTCTAGCACAGTACCCTCATGCACCCCGGCCAAGTGAACCGCGAGCAAGGCATGCATGTCGGTCCCAATCAATCCCAGGCATACTTGGGAACTCCGAGTTTAGATGCCGGAAAGTGAGGATAGTCCTTCGATCTAGTCCGCAACAAATCTATGCTAAACCTAGCAATGCGGGGTCAGACAAGCAGAAGACCAAATCCCGCTACACTGCCTTAGGTTCTCTAGTTCCTGCAACTACGGAGTTTTTTCCATGTGAAGCTAGGAAATTGTGTACCAGACAGGGGGTAGTGAGCACTAGGATATTGAGGATAGTAGGCTGTTGGGGACACTGGATAATGATCCTTCTTGGCATGGCCCAGAGTAGGACAGGGCCTGGAGTTCCGGTGAGATGGTAGTCTACTCGGTCCGCAGAGTCGGATGACACATATACACACAACTCATCTAACCTCCAAGAAGATCACCGTTCTGATTAATCTCTTCGACCATGGATCCCTATGTCGCGCCCTTCGCAGGCGCCGTCACCGGAGTCTGTACACATCTACTCTTCTACAGGCATGGTGAATGGGACCTCAAAGCACCTTGCATACTCTTCATCTACATAATTCTAGGCATCATAGCACTCGTGCTCGACTCGATCCTGTTAACCCCTCACAAATGGGCACTGAATCTCATCATCTGGCACATAGCAGCTGTCTACATTAGCATGATCCTTTATCGTGCCTTGTTCCATCGCCTGCGCACGTTTCCAGGACCGTTCCTCGCCCGCTTATCAAACTTCTATGCCACATACCTCAATTTCAGGAAGCTTCATATGTATGAGGAGGTGGAGAAACTCCACGCGCAGTATGGAGATTACGTGCGGCTAGGTATTTGCATATTGTCCATTCTGACCATGAAACATATTGATTGAGCCTTGGCCAGGACCTACCGAGTTGTCAATCACCGACCCTGAGGCTGTCGTCGCCTTATATGGTCCCCAAGCCCAGCTCAGCAAAGGACCGTGGTATCATGTTCTGCACCCGCGGGTATCCCTGCAGACGGAGCGAGACAAGAAAGTGCACGCGCGCCGCCGTAAGGTCTGGGACATGGGGTTCAGCAGCAAAGGTAGGCCTCACTATTACTTTTTTGCTACTAGCTATGAGTATACTAAATTGGGGCATCTAGCCTTGCGCAATTATGAAGATCGCGTGTCTAAATACACAGCCCAACTCATTGACACGGTCGAACGCGCCGCTAGCACCAAGATGGAGTTAGATATGTCGAAGTGGTTCAACTACTATAGCTTCGATGTCATGGGGGACATGGCCTTCGGGAAGTCGTTTGATATGCTGGTGAACGGAGAGGATACATACTTCCTAACGGCACTGCACGGTGACATGACGAGTGTCGGGCTGTTTGGGCGCATGCAGTGGTTGTTTCCGTTCTTCAAATCTATTCCGGGACTCAATTCACAGTATTTGAAGTTCTGGGAGTTCTTGCATGCCCAGGTTGGGAATAGGATGCAGGTACTTTATTTCTCTCTACCTTGTGAGACACAGCGTACATTCACTGATGTTTGTAGAGCGAGCCGGCTGTCCCAGACGTATTCTCCTGGATACTGCGTGATTACCGCGAGGGCCCGAGGACAGCGCAGGATACCCTGAATCTCCAGGGGGATTCATATCTTATTGTAGTTGCAGGAAGGTACTTATTCCAGTTCCAGGCCCTTGTAGAACAATTGGTCTGACCTGCTCAGTGATACGACAGCTGCGGCATTAGCAATCATCTTCTTCTACCTAGCAACCACCCCCAAGATAGCCAAGCAGCTCCAATATGAGCTTGACAGGCAGGACGACCTGTCGCACAGGTCCCTTGGGGAGATTGATTTTCTGGAAGGGATAATCAACGAAGCACTGAGACTGCATCCAGCGGTGCCGTCCGGTACTCAACGGGTTACTCCTCCAGACGGCATGAAAATTGGCGACGTCTACTTACCAGGGGACGTACTCGTACAGAGCCCTCTATACACCATTTTCCGAGGTACCTGAGTTGCCAGCTTGACCATGCTCAAGGTAATTGACATACAATAGATCCCCGAAACTTCGAAAGTCCGCTTGAATTCCTTCCCACCCGCTGGACGACTGAGCCCTATCTAGTCAAGAACAAAGCAGTTTATATACCATTTAACGCAGGTACGACTTCAGCTATACGAGCATTATAAGTTGTTTCACCCCAATGCTAAACATAGGAGTCAAGGGCCGTACTCGTGTGCCGGGAAGCAGCTAGCCCTAATGGAACTGCGCTCCGTAACCGCAGCTCTCCTCAAGCGATACGACATCACTCTCGCCCCAGGTCAGAGTAACGAAGCCTTTTTGGAGGGTCTCCGGGATACCTTCACCCTTGTGTCACCGCCATTGCCGTTGATCTTTAGTCGGAGAGTTAGGGTTGAGTAGTGCGTTGTAGATATTTTCGGCATTTACTTATTCCACCTTGGTCTTCCTGAAGATACTTCCTAGGTTACATGTATTCAGTCAGAGATATGCGTAATATTAGATCCATAGTGGTTCTAATCTGAGAATGTGAATGTAATTGCATGGATTGAGGCTCCACATCTGTCATGGTAACCATGCTGTATAGTCACAGCCAGTAGCGTGATTACCCAGACAGGTAGAGCTCGATCCGATACAGGCCAGAGGACGTACGTATGTAATTTCTGGGCTCTCGACAGCCACTATCCAGTTGGCTATTGACGACAGGCTATTCAAACAGCCGAATAGATCTGTTTTTCTGACATCTAGACCCAAACAGGGCGAATGCTCAAGGCGTGCCGAGCACCTCCGCAAGCAATAATCGAGGCATCAGATCCAGACGCGATAGCCTACCGTGGCAACAGAGACTCCATGAAGATCCAAAGCCAACTTATCGGAGACAGATCCAGCCCTTACCTCACCCTCGACTCATCCAGTGTACACCGCTTCTCGGCCTAAATCATGATCTCCGTCCAGTGTCAGTCGAAGCGGTGTGTCTGGAGCCACTCCGACAGGGCCTGGGTTGTTTGTACTCTGCTTGTACGCCGTCCAGCCGCGTGGCGCCAGATCACCGTTGGTTCTTTGGGTACCGCAACCGGGTCCGCGGGAGTTCGGGGCCCGGAAGAGCTGGAAGCGAGGAGGGAGGAGATCGTTCTGGGCGCGCGATAGCTACGCTGCTACACCATATCCCGTACATAAATATGTCCGATCCTTTATTGAAACCGGTCTGGGATCAGACGATCATTGCGACTCCATGTGCACGGGTGCTGCAAACAGAGAACTGCCCCAGAGTTTGAACCATGTCCTAGTTCCATATCGAATCGAATACGAAGTTGGCCTCGCTGGTTCGTGTAAGTGTTGGGCTCCGTGAACCCAGATCCCAGACTCAAACCCCAGGTCAGGCTGCTGAAACAGTCCGGGCAGGGTAATTGATGAAGAGGAATGAATTGGTGGAGAGCAAGGCGGGTGGATGCAGCCAACGATCGGCGCTCGCCATCCCTGCCGAATTCTCCGCGGTAGCACAAACGAGTCAACATTAACAACTGTACTCCGTACTTTTGTTGAGAATATCATCTCTTTCGTCCACGGCCCGGCTCTCATATCGAAGCAATCAAAGCGATTGAGCCGTTGACCCCGACTCGGGGCAATCACGATGCTATCCGTCACAAAGAATGTTCTCTTCTAATATTCGTGGACATTCTAGCCCTGAGCAAGAATAGCAACTTCCCCACACATTCCCAAGTGGTGAGGTCAATCCATTTTCATTTCCCCATACTCCGTTAGTCTGACTGTGACTCCGTCCGGGGCACGCATCCGCCTTCCGCAGCCTGTCCCGGCCAGTTGGTTTGGTTATCACGCAAGGTGAGGCTGGCAGAGTGGACTGACTCCTGAGTCCAAGTTCAGTCCAAGTTGGGCAGATCGGACAAACATCCCGCTGGCTCCATACAACCCTTCCCTGGTTAAACCAAATCTTATTGCCTTGCATGTTGCTGGCTGGGCCCGTCCACTCTCGTTGAATTCGCTGTCGACGAACTCTGTTGGAGCTTTGTTTGTCCAGACTCTTTTGACTCAACGGAGCTCAAGCCATAAAAACTCGCTCTGCCTACGCTCATTTAATCTCATCATAGACTCTCTCTGCCATCTTGTCAACTGTTGTCTATATCCTAGTGCAATCAAAAACAGGTATGCCACAAACCCCAGACCCCATACTTGATCTTCGCCCCCCCATCCCTTCGTCCTCCCCAAAGTATATATTCCGCGGAGGAGCATTATTTCATCAATCATCATAACATGCCAATCAGACTCCCGTATACTCAGCGATCCTCGGCGCCTGTCTGTCTCCTTCTCTACTTATAACTCGCATCCACATCAAAAAATACTTCCAGCACTAGTACATCAACCAGCTAACGAAGCTAACGACCACAACAACAGAACCACTGCACCTGCACCACCTCCCACAAGCGTCCTCCATAAGCCCATCCACCTACTCCGCTATCTACTCATCATACAATATCGCACACAAACCCAGCACAATGACCACACCCGCCGTGACATCAGCACCCGGGACCTCGTCCGTGATCTCACCCACCTTCAGCCAAAAAGACATCTACATGGCCCTGATGGCCAAGTCCCTGGAACCAGATACGACTGCAACAGCCATGCCCTCCGCATCAGGGAGCAAAGCACAGTCAACGTCGGCCTTCGAATACCCACCACCGCCGCCCCCGTCTCCTGTGGAGTCTCGAAGCCCTCATTCTTTCTAAACGGAGGATTTCATTCCTCTCGACGACTTAATGCCCGATTTCTTGATTTCGCTTATTTGACGGAAGGAACAGGAGCGATGGGCTGGATTGGATAGGTGGTTCTAGGGAGTACATGGTATAATGGGTGGTTTTTTTTGCTTGGATATAGTTTGTTACCGGAGTCAAGGCTTGTATTTCTGAGTTTGGGATCATTTTAGTTGGGATTTGAGGTAGGATGGATACAATCCTTAGCTATTTTTGGAGCAATCTACTGGATTAGTTTGGAAGACGAGAAAGTGCGGATTCCATGCCGGTGCTTGTAGAGTCTTCCGGCTGATAAGCTCCGACTGTTGAATCATCCATTCATCATCCCGATCGTCATATTGTATCACGGCTACGAAGTCAGTGTACACCGTGTAGCTGCACATGGAGATAACACTGCGAAGAGCTGTCGATCACATGAACCATCCGTTCCTGCAGTGCGATGACGCGAACTTGCCAAAACAAAACCGGTTCAGTTCGTGATGGAAGTGGGTCTGCACCTCCCCAGACTCCCGGGAGAGCCCGTCCACCGCTCATCTAGAATGCCAAGATAGCTCATTTGGTGTTCTGGTCCACTGGAGTCCGTCGCGTTCGCCATCTCGGGCTATCACGGCTTCTGAATGGCCTCGGTTCGGCTTCGACACCCACGTGATATACACCATATAGAACATCATGTGTCCGTTCCGATCATAGCCGGCTTGGGAGCGGTTCTTCATGAGTGTGAGGAGTTTCGGAAGTTCTGGGTAATCCACCCCGAATGTGACGAACCTTCGGACTGACCAGCATTCTGGCTGCCGAGCTGGGAGTAAATATTTTCTAGCTCAACCACGGCGTTATAATCGCCCTGAACAGCCCGATCATTGAGTTGCTGAATTGCATTCAGCTGTTCCTCCGTCTGGACCCATCCACGTAGTCGATCCTCCAAATTCGGTCCTCGTCTACTGGTACTAAATACTGTGCGTACCGTATCCGTCTCGCCCTTGCTTCTTTTGGCATCTTTCAGACGCTCCAGAAACCGTGCTTGGTTTGACTGATGTGCTGGCTTGTATACCAGTCCTGAAGTCTCGAGTGTAGGAGCTTCTCGCTCAGCAGCCGGGGCCGAGTTTGAGATAAGATGGGCCTTTCGACCGAGGATTTTGACACTGTTGGCAGAAATGAGGTCAAAGTCCTCAGTGCGCTTCAACGGGGCGATCTGAGCAGGAGGATTGTTACTAGGTTCGTCTAATTCAGTACTGGTCGTTTCGGGCCGCGCGAAGAACAACTCCGTACCCAGCTGGTCCGCCCAAGTTCCGCTGAAGATCTGATTCTGATAGGAAATGATCGGGTTGCGAGTGTGAAGCCCGAGAATCTGGACACGCTCTGCGGGCGCGTTGTCCGTGTCCGAGTTGATCACCGTGGAATCCTGATCATCGGGATGTGAGGGAGTCGGCGTGGGATCGGTGGTAGTCGCGGCGCTGGCTGGTGCTGGAGCGGAGGGGTCGTTACGACGGCGAGGGGGCCGAATAAGTCCGTGCTGGGTTGTCAGGTCGAGGTTGAGAAAGAAAGTCTGGAGAACTTGATTAGCACCCGGAAAGTAGAAGTGATGGGCTAGGACCTACCTCTGTTTCGGTGTCGTGATATTCGTATTCCCATTCGGACTCCTCATCACCGGGGACAGTATCAAGCAGCGCAGGATCGACCACCGACATTGCGTGAATCTTAAGGAGCAAGCTCTTGTGCCCACCTGCAGGCCTTCAGTGCTGTGGATTCGATTCGGACTCTCGGCCTTCGCGCAGATCAACAGCGGAATCTCCTGTAACAAGCCTATAGTGTACGGTAAGTAAAATAGGTGTAATTCTTGGGATTCTGGTGGGTAAACTATGTCACGGCTGTTACACATCACGGGTTCGACGGTTCGACCCCGACTCGGAGCCCCGGGCATTCCATCTCCATCTTCAGCCCTGCAACCAGCGAGACTAGGCATGCCGCATGCCAGCTCCTCTGCATTCATGGTCACTATTCCCAGGCTCCAGCTTTTCTATGCTGATCAATCAAGCTGTTGACTCATGGAAGCATAATCACAGACAATACCGAGTACTCCAAGCAGTCTGCCGACTCTCTATCAATGATCTCATAAGCATCTCATCCTCGCCCGACTATCAGGAACCCCTCAGTTCCACACTAGCTCAGCCCTGTGCTCAGTTTCCAGAACAAGCATAAAGAAAACACCCACCAGTAAGTCCTGGCGCTCTTTGCTCTGTTAGACGCGCCAATCATGGCCGTCATTCCTCCAAGCTCCGGCTTTGCGCGGAAGCAAGGGGAGTCACCAGCGCAGTAATGCATCCGTCATCTCCCAGGCCAGTAGTCAGTCAGTTCCAACTTCCCCTCAGGCTCCTCAGCCCTGCCCAACGTCCATTATCTAAGCCCATTCCGTCGTTCCCGGGCTTTCCATTAGCTTGGGCCAATGGCCGTTCCCTGATGTTGGACTCTGCTGCTGGTCCCGGCGCTCGATTTGCTGTCGCCGTCATCGCTCTCTGTGGATGTTCTCGACCACCCGCTGACCGGACAATGTTTTCGTTTCCTTCTTATAGTGCCTCCTCTTCCTGTTCCTGTACTCTCGGGCCCGGATGCTCGCCTTCGTTCCTTCTTCCTCCTTGTGCTCTTCACTGCTCTGGTAGTAGCTGCTGCCAATCCCGCCGACGACCCTTCGTTGACCGCTATCTTATCGCCTGGTGGTGCTATCCCGATTGGGAAATCATACATCAGCAGTGCCCCCACCACTCTCACCACCACCGCTCCGCCCTCTACCACTCAAAGTGCTGCCGGGGATAACGAGGTCGGAGTCGCCCCTAAGTGCCTGCCCCCTTCCGGCTCCTCCGACGTTGCAGCACTCCCTAGTACCTATGAGCAGATGGTCCAGAAGACTACCGCGGCAATTGTCACCCTCTCATCACTCATCGCCTATGTGACGCTCAACAGTATCGTCCGTGCGGTTAAACCGTCGGCCTTCATCTGGTTTGAAGAAGATCATGACGAGAAGAGCTGGATTGCTTCTTCGCACCATTGGGTCGACAGGAAGGCCTGCCGCTGGTTCGGCATCTGCGGTGTCGCCCACTTCCACCCTATTCACTCACGCTTCGGCCACCATAAGGCCGAATCAATGTTGCAGCTTCCTGGGGAAGACAATCCATCACCCTGGCGGGAGCACTGGGCCAACGAAACCGCTCATTCCGAGGACTCATGGGATGCAGTAGAACGGTCCCGTCGTCAGATTCCAGACTATGTTCTGGAGTATGCTCCGCTCGTGCATCTCTTCTCCCGCGAGCAGTACTGGCCCTGCGATATCGCGGAGCATCTCTATCATACCACTCCCATGCTGAATTACACTCCAATCCAATCGCAGTCGGATCATCCGACGCTACGAAACCTCGATCAACTCAATCAGTGGGAGGCTGGACGCAATGTCTTCCTTACCAGCAATGATGATGTAGAAGCGCGGCCTCCGTGGATGGAAGGAGAGAAAAACGTCCCAAGCCCTCCGGATAATGATCTCGAGCCGGCCTGGGCTGATTGGGATGGTCGGATAGACGGTGCCTTTCCCGATGATACGCCTGAGAATCGAGCCAAATGGTACGATACGCAGCTTCATCTGCAGGATAGAGAAACAGAAGACATTCCGCTCGATAAGCTTGGCTATCTCATGTCGGATACAGAGCATATACGCGATGAGCTGCGCAAGCGGTACGGCGCCGAACCTATATCTGCCAAGGAGGTAGGCGGGCGGAGCGAAGCGCCAGCAATTCTACTGGTCATTGACAAAGGTAACGGCATTGTAGATGCTTTCTGGTTCTATTTCTATAGCTTCAATCTGGGAAATGTGGTGTTCAATGTGCGGTTTGGAAACCACATTGGAGACTGGGAACACTGCCTTGTGCGTTTCCACCACGGAAAGCCGAAAGCCCTCTTCTTCAGCGCCCATTCTGGGGGTGAAGCATACAGCTACGAAGCAGTGGAGAAGATTGGCCGACGTGTAAGTACAACTGCACGTGGTTTCAGGGATGTATTGGCGCTAATTCTTGGTCCAATCCAACAGCCAGTCATATACTCGGCAACCGGCACGCACGCCATGTATGCCACGCCGGGCGTACATTCATATATCCTTCCTTGGGGCCTTTTGCATGATGAAACAGACCGAGGCCCTCTCTGGGACCCGCGCCTCAACTCCCACATGTACACGTACGACCACGTAAATGACACTCTTCGCGCCTCTACCCTCAATCCAACCGCGCCTACCGAATGGTTCTACTTCAACGGTCATTGGGGCGACAAGTTTTATCCACTGGGAGACCATCGGCAGTATCGTTTTGCAGGTCAATATCACTTTGTCAACGGTCCCCTCGGCCCGCGCTTCAAGCATCTCAATCGCCGCAAAGTTTGCCAGACGCCCGATGACGAGCCGTGTATCATCAAAGACTTCATCGGAGAGAAAAAGCGGGCTAAGCGATGGTCTACCTCTGGACCTCAAAACCCTTATGATCATGTCAATTGACGCAGCGACAGCGGCATGACTATTGAAACACCATGTGGTCTGTTATGCTACGATGACATTGACGACGGTGGTCCTTCTCCATCTGCTCTCTCCCTTTTCCCCTCTCTCTCCCTCTCTCTTATCTTTACGCCTCGTTTTTAGTACCCAGTATCTCTTACAGTTGGCATCTTTACTCGTATATGGTATACCCCGAACGTTATTTTTACCTGTTTTAGATTGAAATACCCCTCTGGATGCTAGAGAGCATGTGGACCCAAAGCGCTACAAAGACATACATCATCATCGTTACGATTTCGCAGCATTTTTGAGGAGCTTCGGTTGGTGGAGTTCAAGGCCTGTATTTTCTCGAGAGAGTCCGCCTACCAGGTAGATAAATAGCAGAAAGAATAATAGATTGTTGGATTATTCACTCGATATGAAAACAATACTGGAATAGCTGTAACTGAACAGACTCCAAACCAAACCAAGGAGGAGTAAAGACCCATGTGTCACAATGGAATAAGCAGAATATGATGAGCTGAACTGTCATAGTCGAGACTCGCGAAGACCAAGGTTACCTGATTATCCATGATATCGAGAGCAACATGAATATCAAAATCAATCTGACCTGTCTTAATGGAAACCGGAAAAAAATAAAAAAGACGACAAGGAGACAAAATCATCCTCAGATTCAAGAATGGCCCAGTTTGTACAAACACACTTGAGACGCCCCGTGGATAAAAAACAAATGGCTCGAGTTACTCAACTCGCAGGCATGTAGAAGAGATATCATGCTCGGAAAGAAAAAGCAAGTGGGAGATATGGAATAACATGATCGACACAACGCAGACGACAAAGAAAACCCCCAATAGAGCAGGTAGTAGAAGCTCCAGCCCGTAACGCCGGATAAAGCAGTAAGTAATCAATAGGAGACGTGAAAAGAGACCGACACGAAGGAAGGTATATTGGTGGAAAAGAAAGAAAGAGAGGACAAGGCATGAAACAATCCAATCCCGTATCCATTATACTCCATCTCATATTAACTCCGTGGTCCCAGATGTTCCCAGCAACAAAAAACCAAAGTGCCTCGACCTCGCCTGTCCCGGTCTAGCATGTCTAAAGAGAAAGTAAAGTAGGCTGTATTTCCGCACGAAGACACGATTGCGAAGGTAGAAGATTAAGCTCGGCCAGCTCGCCGCCGTAACCCGAACTCCTGTTCTTGCAATTCGCGTATTAGACGCAAGCTTTCAGCATCAGGGTCGTCGTCGAGTATTGCATGATCTGACCTGGGGTCTTTGCCGTGCTGGACAAAAGATGAGGGAGGAAAGGCATGACGTTCGGATCTCTTCTCCACTGAAGGGGAAAGACTCTTTTTGCCATGAGACGAGGATGGACGGGATGCAGATTTCTTTGGGCCGGACGACAACCCTGGCGTTGTTTTTCGCACGGTAGAACCAAAAGATGAGCGACGCGCAGGTTGAGGAATAGTGCTTGCAGACTTTGTCGTCTTGGCAAAGTGCACCTCTGGCATGTATCTCTCAATCTGCCGGGGTTGGCGCGAAGAGTGGCGGGAGCCTGATGAAGGGGTATACATGGCAGATGCATGTTCCCCCTCGCCATCGACTTGTTCTTGTATATCCATTTCATCCGCCAGCGAGGTTGGTGGTGACACCAACGCGCCAGCTGGCTTTGACACGGCTGCGGTCAACTCCTTGGTAGCAACTGTGTCCGGTTGAAACGCTGGCGGCGATGCATATGACCTTTGATCAGCCAGCAAGTCTTTTTCTGCGCGCTGAGCGCTGCTTTCGCGGGGAGGATGCTCTAGCGTGCCGTTCTCAGCAACCTCCTGGGCACGAGTTGCATTTTCCGCACCGCAATGGTTCATATGGGCTTGCCTCGCCACCGGCGATATACTCTCCTGCTTCAAGCGTTTACTTGCACTGGATGTGGCCCCTTCCTCGTTAACCCGTGGCCTTTTCGCCAGACTTGTCGCTCGTGGCTTCGATCGCTCCTGAGCCTTTATAGGATCAATCCTGCCATACTCATCATGAATGCAACGACGCTGTTAACGTTAGCATTGTAAAAAGTAAGACAACCACATAAATAGAGACATGAACGAACCTTGCTCTTACGGCAGTCATCACAAGCTTTGCTGCGACCTTTCTTGGCTGAATTCGGACCATCCGGACTGGCATCACCCACTTTTACGGCGCCTCCCTGTGGCGTGGCCGTGATGCCAGTTGTGTAACTAGTTGAACCTTCCACTCGATCAAAGCCTTTCATGGTATGAAGGCCATTTGGAAAACCAGCACCGGATGCAATCGCGGCGAGTGAATTCAGGGCTGATGCCGCATCTTGCGCAGTTGGTGTGTGATGCCCTAGGCTAGAAGAGCCAATCGCCATTTGCGAACCTGACACTGCATTGTTCTCTTCTTTGTGATGACACCGTATTCTACGCTTGCGGCATGCGTCACAGGCGACCCGTTTTGGACCGAGGCCAGAGCCACGTGGAGCGGCTTTGTGCTTCGGGGTTGTGTCTTCGTTAACAACCGGCACAAGGATGGGAGCAGTGTGCATTGGAGGGGTATTATTTGGCAAGGACGCAGCGCTTTCATCGTCAGCGACAGGCTCCTTTTGAGAGTCATCGGCCGGACGCTCCGACAAACGCTGCACTGCCTGTCTCTCTGCGTATGTTCGTTGATTCTCGGCGTTACGCTCTGAGCGGCGACTAGGTCTACCAGCGGGTTTCTTTTCCACAAGGCTGAGTTTAGCATTGCTTTCCACAACACCGGGACGGGTCCAATGTGCAGCTTTCTCGTTGCCTCGCTTCCATGCAATCCATATACCGAACGTCCGAATCACGTCAATAGGATCTCCAGACATCGTAGGTATCGATCTCTTGACGGCATTTCTGGTATCAGCAGTAACGCCTTCCACAAGGTAAGAGCCTGCAATCAAAGCAGTCCTGAGGAGATATTTGGCGAGGTCCGGGAGACCCTCAAGTTCAGCTTGAGAGTAAAACCGCGAGTTGTGGTACGATGATCCCCTCGGCTCAGTATTTGCTCGCTCTCCGAACTCATAGTATATAGGATATTCTCGATGGAAACGATGGTGCTCGTCCTGCGAAAAAGCGTCCAACACGCTTTGAGGTACCGGATCCTCTTCGAGATATTTCAGGACAGTGTACCATTGAATCTTCTGGAAGAAGGGATACCGAAATTTCATCGGAACTTTGGTTTCCTTTTCAATCTTTGCAATCTTGATCTGCATTCCGTAATTGAGTCTGGTAAGAAAGTTACCACCGATCACAAGACTGTTTTCAGGCGTCCAGACGGCATGAATCCAGCCAGACGGGATAAGCATGGTATCGCCTTCGGAAAGGTCGACGCGGTAGCACTCTTTGGTCTGGTCTCCCAGAAAGGTGTAGTCTTGAGCAGGCGAGTTGCACCACTCCTCGTACTTCTTCAAATGTTTATCTTTGGGAGGTATGAAGAAGAAAGTCTTCTTGCCTTTGAGAATGTGGTAGTAGACAGAGGAACCTCCGAAATCAATGTGGAAGTCGGTGTAGCAGTCCGCTACTGACATCAAGCAGTAGAATTGCACTTTCGGAAAATTTCCAACGGCTTTCAACTCCTCAGGCCAAACAGCATCCTGAAGGTCAAGATCGCGTACGATCTTTGGCCGGCGAATCAGCCGACCTAATTTACTCTGCGAAACTTCAAGGCTGATAACATTGCGGACCACTTTAGCGCCGGAACTCTCGTAGTAGTCTGCCCACTTCTGCATGGTCCAACGTTTATCTTCACCATGCTGGGACTTGACATCAATGACCTCCACCCTTTCTTCCGGCCCGTAGAGCTCAGAGACTGTCCTAACTGTCAGTCCTTGCGGGATCACCATATCCAACTGATCTTGGCCGCAGTCAATAACAGTCTCATAATCCTCATTTGGTTGATGGTCCAAGAGCTCGTCAAACATTTCTTGTGTGGACGCATCCTGAACAAGGGCTTCAAACTCGTGGCCAATGGATGAAATGGCTGCATGTGTGTTGAATTCGGCGGGTATGACGATTGGTTCTGTCATGCCGTTTCCTCGCTCGAAGTATTCAGCGGTGACAAGTTCTGGGCGCATGCGTGGGAAGTTCTCAGGTAAAAATTGGATCTTGTTTTGCTTTAAAGGCTCAATATAATGGTGCTCTAATGAGTCTGTTGCGGATTTTACCAAGCCTTGATTGAGACCGGCATAGTCGATCGAGGTGCGGGCGCGAGATGACTTCCGGACAAAGGTAGTCTGGCCGTGTATAGGCCGGCAGGTCTTGCAAATGAATTTATCGACAGTCCTGATCTCGCGATCATTCTTGAACCCAGCGCATACAATATGAAACCAGCGCTTGCAGCCGTCACAGCTAATCCATGTAACATCTTGGTCGTCGCTATCGATTGGTATACGAACGAGGTTGCACGTAGCGCAGCTTGCCTGACTAGATCCACTGGGTTCAGTGTCATGCTCCTTCTTCAGCGGTTGGCTCTGGGAAAAGTTGTTCGGCACCGTTTCGTTCGGTTTGTGGAAGTCAAGCTGCGGTCCCTCAAAAACTGGCTTAGGTTCAGAATTCCAGTGTCTGTCTCCGCCATCCGCATCTTCTTGCCAAGCAATCGGTGGTAGTGTCGAAGAGCTTGTGTTCGGCCTGAGCCCTTCTATCACTGGACGGGATATAGCAGCCGAGCCATCCGATTGAGATCTCATCCGTGATGGTGGAAAACTGTATATGGCAGAATGGTTGAAGACCACGCTCTCGTGGTTCATTCCCCAGTATGTGCTAACATTGTTCTCTTTGACTTGGCCTTGCGAATGAAAGACATGGTTATGATAGGAGTCATCCGCACTGACTCGCTTCGATGACGGTGTCGGTGGGTACAAATTCGTCGGCCGCGCAAAATTCAGCAACAGTTCTGCGTCAGTTTTCATACTATCAGAGATCGGTGGAGGATTCGAAATCGGGACAATGTTTGATCGCTGTTGTGCGTATGAGGATTCGTCTTTCTCTGATCGTGGTCGCTTTGCTGGGCGTTCGTTCGGTTCTGTAGGTTCGGGAGGGAACATCGCAGTGGCGGTTTCAGGATTTTCTGAGGGATGACGGTACGTGAGAGGTGTAAAGGTAGGGCTTGTAGCGAGCGCAATCGTCGCGAGGGTGTCAATAGTTGAGCTGGACCGACCATGACCCGACCGATGCGATGTCGGGACATCGACCGGGGAGAGCCTAGTATCACTTGGTGTGAAACGGACATGATCCGAGGTAGCAGATGCTGAGGCTTCGCGATCAACCCGGGAGGTGCGGTAGTCAATAGTCGAGCACGGCGAGATAGGTTCTACGGCGCGTCGCGGAGGGGAAGGGGTTCGATACCGCGGCGGTCGGCTGCCGATGGGGTTCACGAAAGAGGTAGCACTGATCATTTTGGAGGCGTAAACCGAAACACAAAAGAGCGAAAAGAAGGGCGGGAGGATGGAGGGGAAAATGGCCGCGGAGGTGACAAGACTTGCTTGCGGAAAGCAAATGCAAAGCGGAGGGGTAGTCCACCACACTTGGGCTAAGAGAGGGCCACCGCAGGTGGAAGGAAAGTCATTCCTGAGGGGATGACGGGCGCACGGTAAGCAATGAGATGAAAGTCGATTCGTGAGCGAGGAAAAGGCGCGAGAAAGGGGTTCGGAGAGGTTGACGGAGGAGAGTCGCACGGCGGAGCGCTGAACTTGAGGGGGCAAGAAGTTCAGTCTCTCCCTCTGCCGGATTGACGCAGCACCGAGGACGCCGCGACGGATGCAGACAAGAGGGAGAAAGGGCAAGAGTACCGGGCCTCGAGGACTCGACAAATCTCACGATGACAAAGCCACCGAGTGCACGCGAAAAGGGAGAGATCGAGCGCAGATGATGGGAAATAGAGAGGGGACAGCAGAAGGAGCAACGAAGAGAAGAGAGGTCGCGTTGGTGCCTGAGGCATAAAGTAGTTTGGGGCCGACGAGTCCTACAGGATACCGATCGTCACAGAGATCACAAGTGAAGGGATCTAGATCAATTGAGAATCTTCAGCTACATCCATCTTCCCTCTGAGCACCTTAGTGCACTCATCCAGCGCCGTTGTCGAGCTTGGGAAGCCTGCCTGTGTTTGAGGCTCCGATGCCTTCATGGAACTAATCCTAAAGAGGAAACGAAGGCTCTCCTCCGAATCTCGCGACCATCTCGACTCGACTCTTTCATTGTTCTCCTCTCTCTTGCTCTCTCCTTCTTCCTCTCTCCTTTTGCATCTGAACAATCTCAAACCCCGTCTGGGTTTCGGATTTATCTTTTTAAACTCACCAAATCATTCTTTCTGATACCTTTTCGTCTGAGGATGAGCCGGAAGCTCGCCCCCGAAGCCAATCGGTAAGCCTCAAGCATACCCCTCCCAGTTGACCACTGTACGATAAGGTGGCCGATCCTGGCCCAGCGTGATCAACTACTCATATTGAAGCTCGAGTAATCACTAGAGATGCTAACCTCGTATAGGATTCTCTTTGTCAAGAACCTCAAGTACGCCCGCCGTCCCAGTAGCTTTGCTGTTTCCAACGACACTGCTGCCATCGCATTCGGTTGAGACTAACCGATACATAGCTACAACGTTACTGCAGAACAACTCTTCGACCTTTTCGGAAAATTTGGACCTATCCGGTGCGGCCCCGCCGATAGCGACGACATTGCTTTTCTTGCCAGTGCGCTGATTATGCCTTCTGTTTTAGACAAATACGACAAGGAATCGCGAACAACTCCAAGGGAACTGCATTTGTGGTTTATGAAGACGTTCACGACGCCAAACAGGCATGCGATAAGCTCAATGGATTCAACTTTCAGAACAGATATCTTGTCGGTACGTCTTCGAATATGCTCTGGTGGAATTTGGGCCCCAATAATGTTTGCTGACTTGCCCCGTCTTCTTAGTCTTATATCACCAGCCGGAAAAGATGCTCAAGTCGAAGGAGGACCTGGCGGAAAGGCAAGAGAATTTGGAACGTCTTAAACAACAGCATGGTATAGAATGACGTGACGATTTTCTTTTAATCGCTTACTCTACGTGTTCTCTGCGCTTTGCAAGACATGAGGATGTGCGCGCTATGTTTGGTCGGCTGCGGGGTTTTCGGCGTTCAGTTTTTGCTTCTCACTCATATGGGTTTCATGGCTATTGTTCATGGGTTTTGAGGGCTGCTAGGTAGAATGACACGCCTCCCTGGCTTAGCTCTGGGGAGAGGATGGGGGCTTTCTCAAGCTGGATCAGGACTTTTATGCCACTCAGCTACTGTTATCAATATCACCATATCGATTGCCAGCCAATCTATGGCTCGGCAAACCTATGAGACATCAAAGCTCGATCTGCAGGGCGTCCACGGGTAGGGGCGACTACACTCAACCAGAAACGGAGGCCACCGGGAAGGACCCTGAGATCTTCAAGATCTACTGCATACGTAGCATTGCCGTTAAGCTTATCATCTGCGGTACCCTTACGGAGTAGTGCATTTCTAGCAGCCTAGCATCGTGAGTTTTTGATGCCAACTGTATCCACTTCGCGCATTGCACGATTGCAGTCAACGGCCCAGCCACTCAGGCCCACAGATCAGGCATCATGACTTAAATGTAGTGGTTCCTGGCCAGCTAGTTTCACGTTGTGTAGACTAAGTATCTGCGAGTACGGTCTTCCAGAAAACAGAATCCCACTTCAGGTGTTAATCAAATGGCATGTAGTCTTTAGTGTTCACATGCAAATCTGAACACCATTATAATACTTGAGTTATCGTCCACTTGGGTTATTGTTTATCAACGGCGTAGTCTACAAAAGAGCCAAATGCTGCTCATAGTCTAAAGCTCACTCTTGTCCCTGCAGTTACGGAGTACAGACCCTGAACGGAGCAGAGTAGAGTTGACCTTGTCCTCCATCAAACGGCGCTAACCTGAGGCACGGGGCCGGGGCCAGGGTGGGGGTCTAGGCACGCTTACCCAATACCCAACCCAGGTGTAGCAGTGGCTCTCTGGCTCCAGGGCTCCAGCTTGACTGGGACTGCGGGGGCTGTGAAGGCAAGCCTGCAAAAGAGTTTTGACTCGTGATATTTGTTCTCCTGGCTGGCTCAGGCTCCTTGCCGGCAAGAGAGTCTTCATCTCCTTTATTTCATCTCACATTGTTTGTCACATATCCTCTAGACTTGTGCCCCTTTTGTTCTCTCAGGCCTTTGCACCACATCTACCCAGCTTACTGATTCCAAGCCGCTTCGACCACCCTCTGACATCACAATATCTCCATCATACCTTAGCCGCCAGTCCTAGGGAGCCTGGCGACATTGGATTTACTATGGTTTATCCATCGATCTCGACCTTATCTGCAGCAATAATTATACTCACTACCCTCAGCATTGGAGTAAATGCTTCGGTCCCTCCAACCGGTGTCATTACAACCCCATCATCTCCAGCCGTGTCAACACCAGCCGCATCTTACACCCCAGCAAACTCCGACTCTTCTCCAGATGACGATGATAATGGAGAATGCCGGCTACTTGGGCCGTTTTCTCTCATCGTCCAGACTGCGTTGGGAATGCTGGCTTTGTTATCACTTGTCTATAAGCGATGGAGAGAGCGCCCTCAACGACCGGTGAAAGTATGGGCATTCGATGCTTCGAAGCAAGTGTTCGGCTCATCTATGTTACATCTTCTCAATCTATTGATGTCCATGTTCTCTGCTGGGCAGTTTGAGATCGCAATGAAATACAAGCCGAACCCGTGCTCGTTCTACTTACTGAACTTGGGCATTGATGTGAGTATTCTGAGCACGCCAGGGGTATCCATTCTTCTAGCAGCTGCTAACATACGCCAAACAGACCACTCTTGGTATCCCAATATTGATATTCATACTCCATTTTCTCAACCGCTTGGCGAAATACACCCCTCTTGCAAATCCACCACAGTCCATTGAATCAGGAAACTACGGCGATCCACCACGCGTCGGCTGGTGGTTTAAGCAATCCATGATATACTTTATGGGTCTCCTAGGAATGAAGATATGCGTCTTCTTTCTCATTCAGATGATACCGCTTATCGTCAAAGTGGGCGACTGGGCATTGCGATGGACGGAAGGCAACACCGCCATTCAAATTATTTTCGTGATGCTGCTCTTCCCTGTCATCATGAACGCTATTCAATACTATATCATTGATATCTTTATCAAAAAACCGCTCTCCGCATCTCAGGACCCCGATGACGCAAGTATCGCAAGCGACAATGAAGCTGACGACCGACATGCACTACTGGCCGGCCTGGAAGACGACGATTTTTTCGAGCAGGATGGTACAATACGAAGTGACGAAAGAACGCTGCATAGCCCAGTACAGTTCAAAGAAGCTCTGGATCAACTAGACGCCCCTGAGACAACCCGGGTGGGTTCCTTGGGATCTGGATCAACACCGATTGCGAGTAGCCCACGCGAAAATAATACGATGTCGTCCACGAGGACAAATATGCAGCCGAAGAATACCTGATGATTTATTTATGACGTTTTATGTTGGCGTTTTGCGGGTTCGGCGGCTTTTGATTCTCTGGAAATGCCAGTTTAGATCTATTCATGTCTCTGCGTATATGACAATACAGCTCTCGGAATACCTGCACAGCTCAACCTTAACTACTAGTAGTAGTGGTGCCTTGCTGCGCACGCCAGGTATGTGCACCGCCAGGTACACCGCCAGATTCTGCCGTCCTGGAAGAAAAATTATTTTGGACGGACCCTCCGACTTCAGTAGATGTGATTTCAGTCTGCTTTTCTCTCTTATCTTTGTTGCGGGGCCTCTTCCTGATTGTATTGGGCTTGCAAATTCATAACTGATGACACAATGGCCAAAGCGGCGCATAAACAAAAGGACAACCATGGGGAGCAAGTTCTCGAAAAAGATGAGACCGAGAAGAAGCTGGAAAGCCTACTCTTTGGTGACGGCGACGGGTTTCAGAGCGCATTAAAGGATGGGCGGGACTACAACTCGTTAGCCCTCACGACAGTTTCCGATGAAAGCGCAGATGAAGCGGATGAAGTCCTGGAGGATGAGGATTTGGACGAGCTTGACGACGCAGATGTGTGTTTGTACATGCTTACTATATCAAAAATTAGCGCTGCTAACGATGTTGCAGCTTTTCTTCCTTGATTCTGGCGCCGGACCTGTATCTACGGAACTCGAGCCCTCTGCTACACCCGCCGAGGCTGAGAGCGAAGGCGAGAACCTTGATGAACTCCCCCCATTGTGGCACGATAGCGACGATGAGCGCATTACGGTTTCGCTAGCTGGAAACAACAGGCTGAGAAAATTGCGTATCAACGAGTCGGAGGACATCATCAGTGGAAAAGAGTACATTCGGCGACTACGCCGGCAGTATCTGCAGCTTCATCCGATCCCCGACTGGGCGAACCCGAAGTTGAACAAGCAGACGGACGGGGAAGAAGATGACTCTGATTGTGTGGAAGAGATGGATACAGATGAGGAGGAAGGGATGTCCGCGCAGCCGCTGGCGAAGCTTCTTCAGAGTATTGATTTCACAAAGACTGAAACCACAAACTCAACAGGCGGTCGGCCGAAGCTGCGCAAGGAAGTCATTGGCATTCAACGACTAAAGGATATTGGAAAGGACCAGCCGGTAAGTGCTACCAGCGAGCATCACTCTCTTCTCATACGGAACTAACGTGCGCCACAGTCCGCTGTCAGCTCGCTCACCTTCCACCCTCACTACCCATTAATTCTCTCCTCAGGTCCAGCATCAACGCTCTTCATCCATCACGTCGCCCCGGACGCTCCAAGCCCCCACCCACTTCTAACATCCCTCCACATCCGCCAAACTCCCATCAGCACCTCCACCTTCTCTCCAGATGGACACCAAATCTACGCCTCGGGCCGCCGTCGCTATTACCACATCTGGAATCTCAACAGCGGTAAAGTCGACAAGATCAACGGGTCCGCCGACCGCCGCGAGGAACAGAAGTCAATGGAGCACTTCAAGCTCTCCCCCTGCGGCCGCTTCATCGGTATAATCGGCTCAACCCGCAAGGGTGGCGGCGTCATTAACATTCACAGCACCGTGACAGCGCAATGGACAGCACAGGTGCGCGTCGACGGCCGCGGCGGCATAGCGGACTTTGCCTGGTGGTCTAATGGCCAGGGTCTCACGGCTGTCAACCTGAACGGCGAGGTGTCTGAGTGGGATGCGCAGCTTAATCGCATCGTCGCGCGCTGGAAGGATGCCGGTGGCGTTGGCACAACCGTTCTTCGTCTCGGCGGCTCAACTGAGCAAGACGCTCTAGGTGGGGACCGCTGGGTCGCTATCGGAAGTAGATCGGGCATTGTCAACGTCTATGACCGCGCGCAGTGGGCAGCGTCCTACGCTTCCCTCCTCTCCTCGAATGGTGACACATCCACCACTATTCCTCGAAACCCCGAGCCCGTGCGTGCGCTTGACCAACTTGTGACCTCTATCAGCCATATCGAGTTTGCGCCGGACGGGCAGTTCCTTGCCATGGCTAGCGAGGTTAAGAAGGACGCGCTGCGTTTGGTGCACTTACCAGACTGCACTGTGTATCGTAACTGGCCGACGCAGAGCACACCGTTGGGACGTGTCACATCTGTGGCCATCTCGCCGAACTCGGAGTATCTGGCTGTTGGTAATGATCGGGGCAAGATTCGGTTGTGGCAGATCCAGGGATAGACTAGTGTAGTGCTATATAGGTCGCTTGATTGTATCACTGTGCACTGAGCCCTAGTACATACGAATCAAAGAGGACTTATGCCAAAATTAATGATTTAAGATATCTGTATAATTCGTCTAACATGTCTAGCCATGTCTAGGACCAACTATCTGCATGCGATGGCTGAATCATGAAGCCTCGCAGGTTCCGGCACTGTAGATCTACTTTACGTCCCAAAATTTCAACTCTAGGTAATTCCGCCCCTCGCTATCAATCATAACACCCGTATTATGTCGTTATCAACCAATCCATCCAAACTCTAACCAGCGCCACTTTAAAATGTGTGCACCTAATCAACACAGAGCCAACATGTCCTGCGCGTTACGGATACCAGCTGTGTTGCCGGCGGCAACACGCTTCAGGGTTAAGGCGGCGATAAGTGCTGCGCCGACACCAGATCCATCCTCGGCAGCATGGATTGTCACCTTGTCCTTCTCGTTAGGGGCCCAGTCCAGGATTTCGCGCAGGGCCTGGGCACCGCGGGCCTTGAAGTGCGGGTATTTTGTGAAGACCGAGCCATCGGCTCCGACGTGGCAGGACTCAATGTTCTTCTTCTTGCAGATGGCGGCAACACCACAGGCGGATAGGCGAGCAGCCCGGGTACCGATTAACTCGGCAAGACGGCGCATCAATTCGAGCTCTGAGCGCGTCGCTGTAATCTTGAGCTTGCTTTGAACAAGGTCTGCTGTTTCAAGCAGGTTCTCGTAGGGGTCTTCTTCAATTGCGGCAGGGAAGGAGGAATCAAGCAAGTATGGGATCCGCAACTGCGAGGTATCCTGGTCCTTGAAGATTAGACCGGGCTGGTTGTCCAAAATATCTACCAAGGCCAGGCGGAAGATTTCGCCAAGGTACAGACCAGCAGTCATCTTCTCGAAAGCCTGCTGGCCGGGGCGAGGTGAATCGCGGTCGATAATGTGGTCGTACTTGGTGAGCGGTAGGACAATATGCTCATTGTCAAACGCACCGTACTCGCAGTTGATCGCAACGGGCATGTCCGGGGGCAAATTCATATGGGCCAACTTCGGTATAGAACCGGCGTCCTCCATGTATGCGGCGTTGACACCGGTGCCGAAAATGCAGCCAATCTTCATCTCGGAGTCTGTGTAAGAAGAGGCGATGAGAGTTCCGGTTGTGTCGTTAATCAAGGCAGCGACCTTGATGGGAAGGCCCTGTAGTAAAGGTCAGCAGATGTAACTTCGGAATTGATAAAAGTCCATACCCTTTCTTTGAAGACCTTCTCGAGGGGAGGGACCACATCTTTGCCCTCGACTCCATCAATGTCGAAACCCTTGGTCCAGCGCTGGAGAACTCCGTGGTCGATGTAGTCCTGTGTGGCCGGATAGGAGAAGGTGAAACCCAGGGGCAGCTTGGACAGGTTCTGGCCCTCGTGGTGCGACTTTATGAACTGCTCCACGCAGTCGACGATGTATTCCCACAACTCCTCCGCCTCGCCGGTCTTCAGCTCCTCGGGCATTCGGTACTTAGACTGGATGATGTCGAATCCGCCTTTCTCGTGGGTGAGGGTAATCTCACAAACACGCAGGTTGGTACCGCCCATGTCGAGGGCCAGGAATGTGCCCTTCTCGTCGCCATCGGGAAATCCTAGGACCCAGGTGACGTTCATGGGCTGTGTCGTTAGACTGCAAACGCAGACTGCATTGCTAGAGACTTACGATGTTCCCGCCTTCGACAGTAAGACCTAATTGTCCCTTGCTTAGTGTTGTTCAAATCCTGTCAGACCCATGTCACTTACCCTTTGTCAGCTCCTTGATGAAGTGGTCGACAACCTTCTTCAGTGCCGCAGTGTCGACGGTGAAGATTTCTTCAAAAAGCTTGATCTGTTCAAGGACATTCTGGGGCACGTCGGTCATGGACCCTGCGCACGGTCAATACGATTGGGGGTTGACTTGAGTATCCATGAGGGGTCACGTACCCCTGCGGGAGGGACGGCGTTTGGGACCAACTCCGACCATTTTTGAAGAGGTTATTATAAGAGATAAATGAACAGGAGGGGATTGGATGGAAGGGGGTAGAGAAACGAGAAGCAAGAGAAAGTGGAGGAAAGGAAGGGGCAGATAAATATGATGACGGTTAGCCCTCTTGAGGTCGAGTGGGAGTGGGGGAGTCTGTTGAGGTGAGGGTCTGGATCCAGGCATAGCAACCCCACACTCACCGTCACCGGTCACCAGATACGCTTCCACTCCAGAGTAGTCTATCTCTTCGTCTGACGGTGTCTGTCATTTTGTTTTTCATCAATTGGTCTGCTTCTTGCCCGCGGGCCTTCCAGGTCATATCCACATCGAATTGTGTACGTGGAGTGCATTGTGTACACTGGATCAGTTGTGTGTCGGCTCACTGACATCATGTGGCATCATTGGACGGAGCTGTCAGTCCAGAGCCAAGCATGATCGCCCTGGTTTATAATATCACGCCTAATTAATTATGCATGTAAAGAAGCTCAACTCTGTATCTCAGTTCCACGGAACATACTTCCTCGCAATGGAGATGAGTTCCGAACTGTATATATACTGGGCTTCAGGTAGCCTTTACCCCTCCCCACCACTACATCCTCATCCCCATAGAGTAGTATCGACATGTTGAAGTTGAACTTTGTCTTTCTCTTTATCCTGGCTTTCATAGCCTCAGCCTCAGCCGAAGTCACCATTGAGGCCTCGATCCTTAACCGCCTCCTCCAACTCGACCTTGGCTTGCATGGAACCTCCATCCTGCTGGACAGATCCGACGAGGATGAAGCGAACATCACTCTAGCTGTATGCTTTCATGTCCATGCTGGTGTCCAAAGCATACACTAATGGCATATCTAGGAAGTTGTTGTCTTCTACAATACCATAACAGCCCCGGGCCAAAGCTCCATCCAGCCATTTCCCAGTTCTTGTGATGAAGCTGTCCAATTCAGCATCTGCCAGGCGTATCACACGGTATGATTACTTGGGCTTGTTATAAGCATGTGTCATGATTAGCGCGCTAACTCCAGCGGCAGTTCGCTCTGACAAGCATTAAACTGTACAACGACCTCGCCGACGATGCTGATGACTTCGACAAAGGCCTGAGAAATAACATTCGGGATGGATTCAATCGCATCTTTACAGAGAATGCCGTAAGTTGGCTCTTCTGCCAAGATATCACTGTCGCTGACTTATTAGGGCTTCGTCGACAAAATTGCCCCTGTTGGCCTTCCTCTTTGCCTCGAAAGCATCCAATGGGATTGCTGGGCGCTGAACAGGGCCTTTCTTATGGCTTGGAATGCGCTTGACCCGGCTGGAAAACAATAGGTAGGCGACTTGACTGCCGGCTAGAACCAATGATCTAGTAATTCTTTAATTTGATCCTTTATGTACTCGTACCTCATTAGTTGCGTGTCTCTATCATGTCAGAGTTAACAGAGTAATCTCCCGACGCCACTTTCGACATCTTTGCGGTTCTATTTTTTTGCCAGATGCGGGAAAACGTGAGCCAGTCCCGTTCCATTGCTCTCCGATGAAGAGCGTGTCTCATCCTCTAAACGCTCCCTGACACGCCTCTGGTAAGCGTCAGAAATCTCTAGAGTTTTGTCTACCTCCGCGGTCAACCGGCTGATCTCACTCTCAAGCCGCTCTTCGCGCGTCTGAGGGGATTCTAATTCTTCCTCGCGCGACTTTTTGTTCGGATTGACCTCTTCCCACAATTGTTTTAGCTCCTCTTCCCATCCTAGTGCCCGTGCTAGCTTTCTTACTCCGTTATCACAGTCATCTAGAATGAGCACGTCGTCCGGACGAGAGCCCATTCCACCGACCCGCTCCCGATTGATGAGCACGCGCGGCACGCCATCCGCAACAAACGAGGGAAGGCTAGCAAACGGCTGCACAGACAGACTCGTGCCCATGACTATGCAAAGGTCGGCCGTTTCAGGGAGCTCTCGGTTGTCAAAAAAGGACGAGGGTAATGCTTCCCCGAAGAAGACAATATCTGGCTTCACTAGCCCTTGACACTCGGCGCAATATGGCACCTCCCCTTTTGCAATCGCCTCCTTCATCAATTCCTCCGGATAGGCTGCTTTACAGTCAATGCAGCGCTGGGTCGCGAAGCTTCCGTGAGCTTCAACAATCATGTCACCCGGCACGCCGGCCAACCGTTCCAAGCAGTCGATGTTCTGTGTGAAATGCTTCAAAAGCTTTCCCTTGTCGTAGAGGAGCTTTACGAATGAATGAGCAATGGTAGGCCTGTACTGTCCTGGTGCCAGCTCCCTCGCCAAAGCGTAGAACGGCTTAGGGTTCTGTCTGAAGAAGCTTATGTCGAAAACTGCTTCGGGATCCGGTAGATCCAAATGGATAAGGTTCGAGTATATACCAGTATCTGGCGAACGGAAATCAGGAATACCGGCTGACGTGCTGATGCCCGCTCCGACCTAGATATAGCGTTAGCTATCAATGCGGGGGGCAGCTGAGACACAGACATACCATCACGACCACTTGCCGTACTGGCTTCTCCCGGACATACTTTGCGACTGCATCCACGGTGCGGGCTTCTAGCACCGAAGGCGGAGTTTTCTCGTCTACGATTGTGGACGATTCATTGCCCATATTGCGACGACGACCAGACTTGGGCCTGGCGTTCTGGTGTCTGGCTCTGCAGCGGCGCCCGATTGTGGCGGCGAAATCGCAGCAAGAGAGTCTGCCAAATAAGTCTCCGAAATTAGGTTTAGATGTTCAAATTTTCTTGTTGCCAATTATTAGATAGATGTCAATATCTGTATGACGTTTAATTTTGCCAATCGCGGAATCTGCCTGAGGCATCACGTAGGTACGTTGACACTGGGGTTTGGCTCCTGGTTCTCGGCGTTGCTCCAGCTGCAAACAGCATACCGTATTTGCGATCGCAGTATCTGACTCTGAAACAGCTTTTATCTAGACCATTCAAGCCTCCAGAGTCCAGATTGATGGATGTCGTACCCAAGATCTCGAATAAAGACCGCGGATTCACCGCCTTGGGCTTCTGCCACATTGCTTGATCTCCCCGGGGAAACAATCCCCTCTATGTATCCCATTGTTGACATTGCAGCCTGTATCAGTTGCCGCGGCTGCTGGGAGAATGTCCAATCCCACAATAACCGCTGTCAATGGACACCCAGTGACTCCGCCAACGACACAAGATCCGAAGTCTACTTCCCCCTCCGACATCTACAATGCCAACTCTGTCGCCGAGATCAAGGCTACCCTGACCCACCTGCACGAGCAAGAGGCCGCCGTAACAGCTCGTCTAGATGCCCTCGTCGCCTCGCAGAAAGACTTCTCGCGCGAATTAGGCCGCTTGGATATTCTCCGCGCCCACCTCGGCTCCCAAACCAGCACCACGCGAGCAATCAGCAATGGCATGCTCGCCGGGGCCGCCGCAACCGCAGACCGCATCTCCAGTGCTGTTCGACGTTTGGATTTGGAGCAGTCAAGGGTCAAGGACACCTTGGAGGTTGTCGAGCAAGTCTCGGAGTTGAAAGCATGTGTACTAGGTGTCGCAGGCTCCATGGGGGCGCCCCAGGACTGGGAGAGAGCAGCTAGCTATTTGGATCGCGCAGCCAAGGTGCCGTCGGAAGTGGTTCAGGGCGCCTTTGCGGCGGAGATGGTGCCTACCGCGGAGGTTCCGGACCCCCCGAATGTGACACTGGACAATGCGGCCGAGTCGCTATGTGGGCTGTTTCTGCGCGAGTTCGACAAAGCTGTCAAGGAGAGCAATGGAGCTAAGATCACACGGTTCTTCAAATTGTTCCCGTTGATTGGGCGCTCGGAGGTTGGGCTAGATGTTTACGGACGATATGTCTGTCAGGGCGTGGCAGCGAAAGCGCGGTCGAATCTCAATACAGGAAATGGGCAGCAGGATAGTTTTTTCTATGCCAATACGCTCACCAAATTATTCGAGCATATCGCGCAGATTATTGACGGCCATGGAGGGCTTGTCGAACGTCACTATGGTCCACGGAAGATGAACAGGGTGATTGAGCGCTTGCAGCTGGAAGCGGATGTACAAGGCGGAATTGTTCTCGACACCTGGAGCGACGAGCGGCATATTGACCGCAAGTTGATGGACATCAAATCATACGCGTTTATCTTTCTAGTGCAGAGCTTTCTCCCACCACAGCGTACTGCAACGCCATCAAACACTTTGGCCACCCAACAAAGCGCGGAGGACGAAGGTGTAGACATGAAAGAGATAGACGGGTTGTTGAATGAAATGACTGTCATGCTAGGCCGATGGTCACTTTACACCCGCTTCCTAGCCGAGACATGCAATGTTTGTCTCCTAGCTCTGTGACCGAACTAGACTGACTTTAGCAGGCCAACGATGAGCACAAGTTCGAATTTCCCCAGTTCCTGAAGGAATCTTCGCTTTCTAGGAAAATTGGGGACCGGCTTATATCCCCCTTCAACACCATGACAACGTTTTTCTTCCGTCGATCAGTTGAAAAGGCATTCCAGCTGGATGAGCAGCCCACGGGCTTGACTTTGAACCCCCAGCGGCCATTAAAGGCAGATCCGCCCCATATTACGTCGGCAGTTGACGATATCATGTATATCGTCAACAAGGTTCTGCAGCAGTCTCTGGCGACGTCGCAAATTGCTGTCGTCACCAGTGTCGTCCCTACCTTATCACGCGTGCTGGGATCCGATTTCATCGGGATGACCCAACGCAAGATGCGCGACGAGTGCTATCCGCGGGCTGCCCACCAGGGTTCCTCTCCCCCAGAGCACGTCGTCATCTCCTTCCTAGTCCTGATCAACAACCTCGACGTCGCCGTCGACTACATCCGACGCATCATCCAAAACATCACCGAGTCCAAGAAGACCATCACTCATCCAGACGGGCAGGTCGAAGAAACCGACCAACTCCACACGCTCTTCCCATCCCCAAGAGACGCAACCCTAGTCTCCCAAACCCTCAGCTCGCTCTCCACCACCTTTGAGGCGAAGGTCACCGACCTCCTCACAGACGGCATCCAAGTCGTCTTCAACAACATCATCAAACACCGCCTCCGCCCCGTCCTCTCGGACGCCTTCCGCGACATCGAATACCAACCTGCCTCTGATACCGCTCCATTAACAACCTACCACTCCGACCTCGAGTCATACTCCGACACCGACTCCATTCCCCCGGAGAACGATCCCGACTCACCGCGCGAACTAGTCCGCCCCCGCTTCAGCACCGCATGGACGGAGCTTCTAGCACCCATCCTCCGAATCCTAAACCCCGCTGCCTTCGATCGCCTTCTAACAATAACGATCGCGTACCTGGCGCGTCTGCTCGAAAAGCGCCTCTGGGCATACCATGGCCGCGTTAACGCCCTCGGCGCAACGCGTCTAGAGCGCGACGTTGCCGGCCTCGTCAGTGCTGCGGTTAGCGTTGACGTCCATGGCTCTGGCGGAGCAAATGTCTCGGGAAGATACAAGCACCGCGAAGCCTTCGGGCGGTGCCTCCAGATAGTTCTTGTTATGGGGATGGATGAAGATGAGTGGGATGATGTGTTGCGGGGTGGAGAGACGGCGGATGTGCTTGATAAGTTGAGTGGGGATGAGAGGAGGAGGGTTAGGGGGATGGTGAGACGATAGTTGTCTTCTTTGAGTTTCCTTTGAGTTTCGTTTCCCGGACATAATTGGTTTCGGCACGTCTAGAGAAGATAATCCCGTAGTAGATACCACCCTATCTATTATCCATGGGTTATTATCCATGGGTCTACAGCACTCAAGCATTCGGACGTGGAAGCTTATGTTTCAATAATTTTACAGTCTATTGAGAACTAATATAGCACCGTAGATCATCACAGATCTAGATCCCAGGATGTCCACTCAATCAAGCGAGATTATAAAATGAACAATAATGGATGAAAAGAGGATCATCCTCCTTTATTAGTATATACAATTTATCACATCAGTCCCAGTAATAAATTTCCAATCCAAGCTCCGTGAGGCGTTTTGATAGCGCGAGCTCAAAAACAGGGGGAAAAGGGGGAGCAACGCCTGCTGAGAATCAAAATCTCCTGACGGTCTAGCAAATTAGACATGAATAATGTACGCGCGGCAGAAATACATAAATGTACGTTAGAAGAAAAAATGGCTCAGCCAGGGGGTCGTTGGAGGAAGAAAGCAAAAACAAAAGTGGATATCTCGGGCAGGAACAAAAATGGGCAGAAAAGCAAGCTAAAATCAGGAACGAAAGGAAACAGGATGATCAAGGCGCCTGAGCGACTTTCTCGGCGTCGGTCGGCGGCGCCGGCCGTTGCGATTCTTCCTTGACGTTGATCTCTTGTACGCCTGAGATCTCGCTTCCGCGGCTGTTGGTTACACCTGTGGGAGCCTCGCCGTCGAGCATCATCTCGCTGTGCTCGCCGATGCCGTAGCGAGCAGCGGCTGGGACCTCGTGGCCGTCCGCGTGTTGATCGTGCTTCTGAGGGGTCCAGGCAAGGTAGTCACGGCGGACCTCGACGTAGTCGTAGGCGAATTCACCGAGCTGGTCATCGTCCATGCCAAGCAGTTCGGCTTCCTCGGAGGCACGGAGCTTGAGACCGGGAATGGCATTGATGGCATAGGCGACGATAGCAGAGACAACGAACGAGTAGGCTGACGCGGCGACAATAAAGGCGATCTGAATGTAAAGCTGCTTCCAGTTGTGGATGAGCCAGCCACCCATTTCGGAACCGGTGTTGACTCCGTCTAGACCAACAATGGCGTCGTCTGCGAAGAAGGCGTTGAAGATGAGACCGACGATACCGGCGACACCGTGCTCAGCAAACACATCCATGGAGTCATCAATGCGGATCCAGTACTTGACTATATGTCATGTTAGCGAGTGTTCATAGTATCAGGAAACATGACTGGCGTACCCTTGGTAGAGTAGTTGCAAACGATGCCGGTCACAATACCGAGGACAACACTGGCCCAGGGAGGGAGGAAACCGGAAGCAGGAGTAGCAGCGACAAGGCCGGAGATTGTACCGGAGCACCAACCGACCATCGACCACTTGCGAGCCAGACGCCAATCAAGAATAACCCAGGTAATCGCGCCAAAGGCAGCGGTCAGGTTCGTGTTCCAGCAGGCCATTGTTGCACGCATGTTCGCACCAAAAGACGATCCACCGTTGAATCCAAGCCAGCCAAACCAGAGGAAGACTGTGCCAAGCAGGATGAGGGAAACGTTGTGAGGGCGGAAGTTGAGCATCATGCGCTCCTGGCGACGACCGAGGACCATCGAGTACGCGAGAGCCGAAAGACCGGAGCAGATTTCGACGGGACCACCACCAGCGTAATCCAGCACACCGTAGTTGAAAGCCCAGCCGTTGACATTCCATACCCAGCAAGCGATGGGGCAGTAGACGATCGTAGCCCAGACGAAGGTGAAGACCATGGCGGGAAGAAGACGTCCACGTTCGGCGACCGCACCCATTATGATCGCAGCAGTAACGGCGCAGAATTGCATCTATGTCTGTCAGCCGAGCATTATACCATACAAGCAACTGGCCGTAATTACCTGGTAAAAGGCATAAAGGAGGTTAGGAACCAGAGGAGACCCAGGGCTTGGATCCGCCAGAACCTTCATCAGACCGAAGTTGCGCAGGTTTCCAATGTATCCATTTGTAGCGGTGGGAGAGAATGCGAGCGAGTAACCCCAGAAGTACCATTGGAAGGTCACAACACACATTGAACCCATGCAAGCCCAGATCATGCTGAGGGCTGACTTGCGGCGAGCAAGACCGGAGTAAAGAAAACCGAGACCAGGAACCATGAGCATAACCATGGCCGAGGCGACGATGATGTAGGCCTGATCACCGGCCTGGTACCATTTGTTCAAATTTTCCACCCCTAGAAGCACAACTGTTAGAGCGTTCAAGCGACAATGGCGGCCGACGCGTCACATACTCGAGTTTCCGCCCAGCTCGTTCGTGGCGAGGCTGGAGTAATCCGAGGGAGCGCCTGTCCAGTTGTACGAGGCATACTCGGGAGTGAAGGGGGCCATGCCTTCGGAGGCCATGGCTGCGGTGATAGCGTAGTAGGTGGTGCGGGTGAAGGTACGTGAAGAGACGTCCTGAGCCCTCGATCAACGTGGGCAGTCGAGATAGAGAAATAGAGGACGTCCCGAGTGTGGAGAAGTAAGCGCCACGGGCGGAGGGCAGAGTATATAAAAGAAGAGCCAAGAATGGAGGAGAGATACAGAAAAGATAGTGAGCAATCGAAATAGTAATTGATTCAGGATCGACGGGACGGCCAAGTGGACCCGATCCAGAAAATGTTCTTCTTCACTTCTTGTTCGCGTTAGTCTTCCTTCAGGCTTTTAGGCTCGTGGGCTAGTCGAGTCTGGAGATCGAGCTGACTGTTTCAACTTTCAAGCTGTCTCACTCGGCTTTGGCGTCCAGGGAGAAAAAGCAAATCTTCAAAGGGCGAGGAAGCCGAGGGAGGCGCGGAAAATGAGGGCCAATGGATGCAGGAGGGATCCAAGAATCAATTGACTGCCGCAGACCCCATATATCATTCCCATCCTCGTGGCAAACTCCATCTCCCCGGCACTCACTACTCCGTCCTTCTGCCCATGCTCCATCAGAGTGGCAAGCAGTTCAAATCGTTCATTCCACTGTGGAATCCCCGTGGATTCATGAAACTGCTCCGGATCGGCTCCAGTTTAGGTTGATCGATAGTGATAGTAGCCCATAGTCGCCCTCCTTCGCAGAGCAGACTTTGGCATCACGAATCATGATATCACCAACTTCCAAGAGATAGTCAACAGTAGCCTCACTTTAAGAATTGAGCTGATGCATCGCCCATAGAGCATTCAGCTCGATCGCCCAGACATCGGGGTGCGCCTTGGCAAAGCAAGGACCAGACTTCCAGGGCCGAAACCGCTCCTCTCTGTGCCCTCGCGCGGAATTACTACTTCTATTTATGCTTTTGAGGCGGTTCCTGGGCCTAATACGGAGTAGATACGGGGTAGATGCAGATGCTACTTTAATCTATCAGACCTAGCTGATAGCCGCAGTCGACAAGCCGTCAGCGCGCTCTTGTCGCTACAAGCCCTCGCCTAAGCCCAAGTCATCCTCATGGCTGCATCATCACAGCCTCTGCTTATCAGCATATTCATTCCGGTAATGCCAATCATCGACCATTGGGCCGTTATCATAGGGCGTAGATAACACCCTAGCGCCACTGTGGGGCCTTGCCGTGAGTCTAACCTAAGCTAGAGCTTCTAGAATTTAAATGCCGATTTAGCAGTGATAAGAGCTAGCTTGGCCAATCACAGCGGCCAGGTTTCGCCGCTGCCCTTCCTGCTTCACCCGATGGTCCGTCAGCCGCTCGGGCAGAGTAGGAACACTCGGGCTGCTGAAGCCTGAGCCCAACTCCGACCCAAACATCGGGGGCTGGGGCCGAAGAGGCACACGAGTCCCGAGTTTTGTCCTTGTCCTCGATCATCTCCGTATTATTCTGTCGCGTGTCCAGCGTTATTGTGCCTTGGCGCGGGTGTGCAACATTCGAATTCCTCCGAATTACTCCCCTTCAAAAGCAAGGCTTTCGAGGCTGAAGCACACATATCTCCATGGAATCTCCGCAAAGAGGCGTTCGAGACCAGTTTTGTGGAGATATTACTCCGTATGCAATATGCACTCCACGTGGATAAATCCCATCAGCGTGGTCACGCCGCCACACCCTGGCTGCCTTAGTACGATGCCTACGTTCGATAGCAGTCTCGGCTTCCAGCAGAAATCGACTGATCGAGGCTGAACTACTCGGTGAAGAGATCTAGCTTCTCGATTCGCCCCACGGACTGGGCATTCTTATCGACATTCGACGCCTCTGGACTCTTGGGGTCTGCTCCAGGCCTCCAGCTTGCACTCCGTACCTGCAGAGTCCGTGATTGTGGGGTATCCATGGAACTCAAGGCAGGGGTCGCCTTTGTCTTTGAGTTTACACTCCCACGGTAAACACTGAACAGCAGTCTGATACTTGACCATTGATGCTAGAATACTCACCTGCACGCTATAGAAACTGACATTTGGAAAATCGAAGTAAGAGGACGTCGCGATAGGCTTCGACGATCCCTTGGCATCAAACAATTCGATGTGTCATGGAAACTCCTCATTCGCACGCCCTGGACTACTCCGTAAGATAGCAGGTGCTTGGCTCTTGGGACCCTTGCCAAGAGTCCAAGACTTCAAAGTACCAGAACGGGATCAAAGACTCGAATTTGGAAGATAGATCAAGAAGCTAACGCTACTAGCATTAATAAAACCTTTACGTTACGGGTACATCATAGCAGACAATGGCCAGCAATATCCCGTGTTACCTGCTATCAAAAAGTAGCCTTATAGAGTGGATGGCGATGCATATGATCCTGCGTGGGCTGGGCAACTAGTCATGAGATTGAAGGAAGGTGAGCAATTTGAAGCGACGCAGATAGTTCTCATGCCAACCACCAGGACCGAACGTGAGGCTACGTCCACTGGGTCTACCTCCCATAAGCCGCATGTATGGAACATGTTGCTTGTCACCATGGCTATAGCTCTTGTCGAGACTGAAGTGGTGGGTTGGCTTTTACCATTTCTCCTCATACCGTATAGCCCTCGCTCTTTCCTGTCGCCGTCGGCTAGATCTTGATGTTCTAGTTAGTTAGAGACCTTTCGGCATAGTCAGTCAGACCATGAAGATGAAGCCCGATGAAGCAGTCTGGGTTTAGTTCCGTGTAGTTGTTGCCGTCTATATATAAATTCACTCCCTACTGGGCCTCCGAACTGAGATCATAGGATTCAATTGACGGGGCACACCGAGTTCCAGTAATCCATTCCAGGTTGTGGCCAGTCGCTGACAGTTAGTGATTATCATTGTCGCTAGAACCAGGCCTGCTTCTAGTTGTAGTGGGCTATTGGGCGGGATTCTGCTACACGGCCCTATTACATGAGTAATGGTTGGTCTTATTGATCTCTTATCATAGATATATATATAATACCGCCAGGGATGAACGGTGGCTCAACGGTGCATGATATTCTTCTCGCATACAAACATCACATCATTACATAGACGCCCCTACATAACGAACGCACAACGCACCACTTCTCTACGCACTCTCATGGAGCCATTGGTAAACTATGGGAGTACTCGGGAATTGTCCAGGGTGTAAAAGCCGCGTACAGTACAAGCGAAATGTATCCAAGGGACTCGGGACTATCCACGCGGTCATAGGATGCAGGGCAAATGTTCCCACCGGTTTACATATACCTAATGCTCCCACAACGCACGATGAACAGCTCAGTCTCACTAGATTCCTATGGATATCCGTTGGCCTGAAAGTGCTTCCAGGCTTCAACACACATGTTGCTAGAGTGGGACACTGGGCGCACGTGCCGTTAAGTCAATACTGCTCGGGTATTCCTCGATCTGCAGCCGATAATGGCATCCCGTCTGCGGTGGTGCTGCAGGCTTGTTCGGAGGAGCTTTTCCCACTTCCACTTGACGCTCTGAGCGATTCCAACGTTGGTCCGAACCACCTTTGATTAAGTAATTGTCTGACCAAGAAACGGTCGAGGCATTTTGCCGCGGAGCGTGGCGAGGTTGAGGCCAGCGGTAAAGTTGAACACGAGCGATTGTATCAGCAATTTCTGGAAAATAACGTAGTGTTGAGGCCGTTGACGATGATGAGACCGTAAAGGCAACAGCGACGAGCGAGCTCGAGAAGATTTGCGAAGAGACTGGACATTCTGATGATAGACCGAAAACGCACTGGGGTTATGTGTTATTGGATGGAGACTCAAATGAGAGGAGTTTGAGGTGATCCTGGGATGGCGGGTCAGGGTTGATATACCGCCCGTCACTTGCGAGGTTGACTCGAGATATATTGGCTTGGGAAGGTTAGGCGAAGCAAGCCTACCTCACCTGCCTGAGGAGTTGTCTCTGCCACTATGTAGAAGATCTCCTGTTGTTTCCAGCTGAACTTCGAGTCTTGAGTTAGGGCCACTAGGGCTCAGCTGGCTGCGGCTCCCAGGTCAGGCTCTGATTGATTCTGTATCCTGCAGCACCTGCATGGAAAGATGGGAAGCTACGCGTACCGCAGCCGAGGCCCCCACGGCTGGAGAGAAGATCAGATGGTCTAGAAGGTCAAATTAATTCGAACGCTGGCTCGTATAACCACTCATCATTAGGTAGTAATATAACATGTTCAGGCATCTCTATACAACATATTTACACATTCGCGCTATATCCAACCCCGACTCCACGTCGCCGCTGCAGGAACTGGTAGTATTTCCGCCCCTCGTCAACCCAAAACACCGTGCTTGCGATGCACACCAGCTTGAACAAGTGTGCTAGGTTCAGGGGTTCCGTCTGGAACACCCGCTGCAGGAATGGAAGGTAGACGACACAAGCCTGCCCGGCAAGGGAACCCAGCACGGAATAGTTGAACATCTTATTGCCGAAAAGAGATATCTCGCCCCGGAGGACCGATTTGCCTTCACTACGGCACGTCAGTGCGTTGAACATGTCAAACAGGACAAAACACGTGAAGGTCATGGTCGTATCGTGGGCTGTCACTACCCGGGAGCGCTTTCCCGTCAGCACGTCGTCATCGTCGCCCATCTCATAGATGTAGATGGCCAGAGTGCCCATCATGATCATGAACGCTGACGTGAGGACCCGCTGGATCAGCGGTCTCGTGAGCACTCTGGCACTCTTCGGGCGGGGAGGTCGACCCATGATCGAAGGGTCCACTGGCTCCACGCCCAGGGACTGCGCCGGAGGACCATCCATGAGGATATCTAATAAAAAGTTAGCAATACACCTTACAGAAGTGATTAAATAGCCATACTAATCCACAGAATCTGCATGGCGTTGAGCGGGTTCTTGAATCCGAAAATTGTGCTCAGCAAAACCAGACTCAGGGCGGCAACGCTGGTACTGAGTTGGAAGGTGATAAAGTTTTGGATGTTGTAGAATATCCCCTTGCCTTGTTCGATAGCCCGCAATATGGTCGAAAAGTCGTCATCTGTGAGAATCATGTCGGCTGCTTCTTTGGCAACGTCCGTGCCAAGCTTGCCCATCGCGATTCCTATATCGGCCTTTTTCAGAGCAGGTGCGTCGTTCACACCATCTCCTGTCATGGCGACGACATCGCCGCGGGACTGAAGTGCACGTACGATCTTCATCTTATGGTCGGGGCTCGTGCGCGCGAATATCGAGACTGATGATAACGCCTGGGACAACTCAGCAGTGCCCATACGGTCAATGTCTTGCCCGTTGAGGACGTTTTGCACTCCAGGGGTTTCGACAATAGGCATTCCGAGCTTCTTGGCAATGGCAACAGCCGTGGTCTCGGCATCGCCCGTGATCATGATGACCCGTACGCCACCGGCCATGAGACGGCGGATTGCCTTGTGGACATCCTTGCGGGGAGGATCATTCATGCCGACTAGTCCCGCCAATACCAAGCCACTGTAGCGATCATCCTCGTCGCCAGAGCTAACCTTTGAAGCAGGGGTACCAGATCTACTTCCAAACGACCTCCCCCTAGCCTCCCTGACTGCGCCGCTGGCAAAAGACAAGACTCTAAGTCCTTCGGATGCCATTTGTTCTGCGGCCTGCCGCACAATCTGGCGCCGACGCTCATCCAATATAACCTCCTGGCCATCTTTGGTCAAATACGTATCACAACGCGCCAGCACTTGCTCCAAGGCGCCTTTGATGTAGGCCATGCTAGTTCCTCCTGTTGAAGGGGATGATTCACCAGGCGCACCACTGCCAATGACCACTCCCATCCATTTGCGTTCGGAACTGAACGGAGTCTCTGCAACTCGAGCGCAAATGCGATCTCGCACATCGTCTTCCCCCAAAGCATCAAGTAGATCTAAGACGGCAACATCGGTGGGTTGACCGACCCACCGGCTCTTCAGCGAGCCTGATGCGTCATCGTCAGTAGAAGACAGCACTGCAGCAGACGAAGCGCTGGCAGGGGAGTTTGCATGTACTCGTGAGAGACGAGCATTGTTGGCAATATTGCCGATGCGTAGAACAGTGCGGGCTGCTGGCCCTGGGGTCAATGACGCAATGTCGTTGTGCACCTCGAATGGCTCAGGACAGTCAAAATGCCACATCTTGGTGACTGTCATGTGGTTAAGTGTGAGCGTTCCGGTTTTGTCGCTGCAGACGACATTCACCGAACCTAGGGTTTCGACACTTGGGAGTCGTCGCATTATCGCTCCTCGCGACGCCATGCGGAGCACACCAAGGGCGAGGGTAACAGTGACGATGATTGGAAGACCTTCCGGAATAGCAGCAACCGCAAGCGACACACCGATAGTAAACATGTCTAGAAGCTTTCGGCCTTGGATCAAGCCTACAACGACGATTAACCCAATGACGCCAAACGAGATGTAACTTAGTTCCTGGCCTAGGCGATCCATGGACAATTGTAACGGCGTGCGCGGACTCTCGATCTCTTGAAGCGAGGCTGAGATACTACCAAACTCTGTTTTGGCACCAGTACCAATGACAATTCCCTGGCCGTATCCGGACCGAACCAGTGTCCCCATGAAAGCGATGTTGTGCTGCTCGTTGAGACGTATATCCGCACCAACCGCACCGCTAGCTGGTGCATCGTAGAATGGCGATCGAGGTGGACTCACGATTTTGGGTGTCGCACTCAAGTGGTTCTTCTGGTTGCGAATTGCGTCCGGATACTTGGCAACGGGTTCGTTTTCGCCTGTTAAATTCGATTCATCAAGGGTCAAGTCCGTTGCAGCGGTAATCCGTATGTCAGCTGGGATGCGGTCTCCAACGGTGAACAAAACCAAATCTCCGGGCACCAGTTCAGCGGCTGGCACTGTGGTAGAGGCTTTGACGGCGGCGGAAACTGGAGCTGAGCTCGGACTCTGGCTGCGGAGATCACCCATTTCAACTTCATCTTCTGGGACTGTCGCGGTTGGGTGAATTATCGGAGGAGAATTCGAGGGAACATCGCGTATCAGGTGTGCATGATGCGGAACTAGACGGTTCAGGGCTTCCAAAGACTTCTCTGATCGATATTCCTGAATGAAGCCGACTGTAACCACTATTGTGACGGCCAGAGTAATGCTAACTGCATCGTCCAAGTTTCCCATGAAGAAAGATATCCCCGCGGAAACAAGAAGAAGGAGGATCAGCGTTTCCTTGAACTGCTTGAGGAATCGAAGCCATAGAGGTTCTGGTTCCTCGTGAGGTAGTTCGTTGGGACCATCTCGTATATATCGTATTTCCGCTTCCGCCGGGGTGAGTCCATAAGTGAGAGAGGTCTGTAAGCGATCTGCGGTCTCTTGGGGGTCTAACTGTGAATACGTGGAGGTTGATGCCTAGCATGTCACTGATTAGTATACAGCCAACCGCTAGAGAACAGGCAAGCTGACTCACTGAAGGAGCAGCATTGGATCGTCCCCCTGCGGGCGCTGTTGATGGAGGAATTGAGCCAGAAGCCTGCCCATTATGAAAAGGTAGCGCAGGCGTAGCGGACCTTGACATTTCTCATGCTTCAATAGAGAGACCTGTTTAAATCGGGAGCTCAACTTTTATCATCCCATCGAGGTGCGCAAGTAAACCACACGGCGGGAGTTGTAAAGACGCGCGTCTAGAAATAGTGACTTCGAAAAGATATCAAATCTCACGGCACGACAAAGACGGAAAAGCCACGTTCTCAGAATGCGACTTGGCAGAAGCTGTATCACCGGATCGATGGGGATGTATAATCATGAACCAGACTGAAGAATTCGAACAAAGAATGCGTCTGGAGAGCCGGGGTCGCTAATTTGACAAAAGGGGAAAATTGACAGAATCTAGAATCTCGTCTCAAACCACTCAGCAGTCAGCGCTACGCTGGCATCGGGGATGTTGACGCTGGGCAGTCCAGCCAAGAGTGGACCCGGAAGAGCAGTACATCCGAGCTGTCTCGATCGGGGCTAGCGCATTCACAGAATGAATGGCATTGCTTATCTAACCGGCATATCTCCAGCCACCCGTGACCGTCACCACCAAGGCACCAAACGACGCGCCTGGGCAACCAACCCACTTCAAATCTCCAACCTCCTCCCTTTCCACTTACCCCTCTGGTCGCTTTCTTGCGCTGTGGATGCTTTCGGCATCGATACATATCCGAAAATTGTCATCGTGGAATCAGGCTTTTATTCCACTCCTTCCCAGTGTTATCAGCGCCCCTCTTGCGAACTATCTCAGACGCCGGAGCGACCGAGCTGATTGATCCCGTTTGTTTTTTGCGGTTGTCGCGTCACCCACTTTTGGTTGCGAGGGACGCCGCGAATCACCCCGCATTGGGCGGGCATCGTTGTATCTCCTGGGGACGTTTTTACGACAAAAGACATTGGATGATATACTGGTTTTGAATACCTCTGGCCATGTTCTATTCAGAGACCTTGCTGTCCAAGACCGGGCCTCTGGCCCGTGTCTGGCTGTCTGCCAACCTCGAACGCAAACTCTCAAAATCGCACATTCTGCAGTCGGATATCGAAAGCAGTGTCAGCGCTATTGTGGACCAGGGACAGGCCCCCATGGCTTTGCGATTGAGTGGTCAGCTGTTGCTCGGTGTTGTTCGCATTTACAGCAGGAAGGCGCGCTACTTGCTCGATGACTGCAACGAAGCTCTGATGAAAATCAAAATGGCATGTATTTTCTATTTGTGTTAGATCTTCCACTAACCTATATATAGGCTTTCCGTCTCACGAACAATAATGATTTGACGACCAGTGCCGTGGTTGCCCCGGGTGGCATCACTCTTCCTGACGTACTGACCGAAGCCGACCTGTTCATGAACCTGGATTCCTCTTTACTTATAGCTCAACCACTTTCATTGGAGCCGGAAGGAAAGCGGCCGGGTCCGTCAATGGATTTTGGAAGTCAGCTATTCCCGGACACTGGACTGCGACGCTCTGTTTCTCAGGAACCCGCATTATTGGAGGATGTCGGCGACCTTGAACTTAACCTTGGACTTGACGATGAGACGGATCTGACGTTCCCTCACGATTTTAGTATGGAAGTTGGACGAGACGCGCCTCCGCCCCGCCCTATGGAAGAGGACAATTTCAGTGATGCCGGCAAGGTTCTCGATGTTGGCGACCTGGGGCTGAATCTCGGCGAGGATGATATTCCCTTGGACTCTGTGAATTTTGGGGCGGATGAGGACAACTTCCTGCCTCCCGACGAGCCCATGGATCTTGGTGATGACACGGTGGTTGCGGATGGTGTCGCCGATGGTGATGATGACCGATTTGAGCGTGAGAGCACTCTCACGGAGGCTTCGGAAGATATGATGGAGCGTCTGAACACGGAACATAATTTCGACCTCGACGACGAAGAGCAAGATGACGAAACCATTCAACATGCGCAGCGTGCCAAGCGGAGAAAGCAACTTCCCACCATCGAGCTTGATGAGGATGTCGAGTTCAAAGGAAACTCGTATTTTCGAATCCAGCAGGAACAACTTTCTGAGACTTTGAAGCCTGCCTCTTTTCTGCCCCGTGATCCTGTTCTGCTGACGCTTATGAACATGCAAAAGAACGGCGACTTTGTCTCCAATGTGATGGGTGGCGGCGGACGTGGCTGGGCTCCTGAGATTCGTGATCTGCTGTCTTTCGATACTGTCAAAAAAGCCGGTGAGCTGAAACGCAAGCGCGACAGTGGAATCTCCGATATGGACGTCGATGCCGCTACTGCCCCTGCTCTGGAAATTGAAGAAGAGGCGATTGTTCCTGTGGATGAGGGTGTCGGCATGGAATCAACCCTGCACCAGCGCTCTGAGATTGATTTCCCTGGCGACGAAGAGGAGCACCTTCACCTCAGTGAAGACGAAGGTATCCAGCAGCCTCTCGACGATTTTGAAGACACTATTGAGCCTGTCGACAGCGCATTAGTGTCAGTCGGCACGAAACGCGCGGTGCACGTCCTGCGTGACTGCCTTGGCGACGCAGAGCAAACCAAGGCCGTCAAGTTTCAGGATCTTCTGCCTGAGAAGAAAGCTACCAAGGCTGACGCCACCAAAATGTTCTTTGAGGTTTTGGTCCTTGCTACCAAAGATGCTGTTCAAGTTGAGCAGCGCTCGAACACTGTCGGCGGACCGATCAAAATCCGTGGCAAGCGTTCGCTTTGGGGTCAATGGGCCGAAGAAGATGCCACTGCTGAAGCCAGCCAGCCTCAGGTTGCAGCTTAAGCATTCAGGAATGGTGGATTGCTTTTCTGTATAGTTACATGTCGTCATTCTTCGACGTTTTACTTTTTGCTCTTTGGTTGAACTGGTTTCTGGAGCTGACTGTTGGTTTATTGTCTTTCATCAATCCTGGAGTTTAGGACGCTTCCTTTTTCTCTCTCTTCAGGTCCGAAAAGGTGTTATTGCTGCTTTTTTGACCTTTTGGCGAATCATTTTGCGCGATAGGATAGTCTTGTGTTAGTAGACAATTTTAATTGAAATCACCCCGTACTATTGGACCTGCTCCTGTGCCTTACAGAGTTGATCGCTGGATTACATATTCGCTGTCGAATTTCACAGCATATTGCTTTTGCCGCCACGGCCCACGAGGCGGAAATTTTGATCCAATGAAGATGTTCGTGGGCTATTTCTCCGAGTAGATAATGGAGTACGCCGATATCGTACATGAGTCTTATGTTTATACAAATATACCCCTGGGCGCCCCGAGTTACAGATCAATATCGACACCTCATGGTTCTGGTCTCTAGAACTGGGCAGGCTTGATATAGGTAGTTGTGTAATCTCCGTCATCGAGCAAGAGATAAATAGTATTACCATGCCTAATGATGCTTGGCTTGGTCTTGATCGGTCAAGCTCAAACTACGATAAGGAGCGATCAAAAATTAGCACGTCTTTCGGCATCCTCTTCCCGAGGCTACTCCAAGCTCTGTCTTCATTTAATCATGGCTTTGCACCGTATGCCCTTGGCCGTTTCTCCAAATTCCTCCACGCTACTATGCCAAACGATATTCCATCTGCCGATTTCCAATCCACTTCCAATCCTTGACTCATTCTTTGGAGAGTGGGGAGAACCGGCGATCGGAGAAGACCTAGCTTCAAAGCTCGGCCATTGAGCCGAGTCTGGGGCACCGTTTCCCGTCATTAATTGTCCCCGCAAACCCTCTTCCTCGAGTCCGACTTTTTCTGCAAAATACCGAGAGGACAACGGAACCTAATAGTCCATGAAACGCAATCATCCCGGTGTCTCGGACTGAACAACTCTACATGCGCGGCACCCAGGAGGCGGACTACTCCGCACATACGGAGAGTCCCCAGATATCCTCAGACCGACAGTATTCCGAGAGCGAGAAGACCGACGAAGGAGAGGTTGAACTAGAAAAGTCCAGTGATACCACAGAGAATGGTTTTGAGCCGATCAAAGCGGCAGCGACGGCAGATAACAGCCAGCTCCGTAAATTACATAGCACCTCATCTCGGCCTGTTGAGCGGAGTTGGTCGCTAAACGACGGTTATAGCTGCAATAATGAGGTGGACGTTGAAGCGCGCACGGACGAGCCTCACGGTGCAAAGGCCAGCGAGTCGTCTGACTTTATCGTGCGTTGGGATGAAAATGATCCATTGAATCCGCGGAATTTCAATACAGTAAGGAGGTGGATCATTGTTATCATCTGCTCAACGGGGTCTCTTTGCGTGTGAGTTTTGCCAATCTCAAACAGGTGCCGTCTTGTACTGACGTTTGAGGCTCCATGATCAGCACATGCACATCGAGTATGTACACCGTGACTTACGATCAATTGACCGAGGAGTTCAATTGCAGCCGGATCGTTGCCACCCTTGGCCTTTCTTTCTTCATTTGGGGTCTTGGACTAGGACCGCTCGTTCTGGGACCTTTATCAGAGGTATCCTAAACGTTCCTGCCACATAGAGCCTCGCTAATGCCTCTGTAGTTCTATGGCCGCAGAAACATATATATCACCTCGTTCACTTTCTTTCTGATCTGGCTCATTCCTTGCGCCGTTGCAAAGAATATCCAGACGATGATCATCAGCAGGTTCTTCAACGGTCTTGCCGGAAGCGCATTCTTGTCCGTGGCCGGCGGGACTGTTGGTGACCTCTTCGATCGTCATGAGCTGTCAGGGCCAATGATGTTGTATACGGCTTCGCCCTTTGTTGGTCCCGAACTGGGCCCGTTGTACGTGTAGTGCAGTGCTCTTGTCAGGGTATGCTCGAGTGCTAATTCTCTTAGGGTTGGTGGTTTTATTAACCAATATACGACATGGTGCGTATTTTCTGCTAGGTGGGAGACCGGTGCTGACGAGACTGACAGGCGTTGGACGTTCTATGTACTTTTGATCTGGACTGGCACGTTGCTTGCCATGTTAGTCTTGCTCGTTCCTGAAACATACCATCCAGTGTAAGCACTTATGGAATATCTAACGGCTTGTGCTGAGAGGTTGAACGCAGGTTGTTGAAGAGAAAGGCACAGAAACTGAGAAAAGAAACGGGGGATAGACGTTGGGTTGCTCCAATTGAGAAGATGGATCGGTCAATGGCGCAGACAGTCATGAAATCTCTTTACAGGCCCATCCTTTTGCTAACCCTGGAGCCGATGTGCTTGAATCTCTGCATATTCTCTGCGATTCTTCTGGGAATCCTCTACCTGTTTTTCGGCGCCTTCCAGCTGGTATTTGGAAACGTGTATGGTTTGGAGCTATACCAGCGCGGCTTGTGCTTCCTTGGAATGTTTGTGGGAATGAGCTTTGCAATAGCGTCTGATCCCTTCTGGCGTCGGATCTACAGGAAACTGGAACAGAAGGCCGCGGGGGTCGGGGAAGACTTCCAGCCGGAGTGGCGCCTACCTCCTGGTGTGTATCGCTTAAGCGGCACCGCATGCTTGTCAAGACGCCGCTAACCGGCTTCTAGCTATTGCAGGAGGGCCCTTGGTTACAATAGGGCTGTTCATCTTTGCGTGGACCATCTACCCCCATGTACACTGGATTGTACCGATTATCGGTAGTGGCTTTTTTGGAGCGGGGTAAGTTTCCAACTGGACCGGTTTGACAGGATACTTGTCCTCCCTGTGCAGGAAGAAACATTGGGCCTGACGTGCGCAGAACTGTTTTGGTGTACTCCGGGGTCTTCACCTTCCTGGTTGACGCATATCCCACATATGCAGCCAGCGCGCTATCAGCGAATAGTTTTGCGCGGTCGAGCTTTGGTGGCATATTTCCTCTTTTCGGGATACAGAGTAAGATTCCTTGCCTTTGTGTCTACAGCTGCCATCATCCCCCTCACGTTCATGTTCTGTTCTTTCGTTGAGTGTCGGCTGGCATTCGCATGGTGCTCAACCTTAACTATATGGTCCCCGAGTCGGGGACTACCCAAGATTTGCGCAACGTTGATCAATAATCCCCGGGTTATGCCCTGACCGCCAGTTGCTGACAGATGAGCGCAGTGTACAACAGGCTAGGATACCACTGGGCGACTTCATTGCTTGCTTTCCTGACACTGGTGATGGCACCGTTCCCGTACGTCCACCCCCCTCCCGCCACGGCCAAGATCGCCTGGCCCAATTTCCTTTTGCATTCCCATTCTTCTCGGACATGAGCTTGTGCAGGACGCTGTGAGACCAAGTTCAGCCTCCCTTGCATGGGCCGTTCTGCAAGCCCATAACGGGATGACGCATCTGACGTTGCTGTGTCTGGGCTGCCTCTCTACTTCAATGGGTTCGCCAACCTTGATTGGTTCGTGTGATGCTGGCTCATGCTGGGATGTATCTAGTTTGGGAGATGAGCTAACCTGAACGTCTGCGACACTGCACAGGTATCTATTCTTCCGGTTCGGAAAATCTCTAAGGAAGAAGAGCCGATTTGCTACGGCATAGATGCGCCAGAATCAGGTACAAAACGTTGTGCGAGGAATGAGGATAGGATCTTGTCCAGTGGGCTGAACTCGTCCTACTATGGGACGAGCTATCCTGGACGGGCGACCAGGATCAATCCCGGGAGGTGCAGATGAGTGAGCATAATAGAGTAATGGCTTCCTAAACGGCTTCAATCTCAGCACATAGGTGCATGATCTAGATGGAAGTACAAAAGTTGTATAGATGAGCTTGTGAGAGACGAAATGTATCAGGCGCGGTCTTCGTTCCCATTTGAGCCTGACTACACCTGAGCTGGAAAGACGCCCAGACAATATAGTCAGACAACTATAGCGTGTGCTCCAATAGTAGAACTGCAGTAGCATGAACCGGTCAGGATCAGAACGGCATTGCAATCTGGACTGAAGGATGATGCCTGAGCCACAACAGGAGGACCGAAAGGGTAAAATCACACGCACACAACGAGCACAGTGTCATCTTGTTGGTTCTCCCGTGCATCACCAAGAGTTGCAGCAGCTGGAGCAGGTCTTGCCGAGGTTTGGAGGAGTGCAATAACGGCTCTGAATGGCTTCAGGCCGGGGAAAGACGGCATCACGGGTGATCTCGGGATATCTGCGTCTGCTTGTTTGGGGAGCTGGATGAATGCAATTGTTGGATTTATACCCCGTTCGCTGCCTAGGGACACCCGTGGATACGATGTGAAGCTGTAGACGTCCCTGACTGTAACATCCTCTCCATCTTGCGCTCTGTTTCCTCTGGATCAATGATTACTGTCCAATGCTCTACTGTGCACGCGACTGTGGAACTCCATCGGCCTATCAGTGCGCTGGGTTTCTCATCCAAAAAAGCCTCACTGCCAGCTTGACTCGACCACGTTTTTTACTTAAATCCAGGCACTCTCCGGTTTGCATACAGATCGGCTACTCCAGACACAGGCCATGACTCCTGTCCCTGTCCAATACTAGACCCAGCCCTGTCAACATTGACAGCCGTTAAATCGCTCATCTTCAATTTTCCAACGGTCTCTGCTCCCCGCAGTGCCGCCCGGCAAGTGAGTCTCCCACTTCCATCCGGCCGCCGCCAATTATCCCACGCTTCTTATTACTTGATGATGTGCTAATAATGAAACAAGGCACGCTCCTGCGGTTAGGTAGCTAGTTTTAGTTTTCTGAGCGCGATTTTGTCTCCAAATTCACATTCACATTCTCCTCCACGGACCGTCTCCGAACTTTCGTTCTTTTCTCCTCGTGTCTTGGTTCCCCTCCCTTCTTGCCCTTTTGCTTTCCTCTCTCCACTCATCTCTCCATTCTATGTCCTCCGATCGACTTTTGCCGGACTAAACGCCAATCTGGATTCCCACCGGCGTGTGGGTATCGAGGGAGTTTTGTTTGACGGTGGTGACGACGAAGAAGCCGATTCTCACAGAGTGGCGAGCCAGTCCCGGGGAGAAGCCTTTAACCGGTGAACCGATCTCGTACCGATCTGACACCCCGGATCCGTCACACTCGAACGGACGAACGCCCCCGCGCGTCTTCTCGGTCCTTTCTCGCGATCTCGCCGATTCATGGAAAATGGAGATGGAGACAGACAAGGGCGCTACAGCACCCTCGGCAGAACCCAGTGGGGCCGATCAAGATACCGCAGCCATCGGCGAGCGCGCCGACCAGCAGCCCAAGGCTAACAACGCGAACGCGAATGGTGATGATCAGACGACCACCAACGGCCAGAAACCGAACCCCAAGGATCCGTCAAGACCGAGGCGGAAGAAGGCGCGCCGCGCCTGTTTTGCTTGTCAGCGGGCGCATTTGACATGCGGTACGCTCCTACCCTCCCCGGGTACCTGTGTCCTGGGGGCGCCGACTAATAGTATGTAGGCGACGAGAGACCGTGTCAACGCTGCATCAAGCGCGGGCTCCAGGATGCCTGCCATGATGGTGTGCGTAAGAAAGCGAAATACCTTCACGACGCGCCGGACGGTGCTTTGATGCCTGGGATTGGCGGGAATAATTTCTACAACAACAACCCAATGCCGAATGGCCTCCCGTCGAGTGGCATGAATCTGAACGGCGCGAACGGGGTCAATCCAGCCGCGAGCACGCAGAATTCGGGCGCGAACTTCTATCCCACTCCGCAATCGAACTACAGCATATACCAGGAGACCCCAATCAACCACCAAAACTCTTTCCCCTCGCAGTCGCCGGTGTCCCCGACCTTTAGCTTGAAAACTAATCCGACCCATCGCAATACCACTAATGCGCCTAGTAACAATAATGCCGCTTTGACATCTTCCATGCCCCAACCCCCGAGTACCGGGGTATCGAATGCGCCAAACCAGCAAAACCCGTTCGCAGGCCCGTTCTTTGACCCCAGTGATCCGGCGCTTTTCAACTTCGATTTGTCGAGTATGAACTTTGAAAATCGATATGGTGCGCTGGAATTCGGTATGCTTGGGCACATGGCTACTGGGGCCGGTGACTCTCCAGACTCAGGCACGCACCGAGGGTCTATGGGCCGTAGCGGTTCAACGCAGTTTGCGTCCACGCCCATTGGAGGAGCTGCAGCATTCGGCGAGAGCCCACAAACCCAACAGCCATTTATGTTCGGTGATCCGCTCCTGAACGAGTGGCCGAGTGGGCAGACCTCGGGCCAGGCGCATGTGAATGTCGGCGTATATCCGCAGTCCAGCCAGGGCAACGTGATACCAGGGCATTTATCCAAGCCTGATGCGCCTCACGCGTTTGCGATTGAGAGCGGACCGACCAACTTTACCAGTCCGGGTAATGCGACTAGTCCACAGATGAACAACACTGGTTATGAGGATACTGGCGCGTTCAATAATGTCGTCACGAAATCCAATGGACTATCCGTGAATGGGCAACAGCGACCTCCGACCATCTCTACACCAAGTATGAAGCACCAAAGCCTGCAAATGAACAAGCGGCGCCAGCGCAATCCATCGGCGGTCTACGAAAGTGTCAGGGAACCGTACGCATATACCAGTCGCTTCCACAATCTGACGGCGTTCATCCAGCGGCGCTTCCCACCCCAGAAGACACTGCAGATTGCCAAGGCACTTGCGTCTATTCGACCGTCGTTTATCGCCACGACCAAGACGCTGAACCGTGATGATCTCATCTTTATGGAGAAGTGCTTTCAGCGGACACTTTGGGAATACGAGGATTTTATCAACGCGTGCGGCACACCGACCATTGTCTGTCGGCGCACGGGCGAGGTTGCCGCTGTCGGGAAAGAGTTCAGCATCTTAACCGGATGGAAAAAAGAGGTGTTACTAGGAAAGGAGCCGAATTACAACGTCAACACTGGTGGCTCATCAGCTGTGAGCTCCCGCAACGTTACGCCACGGGGTTCCGTCGAAAGCACGGCTGGCCGTCCGCATCCAGTATTCCTGGCCGAACTGCTTGATGACGACAGCGTGGTAGAATTCTACGAAGACTTTGCGCGGCTAGCTTTTGGAGATTCGCGCGGAAGCGTGACGACGCGGTGCAAGCTACTCAAGTACAAAACGAAAGAGGACATGGCAGCGGCGCAATCGGATGACAGTGGGCAGCGGTGGAACAACCATCTGCGCAAGGGAGGAATTGCCAATGAGGCCGGGATGAACCAGCTGGGATTCAAAGACGGCAAGGTCGAATGCGCCTACTGCTGGACAGTCAAGCGCGACGTGTTCGATATCCCCATGTTAATAGTGATGAACGTGAGTCGCCCTCTTCTGCAATCCTGATTGCGATATTGAGCTAACACATGTTAGTTTTTACCTTGCATATGATAGTGGTTTTTACTCTGGTTCTTTCGTTGTATATGATTTTATGGTCCAGTTACGGGAGGATACCCGGTGGTTAAAAATGTTTCTTTTTCTTGTTCATACTTATAGGTATTGATGGGCATGGTGATCATGGAGCTGGCATAGAGCTTCAGGTGCAGTGGCATGAATCAAAGGCGAGGTTGGACTCCTTTGGTATATTCATTATATTCCGCAACCGGTCAACTTCCGCCTCGTAGACAGCAAGATCTTTGTGTCTTGCTTCATTTTCTTTTCAAGGATAACCTACTAAAACCTTCGATGCTTGGCTATGGGCCTTAGCATAGAGAACAAGACCGCAACAGTGAGCCATATCAGTGTCTACACCGAGCCAACTCTTGGGGAACTTCCGGTCAAGATACCGAATATATGATGCGCTAGCGACATATTGAAGAATTCACGTTATCTCAATTCTTCAGACATAATCGTACTCAGGGTACTCCGTACTATGCGGTAATCCAACCCCAATCGACCCCGCACGATCGTCCGTCTTATCGATACGCACCTCCTCGATATCATCCACACAATCAACCAACCCCTCCTCCAGTGCAACCCCCAAGCAAGGAGAAAGAAATGCGCCCCTCAACTCCCCGCCCTCCAGTGACAGGCCCAGACTCTGGCCCTGAGGCTCCTTTTCCTATTCGTCTATCTGGACCCGTGATCAAGGGTTTTGGACGCGGGAGTAAAGAGGTACGTCTGTCTATTTACTCCCCGCTGTTTTGCCTTGGAAAAAGAAACAAGCTAACCATCTTGCCGCAATTAGCTTGGTATCCCAACAGCGAACATCCCGATCGATGGACTGGAAGACGTTCTTCCCAAGGAGCTGGGTGTGGGCGTCTACTATGGGGTTGTTGCGCTGGACCCGGCTACAGCGCCGTCACCAGAGTCTACCGGGGATGAGGCACCAATCCTCCCTGCTGTTCTGAGCATAGGATACAACCCCTACTACAAGAATAAGACGCGCTCGATAGTGCGTATCTCTATACACCGAGACCAAGACCACTGCTAACGGCGTAACAGGAAATCCACATCATGCCCTCCTTAACACTCCCCTCTCCGACGGCATCCAGCGAAGAGAAGGAAAAGGTCAAGTTCCACAAACTCCCCGACTTCTACGGCACGAAGCTCAATTTGCTGATGCTGGGGTACATCCGGCCGGAGTACGACTACGTGTCGATGGATGCCTTGGTTGAGGATATCCGTATTGATTGCGAGGTCGCCAGGGCGAGTCTGCTTCGCGCTGCTTACCGGGCTTATCTGGATGGAGAGGGCGGCGAGGATGTCAGCGCGCAGAGGGACTGGCTGCGGTCTTTCTGAATCTAAATCATTTTCCAGCGTGCCATCGTTTGTGTGCACATCAGGCCGGACTCTGAAGTACGCAAGTCCGGGCAGCTTACGGCTTTTAGCCTTTGGGTTGAGTATGATTTTTTTTTTTTGCGAGATGGTGTGTATATGTTCGGTCTTCGTATATTTTTCGGATCTCATCATGATAGAATTATAGACAAATTGCCGAGTCATCCTTATTCCTTTCTGTGGATATGGTCATCCCTTGCCAGGCCATAGTAGCGGAGTCAACCCTATCATGCAATGGAAAACTATCCTAGCGTAGAAAGGGGATGAAGATAATTTTATTGCAACCCAGGATGCTAATTTTGTTCCTGTTTATTGGCTAGCACAGCTAGCAGAGGCCGGAGTTCGCCCAAGTGTAACGGACATCTAGTGTGTAGGTATATTCAAATAGTATACATCTGGCGTAGAATAGGACAACCGCCTTTATCTCTTCACCTCCAAGGCAAGAAAGAGGCTGCCTGCGATACCCAGAGTGCCCAGAGTGCCCAGAGTGCCCAGAGTGCCCAGAAGACGACTCCCCACCGCGATGGAGCTGGGTATATGACGTCGCTTTGGCGCAGTGGCTATAAAAGCCAAAACAGCCCTGCACCCGGTAGGGCTGAAGGATGAAAAAGGTACGGACGGCAGCCGACACCGATCTTCGTTTTGCCCCGGTCCAATTGGATTATTCGCCTTGCAAAGGATGTCCAAACTATTCCACCACCTCCGTCGGCGCAGCTCTGCGCATCGCCCGAGCCCTCCCACCCCGCGCAGGCTCTACGTCACCTCCGACTCACCTACTTTCGACAGTGCTTCCCTTCGCCGGCTAGAGACTGAGGGGTTCACGGTTGAATATGTGCCCTTTCGCGCAGACAGCGGCGACATCGATCGGGACAGGAGAGAGTTGGAGAGGGTGATCCACGATCGGGAAGATGATCTTGAGCCTGGGGAGAGATACGCGGTTATGGGTATGTCTTCGGCTAATCTAGGTATATATTCTGCAAATAAGCGTATTGATTGATCGAGTAGCGTACAATCGCCCCGCCTATCTTCTTTGGCTTTCGCATCACCAACAAACAAGCACAAACCCCTTCCCTCGTCTGTGCGCGTTGATTGCATTCTACCCGGACGCTCCGGACTCTGCGTCGATGGACTCATCGGAACCAGCACGCCTTCCGCCGTCAACAACCGCGGCAACAACCTCGACGTCTTTGGCGTTTCAGAACGACCCGACTCTTGCCATTCAGATCCACCTCGCCGGATCGCAGAATGAGAGCTTCGCCATGTGGGACGACAGCAACAAGCGGCACCGCTGCCATATACTCTTCTACCCGGAGTCCAAACCGGGCTTCGCAGAGTCCACTGTATCACCGACGTATGACAGGACTAGCTCACGGTTGGCATGGAGCCGAGCGCTGAACTGTTTGAAGCGCGGTTTTGGATGGCCTGGTGGTGGAGGTGATTGGGGAGCGCCGGATCCGGAACTAGTCTGGGAAGGCTACTGGAGGAATATTCACGAGACCGCGAAGAACCCCTTCTCTACCTCGTCGCCAGATATGCTTGGGCTGATGGTGGGCGGGGGTACTGGGAATCCCGACTTTGATGACCGGACGTGTGTGAATTGTGTCCCTTCTGGTGCTGGAGGTCGTAAACCTCAATTCTTTGAGAATCATGCGTAAGCTAACGAACATGAATAGGGTCGTCGCCATCCGAGATCACGACGTTTTACTCCACGCAGTTCGTCCCGGCTGGCCCGCCTTCCCAACGGATCCGGCTGCTTTCTCGCACTTCGGGTGCGGACCGCGTGGTGGACGAGCTTTTGCTCACTTTTGAGCACACGGAGGAGATACCCTGGCTGCTGCCTGGTGTGCCACCAACTGGGCGCTCTGTTCGCATTCCCCTCATTATGACTGTTAGCTTTCTGGGTGGAAAGATCGCCAACCACAACATGTACTGGGATCAAGCAAGCGTGCTGGTGCAGATCGGCCTTTTAGACCCGACTCTTATCCCGTCAGGTTTCAAGACAACCGGACCAAATCGTGAGGGGAAAGACAGCATTGAGCGAATGCCCGTCGTAGGAGAAGAAGCGGCCAATAGTGTTCTTATATAACTGAATAGAGGAATCATGTTGAATAATTGCAGACTCATGGCGCAATATCCTTGAGTCTTGGCTGTAATTGTGCAAGCTCTTTACTCACACCCCCGGCACTTTTGAGAGTCAAAAGACTTGCCTCTTGCGCAAATGAAAGCAGATCTTCAATTCTCCCGTGTCCGGCGGCAAGGCCAGAGATAACAGCACCAAGCAAAGTATCTCCAGCGCCATTAGCGCTGATAATGGCCTCGTCGGCTAACTTCGCAGCCGGCGGGAACAACCGCATGTACACGCCTCCAGTGACACCATCAGTGGATGTGGCGCGGGAGAGGATATAGGGGCTGTATTCTGGATCTGTCAGACGAGCATCTCCTGGTTTCAGCAGCTGGGTAAGCAGCGCTCCTCTGGCGCCCAACTTCGTGATTATGCAGGGAAGAAATGGAAGAAGCTGGATGCTCTGCTGGGGTATGCCTGCGTCAACGAGCGCGGCTGATGTCATTGCAACCAGCCGTTCTCTCGAGCCTGACGATGACATTCCCAGCGAATCAATAACGCGCCACCAACCGGTCGAATCGAAGAGGCCATTTTCCCGGGCAGCCGTGTACATGGCCGCAAGCTCGAACTCATTCGGCGCCGCGAGGCTCACAGTGTTGTTCGGAACACATGCGGATTCGCCCACAGCTGCTTCCATTTCAGGGGTTTTCTTGAAAAGGAACTGAGATTTGGCAGCTGAGACGGGCTCAAAAGCAACTCGCGCACTGTGCTTGTTCGCCACTGCAACCCACTTGGAAAGCAATTCTGGACTCCAGTTGGCATCCACAACCACCCACTTTGGTTTCGTGTGCGAGACGACTGGCTCCCAGAAGCCATCAAAGTCGAATGTCTCTGCGGGAAGCTGCAGAATACCCATATCGGCCATGGCCACATGAAGATCCCGAGTCGCGTCGTTTACTGCAACGTATTGTGCTGTACGTGCTCTCGACGTCGCTGGTAGCACCTTGACGCCGCTAGTGGACAGCCCTTCTTGCTGCAGAGATGCCAGGGCTGCGCGGCCGCTCAAATCATCACCAACCACGCTGCAAAACATGACAGAGCAGCCTAAAGACTTTGAGGCAAAGGCGACATTGTGGCCAACTCCGCCAAGGCTTTGTTCAATGACGGCAGGATTGGACGTCCGTAGGGCGGGTATGGTCTGTCCGGCTGCAGGAACATAGTCGCATGCGAGATCTATCGCTAAAGATCCCGCAACTAGGATATCTGCCCTTTCTACTGGCTCAGTTCTTGGAGGCAGTTTCGATTTAGTCTCTGAAGTAGCCTGGTCAGCCCTACTGATCGGTAGAGTCGCTGGCATATGTCTACGCAGGGACAATCGATATTAGGACATCCCGCTCCATTCAAGGCTATAGATGACTCACTGTTCGCTAGAAATCGTGGACTGTTCTAATTTCGAGAGCTCCACGGCAACCCGCGCTGCACGCTTGACGTTCGCTTCAACTAGGGCCCGGTTGGCTGCCACCGATCTCCCGCCGCTGAGTTCCTTGATCTTGGCCAAGATGTAGGGCGTGTTGTCACTTCCGTGGTGACCTTCCACTTCAGCAAGGTGGACGGCTTCGTTGATGGCGGCGTCAATCTCGCCCTGGGGAATTGAATGCTCCACCGGAACTGGGTTAGCAAACAACATTCCCGACGAGATAGGTAGTCTCGATTGCGCATCTGCGGATTGTTAGCAAACATGACTACGCGGGGATTCTCACGCTTACAGATGATTCCAGCTGCTTCTGCTTCGTTTTCAATGACCTTGGGGCTTTTAATGCCACTGTCGCGGCTGAAGAATGCGGGGATATCAACAGGGCCCTGGCGACCATCTGCAAAAGTGCCAACACAGACGCCTTCCGTTTCAAGGTATTCAAGCGTCCTAGGAATGTCCAAGAAGCTTTTACAGCCGGAGCTAATTACAGCTACGGGGGTCCGTCCGAGCTCGGTCAAATCAGCTGATAATGTTAGCTCACGCCGTCTCAATACTTGATTGGTATACCTGATATATCCATTGATGACTCTGCACCGCGATGTACGCCACCTGATGATGTTAGTTTGGTAGAAGTGCAGATATTGAGTAAGTCTCACCAAGACCACCTGTACCGAATACCTTGATCCCCGCTAGATGCGCAAGGACCATTGTGCCGGACACTGTGGTACCGCCATAGAGCGGCTTACCAGCCACGCCCTGGAATCGTTAGCCGACTCTCCGAGTCAATGGGACAGTAAACTCACCAGACCGCAAATGTAGCCAAGATCCCGACGAGACACTTTCAGGGCGTCTTTCTTCTCCGCTCTCGATGCTAGCTCGATAAGTTCATCGGCAGCAAGGCCGACGCGAGCAACGCCTCTTACGACACCAATTGTAGCAGGCACAGCTCCGTTCGCACGAACAACGGTTTCTAGCAACGATGCGAGAGCTACACTCTCCGGATACGGGAAGCCTGCACCTATTAGATAAGCTTTATATAGGCGTCGAGCGACGTACCATGTGTATATATTGTGGATTCTAGAGCAACAACGGGCTTCCCCGTAGCTACTGCATCCCGAACCTCTTCTGAAACGCGGAAGAACTTGCTCTGAGCAAAGCTATGGTTCTGTCGGGCAAGGCGAGCGATGCCGGTTGCTCGCAATTGCGGTGTTCTGTAAAAGTGCCGGCTATGCGACGCTCTAAGTGCAAACATAATGACGGAAGCAAAACGACAACAGCTAAAGTCACAGAACAGCAAGCTGGAGAGGAGCGGAGTGAGGGGAAGAAGAGGAGCGGAGCCGCGTAACGTAATTTGGCCGCGGCGGTCGCCGTACTCGGACTCTCCATCGGGAGTTCGGGACACCTCAGCATCACGCCGACTCGTCGACCTCTCCTCCCTCTGTCTGACCCCCCGTCTTTCTTTATCTCGACCTCTTCCCCTGGCGAGAACCGTTCAGCTCGTCAGCGCTGGATGCACAATGAGGTCGTTTACTACCGTTGTCACCGCGTTCTGCGGGCTTGTCCTGTCCAGTAGCTCTATAGTTTCCGCGAAACCCACCTCCGAGTCCAATCTGCTTCCCGCCGATTTCAAGCCTCCTCAAGTCTTCAAGAATGTGAATCTGGTTCGGAGTACGAACCTTGAGAAAAGCTACGCCCGTGAGACTATCAACGTGGTGGTCGAAAATGTTGATAAACAGCCCCAGAGCGAGTACTATCTGTCCTTCCCTTCGGACGTCTTCGAGCGGGTCGGAGGTCTAGAAGTCCGCAACAAAAAGCATGCAGAGAAGGGGAGGCTTGATGTGGAAGCTGCAGAGGTTGATGCTGCCAGGTAAGTCCATTGTGGATTGCAGTAACCACATGGCCTTAAGATTAATTCGCGCTGTTTAGTGACTTCCAATACTTCATCGTCCACCTGCCTGAACCTCTGGCTCCTTCGTCACAACTCACCCTTGGAATCTCGTACTCCCTTCTCAACTCCCTCCAACCGCGTCCGGCTGCCATTGAGCAGTCAGATCGCCAGTTCCTGACTTACTCCTTCTCCGCATACGTGCCATCCGCTTATCAGACGGTGTCACAAAAAACCAAAGTCAAGTTCCCAAGCGCAAACATCCCCGACTACACAACCACGGATCTCAAGACTGGTGCGGACCCGGAACGTCAGGGCACTACCTACACTTATGGACCTTACGACACTGTCAAGGTCGCGCCAGGCACATCCTACGCCATCACGGTCCGATATGAGTTCACGAAGCCCGTGATTACAGCCTCATTGCTGGAACGGGATCTAGAGGTGTCCCACTGGGGTGGAAACTTGGCTACTGAGGAGCGCTACTGGCTTCGCAACAACGGCTCCAAGCTACTTACCCAGTTCTCCCGCGTGGACTACACTGTCGCCAATTACCAGCAGTCTCCCTCCACTGCCATCAAGGAGCTCAAGTACCCTTTAAAGCCAGGCTCAGTGGACCCTTACTTTATTGACGATATTGGGAATGTCTCTACGAGCCGCTACCGTCCCGGACTGAAAAACCGTGAAGCCAACCTTGAGTTTAAGCCCCGGTACCCTGTTTTCGGCGGTTGGAACTATAGCTTCCGTCTTGGGTGGAATAATGACCTCTCGTCCTTTTTGCGTCGGGCGGTTTCTAGCGATGATTCCTACATTCTCAAGGTTCCGTTCTTGGAGGGACCTAAGATGGGTGAGGGTATTCAGTACGAGAAGGTAGTCTTGCGTGTCGTCCTGCCTGAGGGCGCCAGGAATGTGCGCTACGAGACTGTGGAAGGTTCCTCTAGCAACGGATTGCCCAGCGCAAGCCAGATCCAAGCCTCTCTATCTACTCACAAAACCTTCATGGATACGCTTGGTCGTACCGCTCTGACTTTAACCGTGGAGAGCCTCACCGACGAAGCTCGCGATTCTCAGCTCGTGGTAAGAACTCCAACCTTTAGCCGTCACGGACTGCAGCAGTCACTTACTTGGGAACAGGTTACCTACGATTACTCCTTTTGGGATGGAATGCGAAAGCCCATCACCATTACAATCGGGCTATTCAGCGTCTTTGCGGCCGCATGGGCCATCACGAACATCGATGTGAGCATCAAGAAGCGATAGTGTATCTCTAGTATATGCATTGCCATTCGTCTCTTTTATATCAGACAACTATTCCAGAAGATAGAAAAATCGTATTATACACAAGACATGTAAGACGCGGGCCTTGATCGTGAAGCACAGTGTAAAACAAAGATGGTAGCAGGCCACGTTTAAGGCCAGTATCTAGATGCGGATAATGAACAGTATCAGGAACGTAAGACTTATATAAGAACCTCCGATCTCTCCTTTCGAATGATGAAGAAAAGGTAGAGAAGCAATCTTGACGGCCTCCCCCACCAGACCATAAAAGAAGTGCTAAGAGAGCTGAGATCATCTCAACGCCAGAACTCCGCGCAGAACATCCCCAAAGCAAAAGAATCCGCCATAACCTGAAGGAAGGATAAAAGGGTGCTACTCCTCAAATTTCCTTTTCACCCCATTCCCATTTACATGCGGCGGAGCTGCCGGTCTCGCACTGGCACGTCTTCGCTCGTCGGCTTCAGCCTGTGCCCGTTTCTTCCAAGCCGTCTTGATACTCGGCGCCGCACGAATGAGGTCCTCCTCTGTGACACGGTCTTCAATACTTTGTAATACCTTGTCGACGGTTGTATAGTGGTTCGCGTCCGCCTTGTCATCACGAATCCGATGAAACCGCCAGCGACCAGACTGATCCTTGGAGCATTCAACGATAGCATCGTCCAACGGCATTTGCAGCGCCTTGAGGTCCTCCCATTCCGACGGGGTGACATACATCTCTCCGAAATGCTGGTACTGGTCATTATTATGCAAGACAAAGAGGTGGAAGATCGGGAGGGCGTCGTAGTCCGGGTAAGGCTCTGAGACGCCGTCCGCCTCGTCCTCTGAGTCTGGTTCGAGGACAGGGAATTCAAGACGGAGACGGAAGTCGATCGTGTTTTCGGAAGGCGGTTTCCACTTTAGGATGTGTTCGTCTGTGCCGTTGCGGTACGGGGTGCTGCGGCAGGTGAAGATGAGGCCGTCGTTGCCGTGGATTTTCTTCACCTTGGGGATGATCTCGCGGAACATCATCTCAATGCCGTAGCTAAACTGGGTGGATTTGTCTTCGACCACGAAAACGCGATGTTGCTTTTCCTGCGGATACTTCTCGTATAGCGCATTGTAGGGTTTGAGGACCTTCTCCTTAAAGTACGCGAGGCGTTTGTCGAGTGTGCGGTGCATGAGGCTCTGCCCGTCCAGCACGAGGCAGTCGAAGACAAGATACTTTAACTGCTGTGTGCCATCATCGTATGTATCATTGACAAGCTCGCCGTCCACAAGTGTCTCTGTGTGGAAGTCCTGGAAAGATTCATCTCCAGGCAGAGGAAAGTGCAAGTTGGGGACCCAGCGGTACTCGTTTTTGCGGTCGATCAAGTAGTGAATTTCGTGGTCATCGGTTTCGCCGCGCGCAAAATACATGAGACAGCGAATGCCGTCAGTCTTCTCGCACACAAAGTAGTCTTCACGATGGAGCTCGGTGAGGTGGTGTCGCGCGAAGCTGACCGGTTGGGCGCCGGGGAAGCTGAGGTTCTTGCGACCTAGTAGGTTTGCGACCTCTCTGCGAAATTGTTCAGCCAGCTCGGGCTCGGCTTTTAGGCCGATTTTGTCGAGATCGGGCACAGAGTTCCCCATCTTCCCCTTCGTTTCGTATAACTCCCTCGGAGCTGGCGATAGAGCTGGGATCGAGTGCGCGAAAGGACAAGTAAGGGTGGGAGTTGTCTTTAATCGTCCGCGGGCTCTTGCTCACTGGCCCGCAGGCACAGAGAGTTGATGTCGGTAACTGCAAAGGTAGGTGATAGTGAGGTGTGGGAAAGGAAATTCGTGAGTATCGCAAGTAAGCAGCGGGTTCCGTCGAAGTGCGATCCGTTGGAGAGTCTCTTTCATGGTCCTGTCTTTGGATCTTCATCGGCGAGATAAGAATTTGTTGCCTCAGGCAGAATACCTATGCGTAGTCTTGTACATGTAAGAACACACCAAATTAAAGAAACATACTCCATGCTCTCAGTTTGATATAATTGTGCGCCAATTTAAACAACAATAACTAGCTACTCGGGGTATCGCATTCTAAATCAGACAAAAAATTGAAACAGCCCAGTTCCAGGGAAGAATGACCACCAACGCCTGTTTCGATACCAGTTCGCCAACGGAATAGATAACCATCGCTCACATATGCTTCAGAAAAAGGATGAGAATCGCAGATACACCTGAGGAATCAACCACCTAAGACCCCGCTGCTACCGGAGTTTTCCTTGCAACGTCCAGCGTGGGTAGATTGGAATTGTTGCCGAGATCGTCCGGCACATCGGACATATCGATACTGATATCGTTTATCGGCTGAAAGAGGTTCCCCTCAACCGGACTGTTGACTTGATCCCCTGTCGAGAAGAGTCCTCCGCCGCGGGCGCCGCCGAGCGCATGCGAGAGCATCTCCTTGATCCGCACAAACTGGTACTTCTTCTTGGTAGATATCAGAGTATGTCTGACCAAGGGCTGCGGGTGTGAACGAGAAATCGCCGCCATGACCGCATCTTTCTCTTCATCTGAGTCGACAGGGCCGTTGTTCTCCAGGTCATCTTGGAGCGGCGCGTTCGCGTCAATAGCCGCCTCTGTATCGTAACCCACATTAGCATAGACATCCCCCAATACAGCTTAGGAAGAACATACTCTGCTGGCGAGCCTGGTTCTTCTTTTGATAAGCCTGAAGCAGCATATCATACGGCAAAGAGCGTCCAGGCACTGCACGCTTCGCACCCATAGAATGACTCTTGCAGGTCAACGACCTCGCACACTGAGCACCATTCGGTAAAGGCACACCACACTGCTTCTCAACATCAACAGGGCCCTTTGGCTTCGCGGCCTTGGGCTTCTGCTCCTCCTTTTTCTTTTTCTTCTTCGGCTCTTTATCCTTGTTCTCTTCGTCGCCCTCTGCCTTACGCTTCTTGCCCTTTTTCGTCCCATCCTCCGCCATCCCCTTGACAGCACTCTTCTTCGCACCCTTCTGCGCCTTCACGGACTCGTCCCCCTCACCAACTTTGTCGCCACCTGCACCCTCCTCGTCGCCTTCCTTCTCTCCAGCCTTGGCCCGATTAGTCGCGTCTCGAAGCTCTTTCCTCTTCCGCGCCTTCTCCTGCTTTGCCCTTATACATCCCCGGATATGGTCCGCGGCGTTCTGCTTGAGAACCGGCCTCTTGCATGTCTTGCAAACTACAGTTTCGAGATGGTCTTCCTCGCGCGGCTTTCCTGTTGGGAAGACAGACATCGTCTTCTCATCGATCTCCGGTAGAATGGGCGATGAACCGGGGGAGTTTGGTGGCTCTTTGTCTGGGACACAGTACGTCAATCAGTAGCTGTTGACCAGGTCGCGCTCGACCGGATCTCACCTTTCTTCTTCCCTAGCTTTCCCGGCTTCTTCAGCTTGATCTTTCCCGGCTTGGTATCCTTCTCGGAGAACTTGAATCCCGACGCATCGATAAAGCTTCCGGAGCCTGACGCGGCCAGCGATGCTATATAGTTCAAAGTAGTTAGCAAAATCTCGGAGTAAGCCCACGACGATAGTGATAGTGATGGATGAGGTTGCGGGAAGTCTGGGGTCGAAGCATACAGCGAGCGATATCGCCGTTGGGAGGCATAATCACGGTGCGATAGATCGAGCACTTGCTCGAGGAAGAGGGGCGGAATAAGATAACAGTAAGAACTAAGAAGTCAGCCCCAGTCCAGCGGACACAAAATTATTAGAGCTAACAATGAATATGGGGAGTTTTGAAGACAGTCTCTACTACCGTATGTCGTCGTTCAAGGACGGAGCCGCATCGGGGAGTGTCACGTGTTGCGCTAGGTGTTGACTGACCTTATTATTAATATTGAACTTGTTTTTGGTACAGTAAAACCTCGCTATATACGCCTGGAGGTGAATATAGCACCTACCGAAAAGGTGAGTGGTCTGGCTTTCGACGAAAGGGGTAGTCTTCGTATAGTATTGGTAATCATATTGAGAAGTAACAATTGAACCATATCCCAGTAGAACGTTCGTCATCATAATCTCGGTCATGAAATAGTAATAGTACTAAACAATAAATATGGTTTTATATCCAACAGGGCTATGATGGGAAAGTCTGTGGAGTTCCGGGACTTCAAGACTCGCGACAAATGCAGCACTATGCTCAAATCAAACAAACCGCAACACTTTTCCTTCACTTCAACACTCCCTTTCCCCAAGACGATCCAGCGTCGATCTAGGTTTGATGGTGTGCTCCGACATATATCCATCCTACTCTGTATCACCGAAGATGAGAGAAAAAAGGTAAAGAACTTTATACACGGGTAGAAGCCAAGACGGATTATAAGGTATGGGCAAAATTCAGCGCTGCAGAGACGTTAGTTCCTGGTTATGATCGCACAGCGGATATGAAAAACTTACACGTCCACGTCGCCCCCCAGACGGTTGTCCTTGGATAGGGGCCGCTTGAGAGTAGAACTGAGGGGGGTACTGATACATCTGGGCTGAGCCCATGACAGGACTAAATTGCTGAGGCGCGTAAGGCGACTGACTGAGCATAGGGCCTGAATTGATTTGGCCAGGTTGAGCTTGCATAGCCCGGAGGTTATCCGAGCCAGCAGGATATCCGTACGTAGAGTTACCCAAAGCAGGATAAAGACCTGGAGATACCCCCCGAGACTGGGCGGCCAGATACGCTTGGTACTGCATCTGCTGTTGCGCGAGAGGCACCATGGGGTCCTGGCCGAAGGTGGAGCCGTTAACGCCACCCATACCGTTCATAGCGTTCACTCCGTTAATAGGATAAGACTCAAATTGCATGTTATGAGGCTGTTCCGATGACATGGGCCGAGCGGACTCAAGATTTTGGCCCATGATAGGGTACTGCCCGCTATACTGCCTTTCAAGAGGTGGCTGCGACGGATAAGTAGCAGTCGTTTGCCGGGACGCAGGCCGATGCTGTTGTTTCTCAGAGCCTGAGGTGTTATCACGATGGTGATTGTCGCGGGAGCCGCCCCGCGAGGACATTCCAACCTCATCCATCAATCGTTTATAGCCCTGGCTTGGTGTAGCCTTGAGTTTAGTAAGCACTTTCGAGACATTTTTCACAACTTCCGGTCGCATTGACTCGTCAAAGCAAGGCGTTGTCAGAACCTTGAAAATCAAAGTGGCACCGGACGTCTGATCGCTTAGAATCTTTTCCAGCACTTCATCACCCGGACTGAAAAACAGAGCTTTTAGTACGATATTGCGCGCCTCAGGCTCGTTGCGCTGATTGATGACCTTGAGGACTGTCAAATAAGCAACTTTGTGCGTGCAGAGGTGCACAAGATGGGGAACCAGTCTTGGTGCTAACACGGTCCGTCGGCAAGGGAAAGTGCAGGTATCCAAGAACCATGTGAGCAATAAGGCACCGTTGGCATTAGTGGCAAGCTGCACGCTATGCAAGGCAATGGCTGCTGCCAGCATTCGCTGCTGGTCCTTCGTGGCATGGTGGCTTTCAAGACAAGCACGCATAGCGCGAGCTCCGAAACGACCCTGAGCAACTTCCCACATACGGCTCAACATGGTCTCGAAGACGAAATCATTAAACGGAGACCCAAATCTTAGGCAGCACTGGAGGACATAGTTGCCGTATTGGTCCAAGAAGAGAGGTAAGGTGTATGGCCGAAGAGCATCCACGATCATCCGCATCTGCGTTGGCGTTTTCGCGACATCGATGATCTTTTGCGCTGCCCAGGTACCGTTCTTGTGTACACCAATCTCACCGAGATGAGGTGCAATTGGAACAAGCATTCGTTCTTTCGTAGGCTCGGAAGAGTATTCGAACAGTTTCTGAACAACGGTGTTGCCTAGATAATCGGAAGCAAGCTCGGCAATCTCGGGAAGCATTGCGATCGCGGTTTCCTCAATTTCTTGTATTGAACAATTCCCATTATCGATCCTCTTACGGATGTCGCGAAGACGAGGGGCATCAAACATTCTGGTTTGATTGGGCTCAGGAATGGACGGTATTTCGTCGTTAAAACATTGGAAGGAAATTGCTTGTTGGATACTGGCATTGATCTTCATGGTGTCGTCCTCCGTTGCACCGAATTCCTTGACAATATGCACCATTTCGGGCTGAAGCTCAGGAAGAGCGGGCAGCTGAGGAACAGTTGAACCGCTGCTGAGTTTGTCCGCGTCAGGAGCGGATGACTTTGAGTTTGGATCAGGAGTAGGGGAAGACTGGGCACCGTTGACTCCAGGTGTGCCAGCGTTGGACGATCCGGGTACCTTGGCATATCCAATTCGGACAGCGCCAGCACCGGGGAAGATTTCCTTTCCATTCAGCAGCGACCTGGCCTGAATAGCGCTCTCGATGCGCTCAAAGTTGACAAAACCACAATTTTTATGGGTTAGTACACGGGTGGATTCGATCTTTCCATACATGCTGAAAATGGCTTCCAGGGAAGTGACGGTAGTCGAAACGGGAATACTGCCTATCCACAGCGCCCTAGTTGGGCCATCCTGGTTAGCCTCGTCCACTTCCGCAGTAGAGCGCAGACCGATGTTGGCGCCACCGGCTCCGCCTAGGTGCAACATCTGAACGGCCTCCGTCAACTCATCATATTCACCAGTTTCAGCGATGTTCAAATCGGCCGCGCTGAAACTGTTCTCGAGGCGGGAAGGGGTTGCAAGATAGTTGCGAATGGAAGATCGCTGAGGGGGTGCTTCGAGGATACCTGCAGTCCTTGCGCGTGGGCGATTGGCTGTCGCGTGGTTTGCAAAAGCTTGCACAGCGAGGTTATGCTGATGAATCTGCGCTTGGGTTGCAGCCAGCTGGGCGGCCGTAGCAGCTGCGGACGGTGTAATGGCCCCTGAGGGCAGTTGAGAATAGCGACTTTCGCACTCAAGCTCCTCGTCATCAGCATACTTTTCCTTTGCGTTAACCGAGTAAGAGCGGATTCGACTATTATTTTTGATCATCGCGAGCTCAGCAAGAAGTGGGGGAAGCGAAGATGTCTGCTGTTGCTGTTGCTGCTGCTGCTGGAGCAGAACATCAACGGACGGTCGTACAAAATTGGTCCGAGCTTGCTGCGGGGTTTCTGCGAGTCCAAGGTAGTCCAAGGTCTTCACGTCGCTATCTGTGAGTCCATCGCGCGAAAAGGATGATTGACTGGGTGAGGTTGGTCCCTCGGAAGATCTAATGCTAGTAAGGGTTGTCGCGCGATCACGCCCAGTAGCCCAGCTTGTCGAGAATAAAGACGGACCGAACGGCCCTGCAGATCCCAGGATATTGGTCCGCTGCGGCATTGAGCCGGCCCGAAGACGAGAGAGACTGCCTGTACCACTACCGCCACCACCCAAAGTTGTCGGAGGTTTGACGCTCGTATCGATTCCGCTGACACCGGTAGGTCGGAAGGGACTAGTAGACGGTGTGGGCCGGGAAGATTGAGATTGAGACATGAAAGGCTGTTGAAGATTCGCCTCGTTGAGAACACCGACTGGCGAGAACCGAGAGGGAACCGTGCCAGCTCGCGTTCTCCGCGCGGGCCCATTCATTGCACCGCTTGTAGAAGGCACCAGGTCAGGAAATCCCTCCTGGCTGGGTGACTCGGGGATGTTTTCGCGCAGGGGAGTAGAATGGCCGCTCGTTGGAGGGCCCCAAAACGGAGAGACACCTTCTTCCGCTTGTATCTCGCGTGCACTGTTTTGGCGAGCCAACACGTCAATAATGGACCTCTATGCTTGGAGTCTGCTTGAGATCACCTACCGCTTTGAGTACAACCGGGCACCAAGTTCATGAGAAGGGGATCCAGCCCCTAATCTTGCACTTCCTATCGAGCCTGTAGCACCATTGAGACTGTTTGACGACACGAAGGGCGGCCTTATGGGAGCGTTCGCGGACGGGTCGCTGGGAGAGCTGCGACCAGTAGAAGTCCCAGACATGGGCTGGGTGGTAGGGATATAATTGAGGCTCATGTGACCCTCGGGTCGCGACACAGGTAGCATCATGAACTTGTCCTTCCGTCCCAAGACTAAATCCTGTCCAAATAGATGTTGCAGATCTGTGCTATGCTGTGACAAAATGTGTAATATCCGGTACGATCAATATCTCATCCCAGGATAACCATACGTTCGAGGCTAATATTTCGGAAAGCGACGGGTGTAAACGACCAATGTAATGAAGGATGTCTTATTTTGCGTATGTCATCAGGTGGATGCTGTATCCAAATCTTTGCGAGATTCAGGCAGTGAGCGCAACGGCGGGGTTGACCGGATGAGTGGCTCCAGTGGATACGTAAGCTCGAATGATGCTGGAGTTCAGGAAGAGAGAGGAATTGGATGAGCAGGGCGCCGGGATTCGTTCGGAGGCGTAGAGATCGATAACAATCACGATGAATAAGACTGCTGGCTCGTAATGGAATCTGCCTGGTACCGGAAATGCACCAGTGTACTAAATTGCCGGGCGAGGGGTTTACCGTGGATGTGTAACGGCTCGCTAGAAGAAAAGAATGAGATACGCAATGAATCGTCGAGGCAACAGTTCAAGAGAGAGAGAGGCAAGAAAGGATAGAAGCGAGAACACGATGCAAGGCCCGGCTCGCTGGTGGCTGGAAATTAGCAGGCAGCTCAGGGCAGAAGCCGAAAAGTGGAACGGCGGGCTATGGAGAAGGATCGGGAGATGACGTGACTAGAAGATACAATATGAAAGAAGTATGGGAGAGAAGAAAGAGGAAGAGATGGGGAGAGAGCAGAGAGAGGTTGGAAGAGGACAGACGGAGAAAAGACTTTCGAGTAGGCGGTTGCAGGCCACTCTGACCTGGAGCTCCCGCTGCTTTGGTTGGTCCGTTCTTCGTCTATTGAACGTTGGAAGCCTCGACCTCGACCACTTATAACTTGTGATTATTACTCCGTACTCTGAAGCTCTTGACAGGAAAACTGATTCAAGGCAACAATGCTGCGAATGCATGTCTCTGTGGTCTACGGAGTATGGATAACATCCATTGCATTGTGACTTCCTACCGGCATTTTACTGCGCGCTGATGCTATTATCTTTCTCCGTATCCCGTGCATTGCTTCTGAAGGGGTTTCATGAGTCCAGTCACTCAACTCCCGAATCCACGAACTCTAGAATCTAGATCCTGTGCGGCTACAATGTGTTTCAAGCGACGATCCAAGATGTCAGTGGAGTTTATTAAGTGGCCTCCCTTGCTCCAACTTCCAAGGCTCCGAGACTCGAACAACAGCTTCGATGCTGCGTTTGCACTAACCGGAGACACGGAACACTCCGTTTTGAGGAATTGTCTTATTCCGTTGGATTGTGGGTAGTACTCGAGGTCAATTTTACGGCTGGTACCTGATCTTATCTGACATGAAATTCAGACTGGAATGTGACAGGGGTAATCTTTCCCAAACTCGCCCTTCAGGAACCAGCCCCTTTCCCACCTTTGTTAACTGATAGAAGTGCCAACTGCCAATGACGAGACATCATGAGAAGAACCGCCGGCAGGGATTCTGAAACAGGGAGTGATCTGAAAACCAGCCCTGTTTGGATGCTTGACACTCTGAAACACCCTCGACCCCGCATTCCAACCACTGCCGAGTCCATCGACCACCGAGTCATCCCGAGCACGCTGGACTCTGAGAAGCGCGTATTTCATCGGATGCCGATGAGTAGTACTGCGTATCACGCGTTGATGCTCTTGAAGATATATATTATGTTTATATATAAATTTGTAGAGTGAAAGTATGTCAGGGAATATTACCTGGGCCCCTCTCAGAGTCTCAATCGCCCCACCTGGAATATGCTAGGTAGGCGGCACCCTTTACTAACAGAAGGAGATGAAGAATAAGATTGCTACGCACGTCAAATAGAGAGAGAAATAATAAGCACTACTAAGACATCGGGACGGAGTAAGTGATGATGCATTCTAAATTCTCCGGGCACCCTTGGCTAGGGCAGCTATAAGCGCGCCAGCGGGGATATGGTACTACTCCGTAGCAAGAGGAAGCATCAGTATCAAACATCATTGCGCTTGAGTAGATGCGGAGTACACAGCTCGGATGCGTACTGACGGATCTACACCCTCTGGCCTGCGCGGAAACTTATGGTGCACGTATCCGTACTACTCAGATATGCAGATTGCCTTGGGCAGTATTTAGCCTATCTGACACCTGAGGCTCCAAATAAACCTGCGCGTCTTATCTACACCGCCTTCAAAGCTCCCATCGCCGAAATAAAGTATGGGCGGCTCCCTTCATCCCGAATCATTCTACTACCTGTTATCGCTTGTCGTCAGATATTGGCACATTCATGACTTTTAGGTGGAGTTAGGTCAACGGTTTGACCAATCACAATCTTTATACACGCGTCTTGAATGTGAGCCATCGGGTCTCCCAATTATCTGTGTCCGAACGCTCGCATCGATTTGTCTCGAAAACTAAAATGTTGCATGATGATGAAAGGTCCTCATCGGAAGATGAAGCTCCTGTGCAATCGCTCATTCAGGGGCGTGAGAAGCGAAGCACAGCGGGTCGGCAAATGTCCGCTCTCCTGGATGCAGAAGCAGATGATGAACTGGCACTATTGTTTGAAGAAGTGGATGACGATAATGAGTTCGCCGCCGATGCCGTGGAGGAAGGGGGCGAGGAGGACGAAATGGGTCTGGACTCTTCTTCCGACGATGAGGATGATCAGGGACCTAATGCTCAGGCGGATGACTTTGAAGGGGAACGACAGATTGAGAAGGAGGAGAAAGAAGAGAAGAAAAAGAAAAGAGCCCGCGAAGACCTTCGGTACAGGATCACAAGCAAGAAGGTGAAGATCGACCCCACCGCAGCTCCCAAGGCGCCAACGACCCCTGCTCCTCGCCCAAGAAAGAAGTCTGAGCGAGTTTCATGGATTCCTACGCTTGACGAGGGCCCTACGCGATCTTCCTCCCGTCGGCAAACTATGCAGAACAAGGAACTCACGCACGCCCGGTTGAAGGATAGCGAGGAGAAGCGTATTCGTCTTATTGCTACAATGGAGGAAGCCGCTAAACGGAAGGCCAAGCACAAGCCGAAGGAAATGACACAGGCCGAACGTCTTGCTGAAGCTGAGAGGGTGGAGCGGCACAACAGCAAAAGCCTCAATCGATGGGAGGAAATGGAAAAGAGAAAAGCTGAGGAGAGGCGAGCCAAGATCGAAGCACTTCAAAACCGCCGTCTCGAAGGCCCCGTTATCTCCTACTGGAGTGGTGTTGCTACCTGGGCAGATGGTCGGTTGACCCGCGTCGGCAAAGTGGCAATTACGCCAAAGCCGGAGAAAGATGATAGTGGGCGCAAAAAGAGCAAGAAGGCGGACAAAGAAGGGAAAGCCGAAACAGAGCAGAAGCCAGGCAGTACTGCTGAGCCCAGTACATCGCTGGTTGTTCCGGTTGCCATACCAGAGATACAGGGGCCCCCGGAACCCAAGCAAGACGACCAACCTCTACCGGCCACGGATGCTAGTCAAGCCGCTGGGGTCCCCCAAGCTGAAGCTTCTATAACGCCTCAAGCCACTGTTTCTCTAAACCAAGCTTCGGGGGCGCCTTTGTCAGCCGCACCTAGCACAATTAAACCTATGCCTTGCACCGTTAAGCCTATCTCAGAACTGGATAACCCTGCTGGTGAGCAGTCGGCAAAAGCGAATGATGAGGGGACGACGCAAGAGTTTCTCGACCGTCCAACAAGCCCTGCTTCTCCAGTAGCGGCAGTGGCACCGGAAGATACCAATACCCCCACAACTGATTTATCTAAAGCAGAAGAGAAGACCAATGATGAGATGCAACAGCCGGCTAGCGAACAATCACCGACCACTCAGTTAGATCCTGGGCATTCTCCCGCTGTGTCTACGTCTCATACTCCTGTCACTACCCAACCGGTCGAACAGGGAAGCGCGGAGGGCCTTATGGAAATTGACCATAAAGCCGACATTCATGTAGACGAAACAAATCCTACAGCTGCGGAATCGCAATCCGTGGCTCCTCCCGCAGTCATTGAGCACACGGGGCGATGTCTCACTGTGCTGGAGAATTTTGACGACAAAACCGCTCAAAGTAGAGATTTCAGTATCTACTTCAACGCAAAGAAACCTCCTAGGCTTACAAGTAAGTGTATTGTCATCAGTTCGCTCTAACCGCTACTAATGTGCAAACAGAAATCTCATCCTCACTGTGCGTTATCACATCTCTCCCATCCCGCTACCGAGACCCGGATACATCCCTCCCCTTCGCAAACTCCTACGCGTATCATGAAATCCGCCATACCGCCGCCCAAAAGTACTCATGGAGCCCCATGCTCGGTTGTTACGTTGGACCTGCCGGAATTGCTGCACGCGGTGTGCCCGACAGGTTTCTAGACCCTAATGCAAAAAAGACCACAAAAAAGCTCAGTGGATCTGGTGCCCAGTCCAGTGTGCCCGATAAGGAGAGGACTGCAAAACAGGTCGGCGATGATACCCCGACCACAGCCACGACCGCAAAAACGTCTACGCCCGCGTTGGCTACTGCGCCTCTGCCTCCACCTCCACCTGCGCCTGCACCAACAGCCACGGCTCCTTCTCTTGCGCCAATACCTACCACAGCAGGCGCAGGTGATGCGATGGATGTCGATAAATGATGACTAGAACTGATCATGACCTTTTATGATGTACAGTACCGCTATGATACCCTTGGGATAAATCAGTCTGTTTTCTTGGATCAAACTGGTCAGTGGAAATCATTCGTAAGACGAGGCGCAATCGTCCTTGACTTTACGTTCGATTGTGTATCTTTTGTAAGAGCATCTATACACCCTAGTACAATGGCTATTTCACCCCAACAGACTTCTGGCTCTTAATTGGAGAAACTGTAGTATCACGGTTTCTCCAGCTCGGAGGAGAAGACGACTAAATTAGTATCCCGATCACGATCTACGCTCGCGGCTCATCGCTCGTGGGCCCGTGGCTTGTGGTGCTCTCGCCAGAATACGCGCTCTCTATTCTTCAACCGAGAACTTGATTGCGCTCTCACTCCCAATTTGAGCGCATCACTCACCCACGGGGCCATTCTTTACCTGGCTCAGCAGCACAATTATCTCTCGTAAAACATACAAGCGCGGAAAGCCAGTGCTTTGCATATCTCGTAGATATGGTATCACAGCGCCGACGCAGAATCGAGTTGCGGAAGCTGACGTTCTTGATGGCCTCATTCATATCAGTAGTTACGCTATCTGATGTGCTATCTTGCGTCATAGCCAGTGTAAGTTACTGTCAGGCCGAGGCAGAATTGAGTTGCGGAAGTTGACGGGCAGCAAGTAGGGTTACATTTAGATGGGTTGTTCCAAGGCAAGCAATTATCGAAGCGGCATCCAATGAATCGGATAGCACCCTATATGAAGCGAGTGCATGAAACCTGCTGCTGCCTGCCTCACTGTTCTGAATGGTCAAAATGCTTTTTCCAGCGTCAGCAGGGCGCATCGTCAAGTTAAGATCTTCTCATGCTCACGAGGCAGCGCCGAGTCATTGGTACAGTCAACCCCCGCTATGTGATTGAATGTCTGGGCGTTTGTGGAGCAAGAGCTTCTGAATGTTTCGGCTTCATCATCGACAGTTCGATGCCCCACTGCTGATTCTTCAGTGAGCTTTCGACTTTTGGTCTTGTCGCATTCGATTATGTGTCGTTTCTTTCTTTAGAATGGGTCTTCGTCGTGTCTGTTACAAGTAGAAGAGCTTCTGAAAAGAATGTGGGGTGTGAAGCCGATTGTCGCCATCCTTGGTTTTTACATGAGCACCCCGGGTGTCACATCTCATCCTTGGGATTCCTCAAGGCACACGCGTTGACGGCATTCTTGAGCGGTATGAGGCAAAGTAGTGCGAACAGCGAGAGTCCATGTAAACTACCAAGGATGGCGACGATCGGCTACCGTAGTCTCCCACGTTGCTTTTCCATGCAGCCAAGGAGAGTCTGCAAAGCACTGGCTTTCCGCACTCGTCAGGTGCCTCCTCCAGCTAGGGTTGTACAATTTCCCGTCAATTGTACAGACTAGATCGATCATACAACCATTAGCAATTGCCTATACCCTCTGGCCTGCAGCGTTTGCACTAACCGAAGACATGGAACAGCATCTAGAGTCATGGACTGGAAATCTGCCCGCTCTATAATTAGGATATGTCGATTTCGAATTGGTGCCTGACTGCCTGAGCCTGAGGCCACCCGTGGCCGGAATCGTCACCCCGAGGCAGGTGCTTTCGGCAGCCATCCACATTCAACAACACCCTGCCGGGTTCTAGAACCTCGCTCGACATCCACTCCATACATAGTTCATGCTCATCGTCACTCGCTCGCTATTTAAATTCTCATTTACTCCTCCACACTCTCTTTGGCATCAGATACCCCCCGCTCTCTTTTATTCTAGTTCTAGTGCCTAGTGCCTAGCACTCTCTCGCCATCCTGCCTCTCAATCACTACATACAATAAACCTCCGAGCGATTTTACTCAGCTGCTGTGCAAGACCAATAATCCCGCAAACTACGTCAGCCTGGTCAGGGACATATCCAGCCCTTGCACGACTGAAGAGAAACAAGAGGCAAACCAGGTAAAAATAACTCCAGCTGTACCCTATCTCTGTATCTCGTCCTTATCTCAGCCAATGGCAGAGCTGACCTCTGGGTTTCACAGTTAAAAGCTTATCATCGCTTTATCGCCGTGAACGCACGGCTTGCTGTACATTTGGCTCCAGTTGTCTTTGGAATTTCCCGCATTCATCCTCCTCAACATTCCTCATATTCCAGCATCAAGCACCCAAAACTCCCTGGCCAGTGTCGGACTGTGGTAGTCGACGGCCGCTGGAAATCCCTCATAACAGTGCATACTCGGGCCCCTCAGGGGAACACCCGTGCTCCACCTCGCACATCACTGGGCGATTCCAGATCCATCAGCCGGCCAAGGATCTGAAACTATACAAAGACCCTCACCGCCACCATGACTCAAAGCCACGCTCTCCCCCATCACCGTCATTCCTCTTCAGGTTCGAGCTCATCCAAATCGAGGAGTACAAGGCCATCAATTCACCGGAAGGGTGCATCCTACTCCATTTCCAAGTTGGGCTCTGGCCAGTTTCGGACTGTGGTAGCCGACGACGACTGGATGCCCGAGATGGCACCTTTCATCAACTATTGGTACGTATGGTTTATACTTTATACAGACTGTATACCGGTAGACCGCCGATCCTCCCGCCCCTATTCTCGGAGCGGACCCTAGTCTCCTTATCGCTCCAGCCCTTGCAGCCCTTAGTGTCTGTTTGTGTTTATGCTAACTTATCTACAGTGGCATGTGTGAGAAGCAAATCACTGTTCCCGATGACCGCCTTCTTTATTGCAGCGAAAGGTATCTCCTTATCTTTGTCGGCCCCCTCAACTTTTTGCCTCTTTCACGAAGGTTCCTAACTTATTTATAAGCTGTCGCCGCAAAGACACCAGAAAGCCTTTGTTCGCGTCATTCTCCTCATCCTGCCCTCTTCCATCATACCCACCACCTTCTATACAGATGACTTCCCCTCATATCGTGGCGCCGTTAACGCCTACAAAAGCTCCCATCACGGCTTCTCAAACCATCCGAATACCGACCGACATGCACGAGGCCGAAACAGATATTGATCCCACCGAGTGGAAGCCCGTCATACATACAGACGCTCGGTCTTCTAGTGTGATGACTTCGGATGCGTGGAAGTACCTGTCAAAATTCCACGGCGACGAGTTTGCACTTCCCATGCGTCGTGCAAGAGCTCGCAACACGAGCTCAACAAGCCTGTCGACTCTTCCTTCGCTGAGCAACACTCCGTCCACTCCTTCATCTGTGAGCAGCGTGGCTTCGGATTATATGAGCCACATGTACGAAACCGCCCATCGCCCTCTACCTCCTCGTCACAAGCCCTGCTTCTCCGGTAGCGGCAGTGTCACCAAAGGCGTGGAGTTGGTGGTTCCTCATATCACAGTGATTCCGGACTCACCTGTCAACCCGACCGATAGCGGGTCTATCTTTCCTGCCAGCAGCGGTCTCTGGAACCCGAAAACTGAGGTTACTCCGGTCATTTCTGTGCCTGAGGGAACCGACAAAACACACTGACCCTGACTGCAGTGCAGATTATGGGGATGCTGAACAGGAATGATTGCGGCCAACTGTTTTATTTTTTATTGTTCTTTTCCACACCGGAGTATGGTCGGTATATAGAATAAGCGCAAAAAGGTCATGGCTTGATGCATGTCCTTCTTTACCTTTCAAATACTGATAGATAATAATAATAAAGAGCTGAAACACGATTCACCTGAAACAGAATACCCACAATCCGCACTGCATTCTGGGTCAGTGTCTTTATCGGCTCCCTCCAGCGCAGTAACAACTAGTAATCCTCAACCTGTTGTTAGTAATTGCTGCCAAGTGTTAGTACTTCGGCGGTGCTTTCGAAGACGCTGGGGTTGGGATGGAGGTTAAATTTCTTCCCATTCGAGCTGCGAGGGGAGATAAAACTCCGTAAACGGGAATTATTACCAAGCAGGTAGACATCTAGAATGATTGGGCAGAAGATATTTTTAAGCGGGTGACGATTGTTTATGACACCCATAATTTAGGCCAATAAGGCCGGGTCTTAGAATATGTCAGCGGTTCGCGTACCGTGGCATAAGAGATCCCTAGGGCTCATGCATCCCCGACCATTCCGGACTCGACATGCTAGACCCGACAGATGTCGCCGCCATTGTCTGGTTCTGGGACGCCCAAGCAGGTCTACTTATTAGGGCTCGAAAGTCCCGTCTAGGTAACTCCGTCAACGCGCGCCTTCACATTGCTAAATTGAGTCCGCCTCTGGCTACCTTTAGTTGACATTTAGACACGGAGTAGGGTTGAGGCGAGAAGTGTGTGGTGTCTGCTGTCAACGAGGATGAAGGTCATATAGTCTAAGTAGTTCTACGCTCTGCTGCGTGGCTTGATGGGCAGTTAAATGACCCTACGGATAACAAGGTGAAAGGGTGGATACCATACACGGTCAAATAATGTCATTCCATTTTTATCTCAGGTTACACTATTGCATGAGATCTGTGGAGTGACGGTCATGCAGAATGGCAAGTAAAGCCATTATTTGTCATGCCAACAACCTCATATTGGATGACTTGGACCGTGCTAGTCAAGGTCCAAGTCATCCAAATCATCGTCCGAAATACAGCATTCGTAGCATTCGAGTTGCGGGCGGTACTATAATCAGAAGTATGGGTTAGCAGGAAGAAAGCATTTCACCCAAGACAGGAGATACAAAAAAGCAACCAACTCACCTCTATATGCGGACAAGCCAGCACATTCGGATCAGAAACACACTGGCCGCCGCAGACTATGTTTCCGATGTCGACGCCGTGGGGTCGGCCGGATGCGGGTACGTTGTAGGGGTCCTGCGCCCGAACGAGGGTGGAGGCGAGGAGGGTGAGGACGCCGAGGGAAAGGGGTTGGAGGTGCATTTCGGCAAGAATTGGCTTCCTTGAGTACTGACGTGATGAGTTTGCTAAGGCGGCGGATGTCGTTCTGGGTTTGTGGATAGCGTGTTGTTGATCTAGAGCTGCAGGGGCAAGGTTGTCTTATAACGAGCTTGGTAAAGGCAAGCAAGGGATGGTTCGCGCCGCGACTGGAAGAAGAGTTGAGGCATGTAGATACGACTTCTGGAATGCTAGGCGGGTTCGCGTTCTACTGAAGTGGTCACAGCTCAAGTTGGTATGTTGTCTGTTAGTATTCTTAACAGTGCCGTGAAAGGGCCATCTGATTCATTAAGCCAGACTTGATATCAACAAACCCAAGGTTGCGTAATAAAGTTCGTCTAGGAAATGTTGTACAGCTTCAGGACAACGTATGCCGTCAGATCTTCTTGAGGCATGCAGCTCCCGCAGGACGCAGGGCCAGCGGTGATCAAGGTTCGGCTAGAGGCCACAGATAGGGCGCGGTGAAATAGGTTCAGAACTTGAGTGACTTCAAAGCAGCCCTCTTGGAAGATGCAGAAACGACCAATACATATCTTTCGAAGGCTGTTGCAAGAGTCTGTAGGTTTGGCTGAGAGGTAGTGGCCGGAGAGACTGTCTTTCTAGAATGTAAATATGACGTTTGGCCTGTAATCCGAAAAGGCGCAAGGCTTATGATACGTAATCACTTTGGCTGAAGGTCATTCCGCAAAGCCCCTGGAATACCGAAAGGTCTTCTCTAAAAAAAGGCGCCAGTCAACAGGAATCATATGCTCCTTCTCGTCACGGTTGCTGACAATAATACAGTATTGTCTTTGACTGGGTTGCAGGTTGAACTTTGGATCGTGCTTAATAAGTGCTTGAAGAAGCATTAGATAGCATTCAAGTCTTGGACCATGTCGGCGGCATACAGCGATTACGCAGAGCCAGCCGCTTTAGCCATCAGAGTGTGTCCCAAGCGGCGCCCTTTCCAAGGAGTATCATGGCGTGGAAATGACGACAAAAGAATCGGCGAAACCTCGGTCGGGTCTGACCACGTCAAAAGCAAATACTTTGACAGATATAACCTGAAGGGCGAAGTAGATTTAAGTCTATTTCGCACGACAGTAACCTAGGATGTCAGCGGTGGGCCCAATGACAACGTGAGGAACTTGTTTCCTATGCTTTCCGCCCCCGATTGGTGCCAGACATCCTCAGGCCACAGTTCGATCCTGTCCTGCTCTCTACACCCATCTTCTGACTTCTGACTTTTGACACTTGCAAGTGCGGGCTAAGGCCCCCGGGATAAAAACCGTTCCTAACAACGACCACGGTCACCTGCTTGCCTACGAGTGGCTCGAGCTCGAATAAGCTATTCCAGCGCCATCCGTTTGGCTCTCAGCGCGGCTGTCTCAGCTGCTGCTGATGACGCTAACAGAGCTCGCATCTTACCTATACTTGCCACTCCGCTGGCACGAAGAGTTATCAGCCAGTCACAAAAGTTCCGGAAACACTTCAACAGGGACTGAATGTCTGGCCCAAGACTTTGTGCAACACGAACGGTGAAGTAATCTCAAAGCGGAATCGGTTGCCCAACATCGTTCCGCAAACATTCCAACAGGGACATGGAGTTGGAAGCTGCCATCCATCGTTCTGAGCTCGAACTAAGGTATGCAGAGAAACCAGCTGGCTTAAATAGCGTCATAACCCAAGCACAAGGTCTAACTATCGCAGCGCTGGTGGCATTTCAGCCACAGTCAGGGTGAGAATGCGGGAAGCATCAACTTCATCGTTTATTCAACAGCAGCGGCGAATCCTCTGGAAGGACAATGACTGAAGGCTGACCGATGATGTCGACAGTTGAAAAGCGTTTTCCAGACATGTCTCTGGTTGATCCAATATGACCGTCCACTGCCAACCTTTAGTCATTATCCTTCCGAATTATCCTTGTCGATTGAGAATGGTACCGACGCAATCAAAACCAAATCTGCGAGCACACCCTCGTTCTATGTTCTATAAGTGTGTCGCGGGCATCGGATTTGATTGGATTAGAAAGATTTGGCGTCCGTCGCAATATCCGCCAATTCTTTCTGATATGATGCTCGAGAGTACGCTTTGACGACCGTTTGACCTCGTTCTTGACCGAGATAAGACCAAGATCATGCGATCGTCGTAGGTACGGATCATGGCAGAGACCAGGGCTAAGAATCTCGACACAAGTGGTACCACCTTGAATGCATGAGCGCATCAAACCCAGCATTCGGTAACATGAGTGTTCTCAGCATTCGGTAACATGAGTGATCATCCACCAAAGGAAGTTACGTTCGTATGGTTGTTTGAATTCCAATGACCTTCAGTTAACACCACCACGTCAGCATATACATATCCAAGTACTGGTGATACAACCATACGAATATAACTTACTAAAGTCGGTGAAGACCGTTTAGCAGACGTTGGTACTCCACTTACCCAATAACGGTCTTCACCGGACATAGGTACAATGACGGGCTGTGTCCAACATGTCGACTTGTCCCCGGCCGGAGTTGACCCTAAAACCATTTCAAGCGTGATCAGGCCTCTTCAAGACTTTACCACACTTTGCAACGAGGAAGCGAGTTGCAAAGAAGAGGGCAAATCATCATGAGAGCGAGGAAAGGAGCACTAGCGTGCGCAAGCGGCGACAAGATGGATCATCGATGAGGTTTGAAGAAGACCATCGTGAAGCGAAACAGTCGCTATAGGAACGTTGGGTTTAGGACACGGAGAGATATGGTTGACGGATCAAATTGCGGGATTGCCAAATACGGCACTGCTGTCCCCACCGGCGGCTCGTACATCCAGCAATTGAGGAGGGAGATGGAGAGCTCGGAAGTCGTCAACCGACACTGGTCCCTTGGGAAGCTATTCGGATAGTCCCAGAGCAGCCGGAGTGGCAACCAGAGAGGACGACCCGAGTCCCGTGATTGGCTCTGATTGACTGGAGAGCGTTTCCGACGGCCAGACGAGGAAGAACTAAAGCCCGGCTCCCTCGCAGTCGATGCCTGGTCTTCAAGCTCATAATCGCTCGGAGATGCGTGGCCACTTCCAAATATGACTTGGCTCGTTTCGTCGAGAGGCCTCTGGTCCCCGGTTAGGGTGACTCCGATAGTAACAAGTACACATGGCTGAACATCAGTCTAGGCTCTCTAACTGGAGGAGTCAGCATTAGCAGTCAGCAATTATTTACGATACCATCGTTTATTGGGCACTACAGCATACTGCAAGCCTGCCACATTGGTCTCCAGTGGAGCGCTGGCCCCCAGTCAGGGTGAGGGTATATATGTACTTGCTCGTTTCTTCCAGAACCATCCTCACACGATCACAAAGCCAACATAAATATCATCACAATCACTGCCACCTTCAGCGTCGGTATTTACTTTTATCGAGTGCAGCCCTCGGAAGGCCTTCTCAAAACCATGGACCAGCGAGACTCGAACTCACAGAACTCCGGTCAGAGGTAGGTCCTCGGGTTTCATTTGTCTTACCCATCTTGCATCTTCACGCGTTGGGAGAACCCTTCTTTGTCCAAGAGGCCAATTAACACGCATCGGGGATGTCTTGACTGATGACAATTGTCCCGCCAGTTCTCAGACCAACGGAGCCGGTCGTAACGACGAACAGGCGGGCGAGCGCCGAGCCGCCGACGCGGATATCGAAACCTTGGAATATTACAAGACATTCCTCGCGCGCCTCCTGACCGTCGTTTCTCACGGGCAGCCAGAGACCGTGGAGAGGTTGTTTCAGACCATTCGCTCAGGCGCTACGCAGGAACAAATCTTTGAGATGCTGGCGGAACTTAGGGCAACTGAGGCTCTATAGAACATAAATTTTGTTTGACCTCATATTTGTCTCCGTGGATACTTTTCTTGGGCATAATGACGGCGACAAATCCCATAACCGTGCCCATCTCCTGTGGGACTTTTATTGCAAGAGTGAGTAATTACCGACATGTCCGACCTTCAGTCATGGGCACTTGACTGAAGGTCGGGTTGGGGTCTTTTTACTATCAATAAATATATCGTTTGCTGCCGCTTTCTTCTCTCCACGGCCTATGATGGTCATTTACCTATCCTCCTAGTAACACACTCTTTGATACATGGATATCTCCATGTATTCTATACTCGTCCCAAACAGTGCACATGCCCGGCTCTTTTGTGACTTGTCCGTTCCAGTAAAGCCGTAAATTACCCCCCAACTCCACACAACAGGAATTATATTGTTCAAGAGATGCAGCTAATATAGGTGCAGTGTGGCTAACCGGAAGACTTCCCACCAATCTGGCAGGAAGTCCATACGCAAATCTTGACAAGTTCGTATCCGTCAGCCACGAGCACTAGTATCACCGTGGACCACCAGACTAGCTGAATCTCCACGGGACTCCGGGACAGAGAACAAAATGTGGTCTCACTGAAATCTGGACTGGACTACTTGCTGCTCGATTGGAGGCTGATATTTGTTCACTAGTGAGCTTTACGATTTAATTCGCAAAGATGCTGTTTAGTGTAATAAAGACGCACGGGGAAGGATCGTCCTGAAGAAATTGTATGTATAAAAAGATGTCTGTCTACGAAAGGAACCACGAACATAAATATTACTCTTACTACCAAGTAGAGTATATTTAAGGCGTGCAACGACCCGTGAAACGGGGGTACAGAGAGCAATCGCGGACCGTGTATCGGGCACACAGCCAAGCGAGGAAGCGCTCCAGACCAAGACCGTAACCACCGTGAGGGGATGTTCCGTACCTGGTTTAGGCATTAGTTTATATGATCTGCATGATGAGAAGGAAGACGTACTTGCGCTGGTCGGTGTACCAGTAGTAAGGCGAGGGGTCCATGCCCTCGTGCTTGTAAGCGGCCATCAGCTCGTCCCAGTCGTCCATTCTCATACTTCCACCGACAATTTCACCGACACCGGGCATCAGAACGTCGACACTCTCGGTGACACGGCGATCCTCGGGGTCCTTCTTCATGTAGAAGGCCTTGATCTCGGCGGGGAAGTGCGTGAGGAAGATGGGGCGGTTTATGATGTCGGTCATCTTGCGCTCGGCGGCCTCGGCGATATCGTCGCCGAACTCGTGGGGCTTGCCTTCTTCGTTGGGAATTTCGTGCTCGCGCAGCCACTCGATGGCGTCGGAGTACTTCATGCGCAGGAAGGGGCGGCTGGGCATCTGGAAGTCGGGGTTGAGTTTGTCGATGATGGGCTTGGCGACAGGGTCGGCGAGGACGATCTCGAGGACGCGGCAGATGACGGCCTCGAGGTGGTCGAGGAGGTCGGTGAATTGGATAAAGTCCAGCTCGGACTCAATGTGCGTGTACTCGGAAAGATGGCGACGGGTGAGGGACTTTTCGGCACGGAAGGAAGGGCAGACACAGAAGACGTCTCCCAGAGAAGGGATACATGTCTCAAGGTAGAGTTGGGAAGACTGGGTCAGATAGGCGTCCTCGCCGTAGTAGTCGAATTTGAAGAGAGTGCTTCCACCCTCGACTTGTGTTTGAACCATGGCCGGTGGGGTTACTTCGGTCATGCGCAGCTCGTCGAATGTTTGACGGAATGCCTTTAATGTGGCGGCGCGGACCTTCATCACGGAGGAGGCGGTCTCACCGCGGAGAACGAGGTGGCGGTTGTTGTAGAGGGTCTGGGGGTCAGAGTCATGGGCCACCCGGGTGGTGATGGCGTCCTTGTCACCGGCGGCGCGGCCAATGACCGTGTAGAAATCCACGTGGAGCTCACGGTTGTCGGGCGCATGCTGCTTGGGAGGGACGGCCCGCATCTCTCCATGGAGTGCAATGGACGTTTCGAGGGTAAGGGTCATGGCATCGTAGGTCTTGACCAGATCGCCCGTCAGAACGCACTGAAGGTAGCCGTAACCGTCGGAAAGGGTCAAGAAAATCATGTCCTTCTGAGAGCGAAGACGATGGACTCGTCCCAGAACACGCACTCGAGTACCAGGAGTATCTGACTCTGGCGATCCCAGTTTGACAATAGCAGGGTCTGTCACGTCGAGGCGAATCCTCACAGGCTTGGGAAGAGAGACGTCTTCCTTGATCACGACGTTCTTCGCCTCCTCAAGGACAAGTCGACGCTTGTCGGCCTCCTCCTTCTCACGAATGGCCAGCTGATGCTCCTTCGCGGCCTTCTTCTTGCGCTGTTCGAGCATGTTGGTTGCCTTCTTGATGGCTGACTTGGTGGCTGGCTTCCACTCAAGTTTCGAAGCTGGGTCGGCACCTTCGCCCGTGGGCTCGGTTTGGGACTTGCGCATCAAGTACTGGGCACCCGTAGAGGGGTCATGCTGCACAAATGCGTGGATGAGGGTCTTGTAGGGGGCGGACTCGGAGCCGGTAGCGGGCGAGTCGTCTCGCCCGACATCTTCGTCAATGTAAATGGAACTCATTGTTGAAGAATTGGCAGTAAGTGTTCCTGAGGAAGAAATTGCTGTCAGGCGTCGTGGAGCTTAAGTGCCGACTGGGGAAGATTAGATTGTGAGTCAATCTAGGAGGGTCTGAGTCACACGAATCAGCTTTTTGAAGCAATAAGGGGCTGGGTAGCTGAACAGAGGTGCATAAATGATCAATGGCTTCTCGATGGTAACGTACCTGATACCCAAGCAGTCCAGCAGTAGATTTGACAAGCCCACAGACGAAAGGATGAAAAAAAGATTCCTTTATCAATTTCCGGAGGGGTAATTTTCTGGCCGCAACTGATGCCTCAGGCAGAGAGATAAGGCAAGTCTCCAGATCGCCATATGCTGCCAACTAAATTCTAGGACAACGGCATGTGAAGATTCAAAAGCTTACACCCTCTGGCCTGCATACATAGGTCCCGTCATTTCTTAGGCGCAAGCTTTAATACCAGGAGTAATGCGCGAGGCCGGAACAAAGTTTATCCCGCCTAAAATACTAAAAATACTACTATTAATAGCCTATTTAATATTTAATACTTTTATTAACAGCCTGTTTTAAATAGTAACACTTTTTTTAATAACTATAATAATAATAAATTTAATAAAGGTGTTTAAAAAATAATAAAAAAATAAATTATATAAATAGTATATAACCCGCCCATGTAAACTTATAATTTATAAACCCCTAATTTTTTAAATTTTTTTTATTATAATAGCTAACACTAAAAATAATAACCATGCCACCTTTTTTACTTACTTATTTATTTTTTTATTAACCTAGCTGCTAGCGGCCTATATTACTAATATAATAAATTATTTAGGCTATAAATTAATAATTTTAAAAAAACTTTATAAATAATTATATTATTTATAATATAAGCTTGCGCTTTGCAAGCCTATTAATAAAGCTAATATAATAAAAAAAATTATAGCCTGCCCTATTAATAAAAAAGCTATTATTAAATAGTATATTAGCATGCTTACTAAAAATAATATAATTTACAGGTATTATATTTAAAGCTATAAGTTATTTATAAAGTATATTACTATGCTAGGCTACTTTAATAGTAATTATATAAATTATTATTAAAATAGCTTAGGTACATGGTATATTAATAAATATAAGTTACAGCCCTTATTTATTTATAAGTATATTAGCTAATATGTTTAGCTCCTGTGCCAGGCAATAATAATAATAATAATAATAATAAAATAAAAAAAGAAAAGAAAAAAAAGGCTAAAAAAAATAAAAAAAAAAAGGCTAAAAAGGTCGCAAAAAAAAAAAAAATAAAAAAATAAAAAAAAAAAAAAAAGTAAACACTACTACCCTACCCATGCATATTATTTAGTTTGCCTACTGCCTGCACTAGCTTATAATTATAGTAGTAATAAACTTTAATATTATTATAGCCAGGCTAGTTACTATAGCCCGTGTTATAACCCTTGTAATAAATAATTTTATTAATAAAGCTGGTTTTAAGGGTGTTAAATATAATAATAATAATAAGTAAGTAGTTTTTTTTAATTTATTTTCCCTGGGGCTAGACCCTAGTAATAAAAAAGTTTAAATTTACTATAATTTATTAGGTATAATTAACCATAAATATTATTAAAAATAGCTTATATAAACCATAGGCAAAAATCTAGCGTTTAAAAGTAAGTATTTAGTAAAGTATTAATATTATTCTAGTTTATTAATACTTTTTATTTAACTTTAAACTAATAAAATTAACTACTTAATAACTTTAAAAGCCTTACCTAAAGTATGTTATTATAGTTTATAGCCTGCTAGTTAAACGCCATAGCCTTGTTTTATTATTATTTAAGTTATATTTTACTTTTAATAAGTAATAAATAGCTATTATTTTATTTATCCCTATAATACCTAAAACTTAACTTTATAATACTAAGCTATATACTAACATAACCACCTTTTAAAATTAAACCTAATTATACTATTTTTTTAGTATATTACTACAAGAAATAATTTATAACTATATTATTTATTATATTTTTATACTTTGTTATAAAACTATTACCCGGCGCGCTAGCCATGTAGTATATTATAAATTATATTAAGGCTATAGGTAACCACTATTAATAAGTACTAGCTAAAATATTACTAGTATAAGAGCTAAAGTTACAAGTTAAGCACCCGGAGGCCACCTTTATATTACCTAGTAATATAAAGGTAATTATAGTATAAACTATTAAAAAGCACCCTTTTACACCCTATATTTAGTATATAGGAAAAAACAGACTATTTATAGGTTATATTATTATTAATAGGTTACTATCTAGCGCTTGCGCTAACTACTATTATATTTTAAAAAATAAATATTATAATTATTATAATAAGTACCCTAACTAATAGTCCGCGAAGCCAGTAACTAATTATAATAGCTTAAAAACTAATATTAAAAATACTACCGCTGCCGCCCGTGCTATAAAAAAAAAAATATATAAAAATAAAAAAAAAAAAGAAAATAATAGCCACGCTGTAAAGTAGTTATAATATTACTTAGTAAATAGCTAAGTATTTACCTAAATATTAACCTTAGCTTAACTATAAACCTGTGGCCACGCTAAGCAGCTTTATAATTTATTTAATATAATAGCTACTTAAAAAAACACGTCCGCTGCTACCTAAAAGGTATTTACTAAAACATGCCTTAGTATTATAGTTAAGTTTGCGGAAAAAGCAGGTTTACTAATAAAAAAAAAAAAGGTAGGAATAAGTTCCCTGGTTTATTAAATAATTTTAATAAAAAGTTATTAAAAAATAATTAATATTTACAGGGCCGGACCCTAGTTAATAAAGCAAGTTTAAATTATTATTTTATTTTTAAATTTATACCTACATTATTATTACTCTTGTAGTAAGAAATATTATTTATAACTATAATAAATATATATTAATAGCGCCTTAAATAACCATTTTTATGCCTTTATTTTTTAGTATTAAACAGGCTGCTAACTAACTAGTTATAGCTAAAAGGTTTTTTAAATAATAATTTTTTAAGTAACTATACATGTAATATAACCACGTATATAAAACCTAGTAAAAACTTTTTATATATAATAAGGTTTAAAATAGCCTGCTTAATAATAACCCCCTAAGCCTTATAAATTATTATTATATATATTAATATAGCCGGGAATTATATACAGGTATAAATAGTGCTATAATAATAAAAATCTTGCCTTATATAAAAGATTAGTATTATATTATAGTTATTATTTTTTTTAGCATGCGGATTATTATATTAGTTAAAAGCTATTATTAAAGCAAGCAGTGCCTTTTAGGTAAAATTTATAATTTTTAGTAGCTATATAATATTTACTAACATGCCCATAGCATTATTTATAAAACCCCTTTTTATTTAAATATTTTATATTAATATAATATAGTAGCTAAAAAAAACCATAAGCTTTTTAACTAGGTTTCTAGCCTAGTTTATTTTTATAATTATAATACTAAATTTAATATAATTAGCCTATAAAATAATTACAGGCCTACTAAAGTTTAATACATGGTTATAGTTATACTAGTATATATTATTTTTTTTTTATATATATAAATTATATTTATAAAGGTATTACTCTTGCCCGCAGGTAACTTAGCCTGTACTTGCATTATAAAAAGCTCCTAGTTTTTTATTATAGTAATATTTTTTTTTAAGCACTTTAGCGCAAGAATAAACACACAAGCTATTTAAAAACTTATAGTCTAGTAATAAATAATATCTAGCTTAATAATAAGGTTAAATTAATTATATAAATACTAACTAGCCTTCTTTTTTTTATTTACAAGTAAAAATATAACCTTAAAAAAAGGGTTTTAATTAACTAAAAGCAGCTAGTAAAAGTCCCCGGTTAAGATAATATTTAAGCTACTAAATAATTTAGCTTTGTGGTCCGGGAAAATCTTATAATATTATTAATTAATATAATATAGTTATTTTAAACCTATTATAAACTTTTTATTAATAATTAAATATAATATATTATAAAAACTTGCCTGCAAGGCTAATAATATTAAAGGCTATAAATAATTATAACCCCCCTTGCTTTTTAACGCAACTAGCAATTAAAATAATAAGTATAAGGTTTGGCTATTAATATTATATATAGTAATACTAGTTAAAGCGGCCCGTATAATAATAAAGGTCTTATAATTATTAATATAAAAAGCTATATATTTTAGGGTTATAAATAACAAGCTAATAATATAAGATTTACTAGTGCCAGCCTTGCCATTTAGATTAATTAATAACTACCTTAGTAAAAGTAATAAATATATAAAAATAAACTACTACTTACTACCTATATAAAAAACTAGTAAACCACGTGACTATAAAATACTTTTATAATATTTAATTATAATATTATATAACTAGCGTTGCTTAACCTTTAGGTTATTTAAATAAGCTAATAAATAAGCTAACATATCTACTAGGTAATTTACCTTTACTAAATCCTAAAATTTTAGACTAAAACCAGGTTTTCTTATATACTAAGTTTAATTATACTATTAATTAATATCACGCTGGCCCAGGTTATTAGGTTTTACAAAAAAATTATTATCACAGCCAGGCTGTTAAGCCGCTATGGCCTCCTAAAAAAGCACCTTAGTAGTTAGGCTAGTATTATTATTTTAAATTAGTAAATTAATTTTATTTTTTATATTTTTATTATTTTATATATAGCTATTCTTTTTATAGCCATGGTATTTATAATAGTATTTATACGCGTTATAAAAGCTATTAAATACTAATTTATTAACTATATGCAGGTTATTTATTTTAATAAATAAATAGTAAAGTATTAACTTAACATAAGTAAAGTTTTTTAGGTCCGCAGCTTAGCTATATATTAGGTAGTAATAAATAATATAATTTTTTATCTTGCTTTTAACCTTTTTATACACTTTAAGCTATAGGGTATAGTAGTGTATATAATGTAATAATATTAAATTAGCAAGCTTTAAT